TTTCCCCTGAAAGTTTCTACTTGTAGATAATACGAATATTCTATGCCCCGGCATCGTATTCTATTCGAAGCACGGTAACATGGCCGCCACATTGGCCCTACGTCGCACCGACAAACCTGATAGACTCGTAGACCAGAAGTACCAGGCCTTCAAACTTTGGATCCACCACTTTAAGCCCTGCTTAAGGTACTAAACAGCGACCTTTCTTGTGGCGCGGATAAGCTGAACTTAGACTTTAAACACAGCCTGTGTTGTGTAAACCATATACTCTTAGAGAACCTTGTAAAGAAGAAGCCTGTAAACTATTCCAACTGAAGCCAAAAGTTTCGCAGGCCTAGGCCTAGGATCTCGACAGCTATGCCCTTCCGCACTGCACCCCCAAACCCTGAGTACGAACCGCGAATTACCGTTTCTGTGCAAGGGATAGCGCATCTGGCCCTGTCCGGCCTTGCCGCACTGCAAGGCGGGGCCTGGGACCATTCGAAGTGAAGAACTTTATTCAAAAACACGCGTGCCGTTGAGATCCGAAGATCTAGGGCCCAAGTCCCGAGCCCCTTTCCAATGCCAAAGGTGGCAGGGAGCTCCTCGGGCGTCTTGCCGGAACTCGACCTGGCAGCCATTGGGACTGAACGGCACAACTTTGCATGGACATTTGAGGACATCGAGAGTCTGGATGCACTCGAGGAGACAACGTCTGGGCACCTCTTCTTCGCCTTCGACTCCTTCACCGTCAGGCCCGACCCGAAGCCAGTGGACTTCTTCTGTGCTTTCTCCTTGTCAACCGCTGCTACAGTGTGATACAGAATCGCTGTAATTATCCAACGTAAAATCAGATAGATGTTCAACTGCTCTTTCATACAGAGCTGTATCATGAACTTGCCCCTTTCTCTCACACCACGCAATGCTCAACAACAGCCTAGCTTTTGGGCCTTTGCTTCATACAGCGCTGTGTGGCCATGTCGCTTTATGTATAAATCGCCCGCTGCATGAGCTCGGTGTTCAAGCTTAGCAGTGAGCTGTTCACGGTGTTCGTGCATACCCACACATCTGTCTACACTGGACAACTGGAAACAAGCTCAAGATCTGAGATGAAGATCAACCGCCGCTGATGTAATGGTGGGTATGCCCGTGGGGCCACAATGCTGTAAAGCAAGAGCATCTGTCAACCTCACACCTGTCGGCTGACATAGCACCGGATTTGCAATCGACCATCCACCGCTTTCCAACCCTACATACTCCAGGTGTCAAAGTGGTTGACGCATGCTCCTAGCTCGGGCTTCCTATGTACATTTCTTTCAGAATCTATTTCGTCACTCGGCTTGATGCACGAGCTTTTTCTGCAGCTCGCCTTCCACGCACCTGTCGATGCCACTCAACAGAGCAAAAATTGAAGTTGGTAGATGCTTGAGAGCTGCTTCGCTTGAGGAGAGCTGCAGCCGACTCGATGTTTTGATACCAGAGGCCACCGCTGTATGTGTCTCCACTGCACGATCTTCATCTTGATAGGACTTCCTACAGCCAACGTCGCTTGGTATCTCAAGCCCGCCAGTGCCCCGTAACTGCGATGCTTCTGCATACCCACAGCCCGGAAAGGACCGGCCTGTGTGCCCAGTGTCTACTTGAGGACCTGGGCTCAGCAACAAACTTGGTCTACGCACTTGAAGCAGTTTTGGACTTTACGAAGCACGGCAGATCTTTGCTTGTGGCTCACCTGGCACCTGCCTTTTGAAGCACCGGCAGAGATTGGAAGCTTGTGTTTAGTGGCTTGCTGCATGTACACTAGCTTTGAATTGAGGACGCACCTGAAGTTGTGACGAAACCAAGCCGCCACTGCATTCCAGCGCTACTTGCTATCAACTGCTGCTGAGTCACGTTCGGGCAGAGAAAACCAAAGCAGGAGACTTCCTCCTTGACGATGGTGTATCTGGAGGACAGCCGCAGGACTGCACAAGCAGCGTTACGAACAACAGACCATTCCCCAAGACACTGAACTTAAGTTGTGCTTCCAGTCTGTGAGCGTCAACAAATTCTCGCTTGCCTGCCTCGTGACAACCAGCTAAACAGCACTCGGAAACCTGCTGCCAAAACACAGAGGGGCCGCACTGGAAGTGGGATTAGTCGAGATGGCAATGTCCAGAAGACCAGAGGCCTAGCGCCGCAAGCAGGGCATGGGGGGGTTAGGATTTGTGGTTCTAGAACGTTCTAGCATGTTTAGCAATTTGTGAGCCTATGTGCAACCCGTGAACGACAGCAAGTCAAAGACCGAGTTATGCCGCCAGCTTCCTCGCCCCTGTGACAACCCGAGTGCCTCGAAATCCAATGTCAACGACTCCAGTGTATCGCACTGTTGGTCCACTCCCGTCACGACCCTGTTCTTGCCTCAGTGGAAATCGAACAAACAGCCTTTATGACTGGTAATTCGTCTTGCCGGACTGAGGGTTCCGGGGCCACGACGGAATCCCGTGCAGAGCCGTGGCCGACGGCTCAGAAGCTGTGGATCTATCAGCTCCGGCCCTTCAGCTTTGACCGGCAGCGCGAACTCGAACTTCATCTTGCTCGTGCACTTGTCCTTCTCCTGACAGCTTTGTGCACCGGCAAGTTCGCCCAAGCCTGAAGGTCTACCTCCTCTGTGAACTGAGTGAACGAACTCGCTGCAGAGGAGGCTCTCGAAAGACGTCGTTCTCCCCCACGCTCTCCACGCAGAACAAGCCTGGGCGGATGTTCAGAATTGGATGGTGCAGTGTGCGTCGGCCCACTGCAAGTCTCTTGTGCAGAAGAGCCGTTCTCGAGAGTCTAACAGTGGAACATTGTGGGACCTTTCACCATTTCGCAGCCCAGGGACGATCTCCTGCGGCACGATGGCCAATTTGGCGAGCACCAAACCGGGCGACCTGCGCTTCATAGGCTGGATGACGTTATTTTCTAAAGCCCATGCTGAAAACTCGAAGGCCGCTTTGGCTGTCTTTGGCTTGGCGAAAAGAGGCAGCTTGTGAGCTTTTGTGCATACCCCGTCCCACCACGACGAGATCGCCACTGTCGCAATCCTTAAGGGACAGCTGTGTTGCTGAGAGCACATGCATGTGGGGTCGTTAGAGTCTTCTAGAGACTTTAGAGCACTTGTGCTAGCTGTGCCAGCAGCGGAGCTTCAAGAAATCATCCCAGTGCTCCTACATGGAGACTCGCTGCCAGTCTCGTGCCAACTAGGAGCAGCCAGCACAGATATACGCGTTCGTTCTCTGCTTCGATCCTGGCCGACACAGACCTCGGAGACTCGGAGGCTTGCGAAGGGTGGAAGCTGAGCCTCCGCGGGGAAGAAGGCAATACTCAGGAGGTCAACTGATAGCAGGAGCGCAAAGTTGAGCCCCAGGTTCTTTACCGAGCTGGCTATTGGCTCTGCTGCTAGCGGGCTCCTCCAATGTTGGGCAACTCGGAACCATCGCGAGGCACAAGGCTTGACCCCAGGAACGGCTTGGCGAAAGTCGAAAGTAGCGGCCCCAAGGGAACTTGCACTGGACTCAGGCACTTGCTGAAAATGAACTGGTGACTCGGGGTGCGGTGGTCAAACATTGCCAAGTGGCGCTGACACTTGCGGCAGGCTCGGCCGGATCAACAGGGCTAAAGCCTAGGACCGAGAGTCAGTGCAAGGCGATCTGCGAGCTTGCAACTCGTATCGTAATCGTCGTATAGGCAACAGACTGAGAATGACCACCCAGAAAGCCGGGACACTCAGCTCTTGCTTGAAGCCTTCGCCCTCACCTCCAGGGGGGATGGGGCAGAGACGGGTCCAGCAAACACTACAAGCATTCGTGAAAGAATCATACTAAGAGGCCACATGGTCATCTTCAAACTGTACTGTAGAGTCGGATGTTGCGCGATGCAACAAAAGGAGCTCTGCATCCCATGAAGTGTTGAACCTCAAAGCAAACAGCCCCTAAAATCCGCACCGGATACTAGAAGACCCTTGAAGGCGAGGCGCAGGTCTTCTGCGGAAGGGCTTTTGAGAAGGAGGTCTCCTGCACCATCGATGATGCCAACAACTATGATCAACTGCCAACCTGCCACTCTTTTGCCAATGTTAACGGCTTCATGGCTCGATTTGAATCCACACCGTACATTCTGCCCATTACTAGGCATCACGTACCGATAACATAATACTCGTTCATATCTACTACAACACAGGTGATACAAGTGTGCTTTGGCGAATCTTGCAGACCAGGTCAACACAATTCTGAGAAGTGGTTTCCACAGCCTCGTTCGCAGAAAGTGCTTGTGCACGTCGGAAGCAAATGTCCGCGTCAGGAATCTCCAGCGTTTTAGCATTCGTCGAATTACGACCGTTCTGGGGTAACCTGAGTTTACATGGAAAACGCAGCATACCCCTCAATGGAACGCTCTCCATCGTGAACAACATTGAACGAGTCATCACCGGTGGGAGTTGCGCTGACTACATGTTGTCTTGGGACAGAGGGGGTGTGCCCATACCGACACTCAGAATTGAATTCTTATGGCTCCGCCGGAAACACTTGGCACAAATCCGCGAGATTCCGCAAGTCGTGCATGACCCGAAACACCACTTCAACACGGCTAGTCCTCTGACTGGCCCTTGCGTGTGCCAACGCAGAAAGAGGACCCATCGTTGGCGAAGAACGTACCTGATGGCAGCCCTAAACAGCCACAGCTGAACACAAAAAGATTGTCGGTCGTGAGAGATGCTCTGAGGATCCAACACTGTGAGTGTAAATTGCAGCCAATCATTCGGATTGACGCAATGACATTTCTTCTAGGTTCTGGAATGATTGAGAGTGATTGATTTTCGGAAAGAGAGAACATGAGAGATCATGAGAAAACCTTCAAGTGTATTGCGACCTGTTGGAACAACTCGCCCGAACTAGCGAACTACGATGGCAGCGTTCTTGGCTACTAGTAGAATTTGACTGCCGGCTTCTTCTCTGCTTCCTCTGGAGAAAGTTTCTTGCAGGGCCCTTGTCGCTCTCGAGCTCCGTCCGGGGACCCAAGCCTCCGTGTAGCCACTTCAGCCCTTGCCAGGAGGTAGGGCAGCTTGTGCCTGCAGAGCACGAGACGAAAACGAGCTAGATTGCAAAGCGGCACTCCGGCACCGGTGCCGGGTACTTCCGAGCCGCAGCTCCAAAGAACTCCACTTGCTCCAAAGCAGGATTCCGGCCTTTCACAAAGATCTGAGTCCAATGCTTCTCGTTGTCGCACCAGGAGACGGCCTGCCCGACAAGTCTCTATGGCCCCTGTTCCAGGCCTTAACGATAATGATTCGGCCCACAGGAGGCCTCTATGGACTCACTCCGGCTATCTTCTTGGCGCAGAGCTGAGTGTCCCAAGCTTGGCTGCAAAGCAGCCAGACGCGACAGTCAGAACACGCACAGACTGGCTCCGTGCATGTTGCGGTTTTGTAACCGACAAATCACTGCAGGTGGTACAACCACGACTGAACGGATTCCCGCATCAGCTTCTGGAAGAAACCATCAAGCCGCAGAACTTGCAGCAACTTATTGCGTGGACTCGGGGGCAAGATCTAGGCCTGCCCTAAGCTTCCAAACCAGAACCACACATCAAGCCGGTCGTGTGCCTTTGTCCCAGGTTTCGGGGTGGCGTAGGCACGCCAAAGGCCGCCTTTCACCTCCGATAGGCGCAAAGGAACCTTCGATACCTTCGGTGACCTGCCTCTGTTCTTGCGCTCGCGCATCTTGTCTCGCTTGCACACAAAGGCTCGCAAACTGCTTGGGATGCCCATCATCTGAACCATCACACCCCAGGGCCTCAAAGCTAGCGCACCCAAAGCAAGCCCTAGGCCTGGTTCCAGCCGCCGCCGCAGCTCTCTCCCAAGTGGATGCTGTACTTTGGGCCTCTGAGCTCAGCTTCTGCGGCCGTTCTGAGCTGGTGTGCAAGGTGAAAGTGCCCCCATGCTGCCCCTCTCACAACTTCTACCTCTCCGTGTCCCGGGCCTTCGTGTTTCCAGTGGGAAGTGCAAATGCCTCAGATCCGACATCTGCCACGCGTGTCCACCTTGACGACCCCCCGAGTTGTCCGTCGCGGCGACATGCAGAAAAGCTGCTGTAGAAGGTCGGGGGATTCATGAAGCTCTTCGCCTGCTGGAAGGCCTCCGCAAGCGAAGGTCGATTCAACAAAGTGACAACCCCAAGCTGGGTGCCGTTTCTGATGCCCCGCCTCCAATATGGCCGAGGCAGGTCGAGGGTCCGCCACCATCAACCCCTCTGCGAGCCGTTCGGGAGCGAGGGGTCAGTTCTGTGTCAGTCTTAGGTGAGCTGCAGCGAACCCAGTGTCTCAAGCACTTCATCCAAGGGTTGGTTTTTGGGTGACAAGTTCAGGCGTAAGGGTTCAGACCCTACTGCATGCCGGCAAGTAACATCTTCCGAAGCACTTTTCAGCGAGCGGAGATAGATGACAAGGAGGCGTGCCTCCTGCAAGCAGCAACTTCTGCGGAGGAAGAGTCGCAGTCAGAGATCTGCCACCAACATGGCAGCATGGCAGCCGACACAGCGGAAAGGCAAAAACGCGAGGCGCTCCTCTGGGCTGAAGATCTTTGCAAATTGGGTGCGCCTTCTGAGCTCAGATTTGAAGACTGTCTGAGCCCATGATAGCCCGTCTAACTGCGTGACTGCGCGTGCCGCGGTCGCGCAGCACCCTTGTACACTTGGAAGAATCAAGCAAGTCAAAAAGTGCTTGGAGAAGCAGAGTTTGACGTTCCGGGAACCCGGCGCAACAAGTTCCCCACTTGTTTGAGCTGAGGAGCCGATCGATAAGCAGAAAGTTGGATGTTGCCGCTCCCGGGCACTGCCCCTGCAAGGCTGACGAGCGTCGGCATGCTTCGATAACTTGGGGGCATTGTAGCGAATTTCGATGCTCAAACTATGAGCTGTGAGGTTGCTTCAGGGCTTGTCGCGCGAAGACATGTTCACACCGCTCGTAAGCATCTCTCTTGAAGCTTGACGCAAGAATGTGTTCGCTCAACCTGCGGCTCCAACATCAAGAGCCAAGCTTTTTGACAAACACACACGATTCCCGAACTCTTTGTACTGACCCTCATGATGGTAAGCAGGGCTCCCAAAAACAAGCAGTGGGTCTGGGCAGATCTGGATACGTTTTCAATAATAGAGGGGCCGAAAAAAGCGCATGTGAGGATCTTAGAGAGTCAAAGTGATGCAGCCACTCTGAAGGCGAGGAGCACTTGATCTGTGTAAGGTTGCCTGAAACTTCTACGGAGCGACGAATCGTGATGTGCATGTAGTGCTTGTGGCGACAAGAGGCTCATACTGAAGTGTGCATGTTGCACAAGGAAAAATGGTTTTCAATATGCAGGCATTCTTTGCCACAGGCCCAAGAGCCCCAGCTCCAGCCCATCTCAGCCCTCAAGCAAAGTGCGCAGCCCCCCGATGCATGCCCAGCATCCAGGGCCTGCCCGTCCAAGGCCAGTGCTGCGGCGCGGCTCCTCAAAGCCTGACATTTGTAGTCAGGTTTGACACTTCCCTGCATCCGATGCTTTGGTGACTTACTGGGAAATGTAGAAAGTTTCGGAAGAGATGAGGACAAGCAGGGACTGGCCTCAATGTCCCAAGGGATGGCCCCATCTCCGAGCCGCTTCAGCACCCAACCTGTGAGCTCTGCTCATGTTTGCCAGATTCTGTCGGACAACAATGACAAATGATGACAATGCTTCCACACACCCTTGTGTTTCCAATCGGCCTGGTGGGGAGCCGCTGCCGCAGAAATTCGGAGGGATGGCCACCGGGACGTCGCCTCAGCGTGTCTTTCCGAAGTAATTGAGGCAACGACCCCCATGCTTTCCGATATGCAAAGTCACTCTCTGAGCAGAGGCAGGTATCAGGTGAGTTGCGTACGTGGAAAGGAAGTCTTCCTCGACGGAACTTGATGTGTCTGTATGAAATTCCATACCTGCGTCGGGATCAGTGAAGACTTGACCAAACAAGCTTTGTGCATGGGAGCAAACAGTAGAATATCTGGAAGGAGGCAACAAAGTTGCCGGCAAGCTTCGATTCCACATCTGCCGTGTCCTCCTGGTAGTCAACGATGCCTGGGCTGAGCGAAGTGTGGTGTGCACCTTTCGCCTGTCAAACCTTTTCGATGCAGACTCTTGCGGAGCTGACACGCCACTTGCTGCAGACTTCGTTCCAAACATGTAACTCTGCCCAGCTGCTGAAACTCAGGCTGTTCAAGCCATCTGTCTTCCAGCGGTCGCCCCCTGCCATGATCTCCTCGCGCCAACAGATGGAAAAGTGTCCCTCAATTCCTACCGCCAAAACTCCTGTCCTATATACATAACTGCCCGCAACAAAGCGTCTCCAAGAAAAGGTTTGAATATGACCTTACAAGGGTGTTCCCGGACAACACTCTGCTACATTTCCGTCACAATTTCAAGACGATCGAGGGGTGCAACGCAGGACATGATTTCGTTGCAGAATCGTTTCGGTGTTTGGTTTTCACGACTCTCAGTGCCCAACATAGCCAGCCCATGTGCATCGAAGATCGCATCGACGCCGAGTCCGAATCTGAATTTGTCCAGTGCAGCGAATAATAAGCCAATGCGTTATCGATTCGACCACGCACGCGCGGCTGCCGCCGGAACATGGCTCATGCAGGTTGAGCGGCACCAATTGTCAAATCGTGCAGTCTGACCCGCTATGTGCTGACGTTGTGTTGAAGACTCGCACAGATCCGGCCCGAGGGGTGTGGTACAGCGAAGCTTTCGCGTGATTGCAGACTGACACACAGATCTCCTTGAGCTGCTCGATGTTGCGCGCATAGGCCCGATCTGGCATGGGGACAGTGCTTGGATGTGCTTGGTACAGGACAAGCTGCCGATGCGTGCTCAAAAGTCGGGCGCCGGACTACCATTAAGTCATTAAGTACCATGAACCAGTTGCAGCATCACGAGACTCGTGGCACTCACAAGTCGAAAGTCAACTTGCCGACAGTCCAAGCTAGGCAGGAAGGCGGTCGGTGATGCGCTTGGTATGGTTGGCGCTGTGCATGAACTTGCCACTGAAGCGGCCGAAGCCTGCGAATCGAAGCGACAGCAGCGGATTCTGCCAGTTGCAGCCTGGTAGCTATCAACCATGCAAAGTGATGTCCGACAGGCCCTGGCCTTTCTTCGGGCGATGGATTGACTGGCCCGGCTTGCCCACGTTCGGGTCGTTCTTTTTGCAGTACGGATAGCCTCGTTGATTTCGACTCGAGCCAAACAGAAAGAGATGTCTCAGTCTGAGGCGCATCATGATCCAATGCACGGCAAGTCAGCAGGCAACCTATCGGCCTATCGGACCTCAGACCTCTCGCGAATCACTGAAGACATAGCCCAGGGCGCAGTCCCCGTAGAGGAGCCCACCCAGACGGAGGCGATGATGAAGTTCGTCGTCCTCTGAACGCGACGAGGGCACAGAGGCCTCTGTGGTATCGTGAGCGAGGTGGGTTGCACCGACCCTGGGTCCGGTCGCTGACTCCAAAGACCTGGGCGGCCTGGCAAAATCTTCCTGGCGCCCAGTCGCCCGCCTCTCCACCCCAGCCAAAGTAGTTGTTGCCGAATCCGTTGATCTTGCGCCAGTGCTTCAAGCCTGACTGGGTCTCTTTGGGATGAGCCCAAGTTCAATTAGACGACAGGTGATGAAGCAGCAAGAGCTCGGTCTGCAGCTATGCGGATGCACCGGAAGGAAGGACTTGCAACATCATAGGTGCAGGAAGATGCAGTCAAGAAGCTCATGCCGACAATGCCACCCGCACTGGTCAAATAGGGAGTCTTCCACTTGTATCGATCCTGGTCTGATCATCCATCCGCATGCTGTCAACAGGCTACACGACAGGAAAAAACATGAAGAAACACACTACTTCGTTCCGACACAAAACCGCGACTCACTGCAGAGGTCTCAACAGACCACTCAACACGAGCAAAACACATGCATCACGATTTGTCACCTGGGCGATACTTGCGGGCATGCTCACGCTTGTAAGAACCCTTGTATAAGCCCTCATCGAATCTCAGCCCGTAGGGTGCCTTTACATTTCTTAGCTCGACCCATGGTGATGCCCTTGGAAGTCCGAGCTTCAATCTCTGCAGAGAGCTGCGTGGGAACGTCACACTCGGAGTAGTCGACCCCTTTCTCTGGGAGGTAATCGATGTCCTGAGATCACGCGGTCGTTTCAAATCGGTCGGGTATAAGTTTAGCAGTTCGCGAGCCTCGACCAAGCCAATGAACATTTAGCACTACTCGACATTTTGCCACAAAGCCCTAAGCCAAGCCCGCAAAAGGTGTTAACCGAATGTACTGCCTTATTGAACATTGGGCGGACTCTTGCGCACAGCCCGGCCTGAATGACGGCACAGTCGAAGTCCAAACCCATCTCCTTATCAGCTCTGTGTCAAAAGCAGGTGCTGAATCCTCGTGCACGGACTCTGCTCTTCTTTCTGTTCCAGTCCGCAGTCGCCTAAGTCCGATCAAAATCCGCTTCAAATCCAGCACCATCAGCACCCCGGGATCCCCGGCCCATACACTGCGAAGCCGCATTACTAGCTCATGGTCTCAGTGTCGCTTCGGATATCCGGCGAAGCGGTGGACTGCGCAGAAACGACAGCCAGTCCAGCGTTGAAGTTCCAGCCACGGTTGAAAGTCTGCACCTGGCACTGTCGCCGCTCCGATGCTAGCTGGTCACCCAAGGAAACTCCCCCGGTACTTCAACTCTCGTGCTACCATTGTCAGTTCCCGCACAGCAATAGAGAGTTGGAGGCAAGTCACGTCGAACTGCTCTGCAACGACGACCACCCATCCTCATAAGGAAAGACCAAGAAAAAGCACGGTTATTTGGTATGATCGGGTCAGCAGAAGCAGGTGAGAGTCGCGGGCTCTCGAGAGATCTTGAACTTTGCTCAGACTCCTTGCAATCGGTGCTCAACCTGCAGGCCCTGTCAAAGCCCTGACTCCAGTTCATCCCCTCATAACGAAGCCGGTTTCAGGCTTTCTTGGTAATGACTGCAAAGGCATATCCTCGCCAAGCATCTTTGCACAGTCTTTGGCGACCGTCCGGACTCAGCAAACCACCGCCAAAACGGCTTGAAGAGCTTCCTCGGCGACCGCTCGAAGACGACGCAATGCATCATTAAAGGCTGCCACAATGCCTCGACTCTCGGGACTCTCGGGGTTCCGAGGCAACGGGCGAAGGATGTCAGCGAAGGTAAAGCACTGGTAGGGGTCTGCTCCTCCATACGATTCTCAAGCTCGAGGTGCCTTGGAGCCTAACCCGGGGGAATATCTGAACTTAAACTTGACGTCCCAGATTCAAGTGGTTCTCACGATCGCGGAATGGGATGATCACGACAACAGTCTTCCCCTGGTGGCCTGACAAATCGGAGGTCAAGGGATGTGCGGGCATTTCTGCATGGGATTCGCATTTGCTTCTTCACCCGACCGCACAAGCTCTACATGCTTGAGAGGCTGGCCCCTCAAATAGCCCAAATCAGAAGACTGCCAGATTCGATCCAGTTGCCATCTTTGGGCGGACTTGGCGGCAGCGCCACGGCCTTCGACATCCATCAAGCTGCTTTCCAATACTCGCTGTGAGTGAGAGAGAAATATCTGGCCGTGGCTGGGAACTGCCGAGCTGAGCCCTTGCCCTCGAAACCCACCCCCGTACCTGTATGAGTCTGTGCGGTTTTTTTGGAGCTTTTGCAGTCGGTTCAGAAGCTTGTGCTCACCTGCACTCGGCTTCGACCCTAAGGATGCACCATTCAGCATCTGGTGCACCTTCTGAGAGGTGCCCTGGGACTGCCCGGCATAGATGTCGCGGTAATTGACACAGCCTGGCCAAGCAGCAGGAACATCATTCTCATCAACCTCGGACTCTGGCAACCTCGACCAAACCACTCAGCACAAGCAAGTCCCGAGTCTCCGTCACCAGCATATGTCGAGTATCTACAACACATGCAGGCCTTTGCAGCTGCAGTGCTTCTTCGAGTTGCCGCACCAGCCGTTGACAGAGCAGCAAGCAAACTCTCCTGCATGCTCGGAAGCATTCGGAAGCGCAGTAATGATACACAGGAACACATACGGCATGTACGGCTGATTGTTCTGGTCTTCAACAAGGACTCAGAGCCAAAGTATGACCCCGCTTCTTGTCCTGTGGGTTCGCACTCCACCGGCTTGCCGTCTGGAAGTGGCGCCTCAGGAAAGAGCAATCCCACGAAGCACCAGAACATCCCAGAACTCTTTGCATCTATCAGCTCACTGCGCAAAGTTCATGCGCAAGGCGTCGTCGTGAATGCAGCAGTCTGCCATCTTCTTTACCGACAAAACCACATCACCACTGTTTGGGGGAAAAAAGCTCCTGGATCTGAATGAACCTGCATGATCCTGCATGCACATTGTGTCCCGATGTAGACAGCTTGTCTGACTTGTCCACATCTCTGTTCTTGTGCCAAGTGACAACAGCCTTGCCACACTTCTGATCTTTCCGCCACCGCTGGTAATTTGTCGCGGCACCTCGTTCGGAGACCGAACACTAGGAAGCTGCAAAGAAACTCTTTCAGGTGAGCCTAACTACACAAGTCTTGGTGGCTTTGCTTTGGGGTTGTCCTGTTGTTACTTTGTCGGGGTTTCTTACTGGAAGACACAAGCAGCGTCCACACAAACTCCCACACGCAGATTATGCCACGTTGCCAGCAATGACAGTGGTGCTCGGTGCAGCGGCTGAGCCGCGCAGAACAGTTGTTGGCGCAGCCACTTCGGCCTGTGGAAGCTTATAGGGGTACCTGGAATGAAGATTGTGGTCCATGCTTCTAGTGCAACTTGATATTACAGCCGTGGCAAAGCGCTCCAGCATGACCCCGGATACTGCATGGAAGCAAGTCGCGCCGATGCAGTCACGATCGGGCACGAATGTGGTTGGCATGGTTGGGGTGATAGAACCCTCGACGACATTTGCGACCGCTGCCTCTTCACTGAGAGGCTTCTCGTCGGCTGCCGCTGATGAAAATGGAGGTGGGGGCGGAGGCGCAGGTGCTTGGTCAAAGACCGGATCCCCAAGAATGGCTGCACCTTGCACCAGATTCTGCCAGGCATTCTAAACCACACCCACAAACTTAGCCACCCGTTGTCTCCTCTCGCAGAGTACACCTACTTCCTGAAGCCATGGATACTGCTGATCGAGCTGGTGAAAGGAGACCAAATCCGAACATAGACTAATTGGTACTTGTAGCAGGACAGTTGCCGGGGAACTGCACCAAAAAGGGAAGGGCCAGACAGTAGAGGACTGTAATTCTTCACGAAAAGCCGAGGTTGCCCTGACAAAGAAATGCCCCGCTGCGTGAAGTCCAGTGGGCTGTGAGAAGCTGCAGTTAATCCCGCCTCCGGCAGCACCGTTTCCATTCCCGCCTGTTTGGCTCTGGCCTGCCGCGCAGGCTCTGGGGTTCTGGGCTGGTGTGAGCTCATGTGTGAATCTGAGCATGAAGGTATGTTGTTGCATGAGCAGCAATACCACTGCTTGTTTCGTCTATTGCCTTGATACCTGCCCGTGCTTTAGTATTTGGGGCCTGCATGCTATGTCGACCGTACATGCATCTTCGTGTCTCCGCATGGTCACGCATGCGTGTGCATGTCTAACTCGCTCTGAGTCTCCGTTCGTATGCTTACGGGCCGCGTCCTTCCCTTGGTGCAGTTGCAAATGCCTTCATCAACACTTCCTTCTCTCATCTCCTCATTGAGGTCACGGATGGACATCCTCGGCGAGCACGGGACCGCGAACTTTGAAACAGTTGCGGAAACGCCGCATCATCGACAGTTCACTCAGTTGATTGACATCAAGGCGCTCCAGGTCCAGGAGCTTCCTCGCATAGCCAAGGCATGCAAATGAAAGACGCTGTGTCAGAGTGGCTCAAACATGACTCAGCCGACTTGGGTAGACTCTTCAACGTGATCTAAATCATTTCATGTTCATCAGCTCATCCGAACCCCCCCAATCCAGCCTCTCAAGCGCGCGCATAGAGGTTGGAAACTCAGCAAGTCTATTGATCATCCCGCTGTCCAGCAAACTCACACCTGAGCATCACACCCGGATTCGCTTCAGGCACCTTCGAATCTGCTTGGCATGGCAAGGATGCCAGGCTGCGTTTTCTGCCTATCGGGAGCCTGAGCTTGTGTACGACCTGCGAAAGTCGGGAACTCCAGAATGTTGGCAAATCTGTCTCGCTCGAAACCACATTGAAACAACTGGGAACCAACCAAGCACGTCCTTCTCCAAGCTCACTCACGCGAGTCTGTCTCTTGTTTATCACTCGTGTCACTTCTTTCCAAGCTCCGCCAATCTCGCGTTGCACCCCCGATGTTAGATCAATCTCGAACGGTCTTCCTACCCGGGCTTAGGTGTCCACAGCAGAACAACTTTGAAGGTAAGTGGCCACCATGGACGTGACTGGGAGTCCTCAGTGCAACATGGTGTGCCAAAGCAATCCGACACAAACCATTCAAACGATTTCCCTCAGCGCCGGAAGGCTTATGACCAAATTTGCTGCATCTGCAAGGCCGAGTTTCCACGAGTCTGCGGTCCGCCTTGCGGACAACATGAGCATCAGCACCTGTGGTTCAAGCCGTTGTGGAGTTGAGTACATGCTCGCAGGAAGCCTTCAGGAGATGTCTCTTCTCGACCCGGCTCGATGGCACTCCGCTGGCTTTTGGGTTGGCAGATTTACTTTATGAAACCAACACACGATGGCACGGTGGATGCAGAAGAATCATTTCAGCCTGCACCGCGCTCAAACCCACATTCTGCAGAACCGCATTCGCATCTTCGGTGAAGATCCAGTTGCTTCTGAAACTTCTAAGCACGCGACGCACGCTGATGCGAGCAAGGTGAGCAGAGTAAAGAGAAATGGCAGCATGGCTGCGAGGATGTTGAGGCTTAGTAAAGTAGAAAGGAAAACCGGGGGGAAGCGCACTGGGTGGCTGCAAATGTTGCGTGCTACCCATCCGGACTACTGCAGGTGTATTGCGCTGTTGGCATGAGCTTCCAAGAAAGGTACAGAAGACCCCGGTAGGCCGGGCATCGGAACTTAACTTACAACACTGTGCTCATCACAGGCTTGGATTTTGCCAGTCTCTTTAAGGTCAGATGGGCTAGGAGACCCTTGAACCAATAAACAGCACATGTGCACTTGAGTCGGACAAAACTTCTCCAAAGATACGTCTGCAGATATCCAACAGGGATAGAAGCACGCAACAAAATCTGGGATCCCTCCACACAAAACGAATAGAACATTTCATTGTCTAAGATCTAAAAATTACAAAACTTCGGATCAAAACACAAACAATGATCAAACACAACAGGGATCAACATCGAGAGTAGCAGGTGTCATAGCAGTAGTTTTTGTGGTGGTACAGTAGCACTAGTAGTCTTTAGCGTTAGTTAGAAGTAGCCGCAGTAGCGATCTTCGTCGGACTGGTGGTGTAGTAGTATGATGAGGATGATGATGATGATGGTTGTTATCACTAGTAGACATTTGCTCTGGTAGCCTTGAATGGTAGCAGTAGTAACAGCAGTAGCAATCTTCGTGGGAGTAGCGTTGGTGGTTGTCGTAGCGCTAGTAGTATGAGTAGCAGTTCCTTCGTTCCTTCCTTCGCTTCCTTTGAGAGAGAAACACCAGAAGTTCGTGAGTGTTCACGGGCTGCAAATACTGTAGTTTGCAGCATTTCTGCGTGTTTAGCTTTATCGATTCCTGTTCGATCATTTTGATCTCTATCCCCCCGCGGGGACCCCACTCTGTTCAAGGTTGTCCTCAGCACTGTTGGCCCACATGCCTACATTCTGATGTTCACTGGCACCCAGTGACCCGCAAGCTGCGTCCTGGCTAACTGTCGCACCCTTCCGCAGCGGCTTCGCGGCGGCCTTGTTGCACATCGTGTGTGACCTGAGAAGCTTCAGTGTGAGGAATACGCTCGACATCCCTCTCCGGCTGGGAGCTGGAGAGCCGCAGGCGAAGCTAGTAGCTAGCATGCGAGATGGACAAGTTGACAGATAGCTAGATGGATAGAAGATGTACAGTACGACTCAACATTATTGCGCTGAAGAGTCGATGTAAGCTTGAGAATCAAACAGATGTTGGAAAATGGACAGTAGAACATTGAAGCACGAGAGTGTCGATGGGACTGATGGGACTGTGAGAACCTTAAGACTCAAGAGTATGGAATTGGAGTCTATCGAGACGCACAGCTGGGACGAGCTTGCAAGGGCCATCTCGACCATGGGTATGTTGCAGGACTTTGCAGGCGTCAGGACATTCTGCTCTGCTTGCATGATGAGGTGAATGCACGTGAAGTTCACAAGCCCCCTGCGATGCGAGGTCTGGCAAACCTGAGCCCAAGAAGCTGGACGACTGGTTTCGGCTCATTGACGCGCTGGCTCCCTAGAGTTGTGTCAAACCTGCTGAAGCCTGAAGCCTCATGTGAAACCTGCCGTGTCGATTGACAGCTCTGTGACCACATCCCGTCCCGCGAGGACCATGTCAGTGGGCCTTGGATACTGCGAAGCTTCGCATCCTGACGGGCAAATCTGCGCAACACAGTACCTAAAATTGAAAGCACGGAGTTCACACAACTTGCGCCACAGCGGCTCCTGCACGTCATCACCAGGCATAACCACCTGCGGGTTCACTTCAGCTGATGCTGCAGCAAGAAATCGAAAAGATGCTGCACAGAGTCTCACATGGCCAGCCCAGCTACAAAGTACTTCTTCGACTGGCCTTGACGCTGCAGGCGTACAGCTCTGCGCGGCTAGGGGTGCGGATCTGGCAGCCGAGCCAAGCAAAGCGTTGGGCAAGATGAACAAAGCGGCATCAAGGGTCGAAGCGACCTACAGTGACACCAGCTTCCTTCAGAAAGCTCGAGTGCAGGGCACCTTGGTCAGCGGCACCAGCACCATGCCATCCACGTCGAACTGGACGGGGGCCTCGAGTTGAAGTTCGCGATTGCTCTGGGAACAGCAGTAGCCAACGGCTGTCCGATGAAGGCTAGCAGTTGTATTTCTAGAGCGGTTGCAAACCTACAAGTACCTGTCTCGTGATGAAATCACCGCCACCACCGCCTTCGCGGATGACATGCATGTGTCCTGAATGGTAGCCGTGCAGTCTCTACAATGTCTCTACAAACCAGAAATGCTGCTGCGTCGAACTTGGAAGAGCTCTGTTGGCCATGTTAGCACCAAGGGTAGCGACGTCTTCCAATTCCCTGGCACGCTGCAGCACTCTTCAGAGATCGCGGCACGGCGATCTTTGGGTGCAGTGGCGATGCGGACCTGCAGAGCGCGGAAAGCAAGCCCCAAGACTCAAGACGCAAGTTCGGCTCCTTATGCAACCCTCAAGGAAAGCCTAGCGCCTTCTCCGAGCGGACGTCGAAATCCCAGTCGAAGAGTGCCAGGAAATCCAGGCCGAGGATGCCCGCGGTTCCAATTGGGATCTTATTGGACAACAGGACAGGCAAAGACACAGCGGTTGCAACTGCTTGGGTCAGGTCCTGGGAACTGCTCCGAGGAAACTTCTGTTTAATGGTTGGGGTCCTCCTCGTTCGGATATTCAGCTATCCGCCATGCCAGCGGAGCCTGTGCATCACGTAGACTTAGCCTGACTTCCTCTCCTAAGGCAGCACAGGGGGACTGGAGGCAACTACTTCCGGCAGTCCTCATTGGTCATAGCTTCCCACAAGTCATGTGCTCACGTACCACCTTGTTCACGTTGTACATGCCGAAGAGTTGATCTCCCCATATCTCCCCCCCCGAGCAGGTTGCGCGGTGTGGCGGAAGGCGATTGACGCGCGAATTTCAAAAGAAGGCAGCAGGAACCTAACTAAGTCACGAGCGATTGGTTGAGCCTCATGAGCAGTGAGTACTCTCCCTGCATCCCCTGCTTGCATCAATTACGAGCCTGGTTCAGTGACACATACTGTACCTTATACCTCTTGACACCTACCAGTACTGCCTTGTTTGGAACAAACTGACGTCGCCTCACAAGTTTGCGCTTACCGGGGGCTGCCATACGGGGCACGGGGTGGAACCGAGGGTCCGTGCCGGCAGCTCTCCGGGAATGGTCGCGAGCTTGACCTCAAAATCTGTAAGAAATGTCTGGGCGGGCGAAGAGAGCTGAAGTTCCTACAACAGTTCTTGTCTGTTTTGGGTCGATGCAAACTTCCTCATGTCCTGATGCAACCAAGCTCGGACACGGCCCGGCCTCGCCGCATGCAATCTTGCCTCCGGGGCTCTCAGCCGCGAGTGGTCATGTCTTTCCAACATTCCAAGCGCAAGACACATGCAATCACTCCCCTCAAATCCCTCAGTCTCTGAGGGTCCCCGTGGTTCGGCAGCTCCTGACACCCTCTGCACCCTCTTCGCGTATTGTACCGATCCGCGCGAGCCTTCCGCCAGGAAGGCCTGGCTCAGGGCGATCTGCCGAATCCCGGCACCGGCGGCCTTCGACAGGCTTTTCTCAAAGAGCTGGTCGTTGCATTTCGGGCTTTTGGTCGCTACAAGTAGCCGCTAGAAGTCCTTGCGCAATCTTCCGCTGATCTCACCACTCCTTTTGCGCTGGAGTCTGCCAAGCTCCGCAGGTGCTCGGTGAACCGGTTTTAGACAACTGTTCACGACACTTGACCAGTTGGACCTGGAAAGATGCATCTTGAATCCAGACTCATCGTGCGAATGAACATATGAAGTATTGCGGCAATGCCAGGAGGAACTGGTCACTGCCATGAGCTGCAATAACTCACATGGGTTCGTGACAGCGTTGCGAACAAGAATCTGATTGAACTGGTTCCGGAAGGGTTCAACCCCTGTGAGCTTTTGTGCGAGCTGACGAAGCGAACAACGCAAGACAGCTTCATCGTGGAACACCTGGCAGACTGGATCTCTTCGATTGCGCCCAGGGCTGGGAGCAGGGAGCCTTGCTGCGCACACCCGCAGGACCTAGGCGGGTCACCTTCTCGAGAAGAAGCAGGTCTTGCGCGGTGAAACTCTCGATTCCTGTGGACAGTCTCCGGTGGCATCTTCCAGGGAGACATGCACTAGAAATGGGCTCCCAGGAAGCGACCTCAAGCCATGAAATGCATTTCATACCTTTGCAAGATTCCTACGCCCTCTATTCTAAACCCAACATTCCGGCAGGAGGACTCTCCTGAGGGTTCCGACGAATCAACGGTCCTTGCGGCTTCTGCGCCGCAACAGCCCGTTGAGCACTTCAACGGCTCAAGGGCCACTGTTGAAGGGTTTTTGTTTTTACAAGTAGGATTTAGCGGTTCTTCTTTTTACGGCTTACTCCTCTATTGACAGTAACTTTGACGGTAGGTAGGGGTTTACGGCCAGGGTGCACCAGTCTAGCCTCGGGTTCACATCCTTCTCGAAAGGGAAAACGGCGCAGAAGCCCCAAAGACTCGTAGCCCAGGACAGCCATTCCCACACCAGGGCCCTTGGGGAAGGAGAGTGACGCGTATCTGATCTGTAGACTCTAAACTCTAAACCCACGAGGTCGAAAAATACTTCTCTGGCCCAGTGCTTCGAATCTTGGCTTCAATGAAAGCTATTTTTCAACGCATTGGGAACGCACGGCATTGCATGCTGGCGATCGACGCCAGTGCAGCCGGGTTCTTCGGTTTCTGCGCGATTTCGGTTGTTCTCCGATTGTGCTTGCTCGGCACCTTCAGCAACACACAACGACTCCTAGCCGCCTTGGCATGCCGAAGGCCGTGATACTGCTGAGAGACTGCAACTCAAAACAACAATGTGCTCGAGCGAAGACCCGCGATGTCCTACGATTCGCAGGATGTCCATGTGTAGATCGCTCGTGGGAGGCCGAGATCTCAAGACTCTAAGACACCTGTCCGATCGCATATCCCGTTCCTCCCAGCTCTCATCACAAAGCAGACATGATCTGTTCAGAGGTATGGGTCTGCTTCGCAGTCCCTGACCTGCTCAGATCGCAGGCCACAGCGGCTCTGTATCTTTGGGGTGTTCAGTATCGTGTGGGTGATGATTCGCTCATGATGCGGTGGAGGTCTTTGCATGCTGTCGAGAGCTCCAGGCTGGTCTGGCCCCTTCCCCGTGACAGGACAGCAATTGACCTGTGTGATGCATCTGAATCTGTCTCTCAATCTTGTTAGTGTCCTCATGAACGAAACCGTGGTCCGTCTATTCTATGTGACTATGTGCAGTCATCTTCTGCTTTCCTGTCTGGGATCGACTGGACTGGATTAACGGTGCTGTCGACACTGCTGCGACGATGGCCCATGGATGATGTCGATGATGAGAGCCCATGACGATGACGAAAAAGCGGAATTTGCTTGTCAAAAACAACTACTGCTTTCGACATAATAGCGAGACACAACAACAATAACCATGGTCATCATCGTCACGACCGCCACCATCACCTTGATCGCAGTCATCATCTGCATCGTCATCATCCTGTCATCACCATCACCGTCACCTTAATCATCATCATCATCATCATCATCGTCATCATCATCACCTTCATCACCGTTGGCCACACTAAGATTGTCGAGGATGAGCGTAGCAGAAGTAGCTCTCATTGACACGACCGTGAAACCCGCTATAAGAACAACCAGTGCTACACGTTCTCCTCCCTGCTGCTGGCAACTCCGCTGTCGCTACCATTGGCAGCACCGTCTGTGCGACGACGACGATGACGGCCATTCGGAAAACACTTCTCACCTGCAGCTCAACCCCTACATAGCCAGTGGAAGGCCAAAGTCACTGCAGCGGGGAAAACGCGAAGCTATGCCTTCAGCCAGCAGTCACTGTGTGCCGTTTCCTGCGTCACCCTGCGCCTAGGGCACGCAGCGGTAGCATTTGCGTGGCTGGTGCAAAGCTGGCATTCACCGGCATCCAGGTAGCTTTCGTGGACCTCAGCTTTTGGCTTCGGTTTGGTACCCTAACGTGAGTTCCTCCTCTTTCTACCCAGAAAAACTGTATTCAGTTCTCGGAAGTAGAGAGAACTGCGTCCCAGCATTTTGATGTCAATCGAGACGAACCTGAAACAAACAACAACGGCGAAAATGTTGGACATCGTATGATCTTCCATGCTTAAGCTTGTCCGAAATCCTAGGAGGACTTACGGCTCCCACACGAAATAACTCCTACGGGTATGCAGCTGCAGTTGGTTTGTAGAGGTACGTATTCGCCTTAATATATTGTTGCAGACTTTCCTCCAAGATGCTCTATTCCAAGTGATTGGACCCACGTGGTATTTGCAGCTCGGTCCCGGTGGCGGAGGCCCTGCGTCGGGGATAAGCTGCTGAGCTGCTGTGGCGCCGGGCCAAGAATGAAATTGCATTGCACGGTTGCCACTGTCGTTGTGACCGAAACACGACTTTCCGGCATCGGTGCACTACCACGCCCAGCTTAGCTCAAGCTTGACAAAAATGCCATGGGAACTGTTGGGGTGGCTAGCAGTGGAGCCGTCCAGACTCACCATGCACTGGTAGTGCTGAAAATACCATACTCATATAAACAAAGCAATAGTACTTGTTAACAAATGAGCAATGACAAGTAACATCATTATCAAAGGTCAATGCAGAAGTATCAAGCGCTAATATCCTTGGTACGGTATGCTGTTTGCTGATGGTTAACATACTTTCAGTTACCCGCCCATCTGATTCCACTCGCCTCCTCTGAGCGATGCGTTGCTTCACCTTCTCCGGCGGGACGAAGAGGTCGCTCAAGTAATGGAAGCCAGAACCCCTGAGATGGAGGCAACACTGACAGCTTGAGCTCCTATCCCTGCTTGCTGAAGTCGAGTCGGTCGGCTGCTGGGCGTAAAGACTTAGCTCTGCTTCGCTTCTCCACGCGTGTCACGGCTGGGGGTTGCGCTCTGCACTTGCTGGCTTACACTGGCATTCCCTTGTGCTGTAATCTCTGCGGCAAGCATCATCGAGTTGCGGTGGTCCGGGTGCGGATGCCTGGCAATGACGGCCAGTTGCAGAGCTGGAACTACCAGGTGCAGCAGAGAACGAGCATACAAGGATTAGTAAACCGACTGTGTCCGATTCTTGCCAGCATTTCCGCAAGCCCTAGCAGGCCCTAGCAGTCCCTCATGTGAACTTGATGCAAAGCCGGTCCCTGGCACAAGTCTTATGCATGGCCCAATGAAGGCGAATGGAAAGGGGCCAGGCCTCACTTGGGCCTCGGGGACCGTCTTGGGGGCCATCCTACCCTCGATCCGGTCGCGGATCTTCTGCGCCTCCAGGGACACCGAGACATAACGATTCAGCTGTTCGGCGCTTCTGCGTGTTGGGCTGCATGCGCTCCTTTTCTATCGTTGCGCCGTGCAAGTTTCGCATTGTACAAGGTCGGCACCAACGTAGCAAAAAAGACTATGTAGACTGACCCTGGACTACGACTTGCTTGGAAGCTACCTGACAACGTTATCCTTGTCTGTGACTGAAAACCGAAATACCTGCAACTGTATGTGCCCTGCCAGTTTGCAAGCTGTTGGGAAAAGGATGGAGAGGATCTCGAACCACGAACACTCGCCTCTCGAACAACAGCCACTCAAGCTTAGATCTCCTGGTTTTGGCCTCGTCGAAGGAGCTGGTCACCATGTCAGAGAGCCGCTTTAAAGCATCATGCATCTTCACCCTGGGATAAGCTTCGAGAATACTGCTGGGTTACATTCGGGCCAGTTAGCAGCTTTACTGCATCGGTTTATCCGGAACGGGTTTAAGGAGGCTTCAATGTGGCTGGCTCCAGACTTACCCCCGGCCAGCCTGGGCTCAGGTCAGATTGAAGCACTGTGCTAAATCAAGGATGCACATCTTCAGAGACTGCATGTCTGGGCTGAGAGCCCGTTTACGCCACAGAGGCACGCAAAATCCAAAGCGTGCTATGCAGGCAGGTCGCTGCTCGTGCATGATCATGATGGAATCGATGGCCCTGGCGTTCCCTTTCAGTCTGAGGGCACTGTGAAGGAATTCTTCCTCAGCTCGAAACTTGCAACGGGAAAGTGCCCATGCAGCCGATGCCACCCCCAAACGCCAAATTCTGTGACTAGTGGTGGCTCACCTAACTGCCTGAGCTGTGTGACGTTGCATGTGGGGATTTGCAGTATATGGCTCAGAACCAATCCCTCCTGCAGGGTTGACATTGTTTGATAGTTGTTGAAACGAAACACTCTGCGAGCTATAATTAGTTGCTAGTCAAGCCAAGCGGCATAGGACACTTCTCCATCTTGATCGTCATCCAGCAGGCTGAATAGCGTGTAAGCTTCCTTTGGTTGTGCGCTCTTGTCAGGCAAGCTGACAACAAATCCATAAGCTGGACATTGAGAGAATTTTACTTACGTTGCTACTACTGCAGCTGCTGCTGCTGCTGCTGCTGCGACTACTGCTACAACGACTGGCACCAGCTGCGACCCATAACTGCCCTCTGTTACCTACACAGCACAATCAACGACTACTTGCTTCTACTGCTGCTGCTGCTGCTCATGGGAAATTCGTACAAAGTTGACGCGCGCTTTCATGGAAGTTTCATTGAAATATCCGAAACAGAATTCCAACGAAGCTTCTAAGCTAGTTCAGTTCGGTATGCCACGTAAGTCGCTATCATGGGTACCCGACTCACCATTAAACCCAAACTTGCTAAAACCTTCTTGGGCTTCGTATGACAACCATTCCACCAAGGTACGTGTATCTCCAACTCCAAGGCTTTTAGCCAGGCCTCCACGCCCGGCTCCTGAGTTTGACCACCCCGGAATTTGGTGTGAGTTGACGCAAAAGCTTTAAACTGTAGATCAACGAAACGATGCTGCCAGCCAGCATTGCATGAGAGAAGGGTTGAGGTTTGCTACATGACGAACATACCAAGGGATTGCACAGCCGAGAGATTCGATAAAACCGCTAATTCATTCTGCAGTGACCGCGTGACATGACGGTTTTTCGGTGGAGCGCATGTCTTGTATCCTAAGCTCAGGAACCATTCTGAACAAGCACACTGCAGGCGATCATGCCAGTCAAACACGCGCTGGCCTACAACCCCAAAACGCAGACGATTGTACGATGGTGAAATGCTGAAAAAGGTGTGGAAACCCCGGGCTTCAGGGTACCCCGACCCCGGAAGGCCCTGGACTCCAAACCTTGCGTTCGTACCCGTTCGTATGATGCGGCCCCCCGCCTGAAGGGCCGCTTCTAGCTCCTCGTAAGAGAGGCGCCCGTCGCCCGAAGCGTCGGCCTGTGAATGTCGCTTCACTTGCAGGCTGCCATGCTTGTTGTCTCGCTTGGCTGGGCTTTGCAAGTACTATCATGACTTTCGATGCGATTGGCCTGGCAGTCGGGGCTTAATTGAACTTCGTGGCCTACTTGCGTGGGGGAGCAGCTTTGAGAAAGGATTCTCCGGCAGGGGTTTGCTGCTATGAAGCCGCGATCTACTCCTAGCACGGAGCCGAGCCGCAGGAGCTGGCTCATGGATCCAACATCTACTAAACGGTCTTTTCAGTTTAGCATAGTTTAGCTTAATGTCCTCTTAAGTTTAGGGGACTGCATGCCAAGCGGCAGCGGTGAAGAATTGGTAGACCTTGCACGGTTCGCCGGTTTCGCAGTGTTCTTCAATGCAGTGGCAGCAACTGTCCGAATCTTTGAGCGTGTGCGGGTGTGCGTCTCATCTCAGGAGTATTCCGGAGTACTTCGAGCAGTGCTTCCAAAGAGGGGTATGTCGGCGTGCTCCCCATCTGGCCTTCTGGCTGAATGCCTCCTTCTCCTTCATCTTCCGCAGCACCTCCAGCAAGAGAACCCCTTCTCAGACCAACTACAGGACCAGGGGTCGTAGGGAAGTCGCTGGTTCTTCCGCTCAGGCTGGAAGGAACTCCATCTTTCCAACGTGCTCCCGGCCTCTGCCTCACCGTCTGAGTTGGCAGCACGGATCCTTGGAGCATTGCGAAGTCCGTCGGTACGTCCGCAAGCATTCTCCAACCCAATCTCGCAGCACTAGGACAGGGCTGCGATGCGCTGTGAGAATAAATGAAGTAAATGTCTCTCCCCACTCATGGCTGTGATTGGACGCGATGCTGTCTTCGACCAGACCTTGACAACTTTGCGCTATGACGGCCTAATTGTCAAATCATCACTGCAGCATTTGCCAGCAGCTGGCACGCCATCACATGTCGTCAGGAAGAAAACAACCCACAACAAGGCAACACTGGCCAACTGCCTGAATGCCTCCGAACGCCCCAAAAGACAACGCTTCAGCAGAGGAAGCATTCGAGGCCCGAGGTGCGTTTCGTTCAGGAACAAGGCGCCGATGACACGCATCACCGCGAAACCGATGACCTCAAGGCCAAAATGAAGATCCATATTTCAGTTTACCACTGCTTCGTAAACAGTGAATCTGGGGGCTCATGTTCGGCGCTTTTCCGCATCCAGCGGACTGTGGCTTTCAGCTCCAGACTTACAGAAAAGCCCTGAGAATAGCTGCTGCAATCCGCAAGCATCATCTGAAACACAAGACAACACAAGACAGAGAGGAGCCATCATAGGCCAACGCTTGGCTGACCCGCCATGGACAGAGCTCTAGATGGCCACGAGCATCGCTAATGCGAGGTGAGCAGCGACTTGATACGCAATCCAGAAGAGACAGAACCTTTGTTGAGTCCAGGAACTCGCTCTGAATGAAGCTTGGTTTTCAAACGATGTGCTCTGGTTGTAGCCGAATTTACAGCTCCTTGCATCTTCGTCCGGCTGGCGGGCTACATTCGGGGTGGCGAACTGCATTCCAACTAGGTCCTGCGTGCGTATGTGAGCTTACCATTGTTCAGGAGATTTTTCGCAGCTGAGCACAAAGGCCATTGGTCCCGAGGTTGTAGCTAAGCGCCGTAAGAGGCTCTCGATAGGCACAAACTGTTGCTGTCCCTCCCCAATGATATCTTCCTCTGATACCAGTAGCTACTGCATGATACTGCCAATGGCAATTTTCCCCTCTTCCTGTCCCCAAGTCCTAATCCCCTAACCCGAAACCCTAACCCCCTTGGTACTTCCAGCTCCGGGGCCACTCGCTGACCTCGTGGATCAAGGGCCGCGCTAGCAAAGGCCTCATGGCGAAAGCTTACGGAGCTCTTGTTAAGGAATTAAATTTTAAGTTACCATAATGGGGATCCATAGTAAATGGGGATCTATAGTATATAGTACGGTTTCTTTATTATGGCAACTTACACAAATCCCTTAACAAGGCGAAAGCTTAACTCGGCGCCAGCACACCCCAAACGAAGGCGGCCTCGCACCCGAAACCGATATTTCCTATATACAATGTAATATGTATTATATAATATGTGCATGTCGCCCTCTCCGACTGAGATGTTTCAATCAGAATCTCGGTTCCAAGTGGCCAGGAGCCCGAGAAGGTCGCCTCGAAGACGGAGTACGTGGCTTTGACGGCGTTCCCGTAGTAATTCTGGGCACGGCGTGGAGCCAAGGGTATGCTTAAAGTTTTAAAGCCGCGACCCTCAGCTCCCAGGAGTGTCTCAGTGTGTGTGTGTGTGTGTGTGTGTCTGTGTTGTTTTGTTTTGCGTGTGTGTGTGTGTGTGTGTGTGTGTGTGTGTTTGTGTGTGTGTGTGTCAAGCTCGAGCTCCATAAACAAGCTGGTATTTGCCCAAGATGCATAGACCCACATTCGGTTCTCTTCATCGGCCGTGGTGTCCAGGACATGCTCGACAAGCAGCTGTGACATGAGGACACCCGTGCCAACCATAATGATGCCCAGTACCTGCATAGAATGCAAGCTACGCAGGAGGTTCAGGAAAAACTCGACTGTGTGCAGACCACCTGCGAGTTCCTTACATAGCTGTGGTGTGACATGGCCACCATAAGCCACGGCCCACTGCCCTGCCCTACAGCCGCAGTCCCGCTACTGGGCAAGCATGTGCACCGAGGTCGCGGCCAGCAAAGCCCACATCAATGGGCTCAAGCATTTGGACTTAGCAACGTGCCGACAGAAGCGACTTCAAACGAGGTCTGAGGTCATGCCCTTGTACCAAGTAATACCAACTGTAGAGCTTTCACCCTGAGGTGGCGACCAAGACATCTCCGAGCAGTCGGAGCCTCAGATTATGCTGCATGCTGGGCGCCTCTATTGCAGACTTCTCTTCTGTTCTAGCAAGAGGATGACAAGCTCACGGCCAGCTTGGTTTGGTGCAGCAGCAGAGGACTCCAGTCAGCTCCAATTGAACATGGGATGACTATAGCAAGCTGGCAGCTGCTGCAGATTCTTGGCGAAGCGCATGACTCGAAGAACCCTGGCATACAACAGCTCGAATCTGCTCTCTCCTCATGTGCACGGGTGGGTGCTTTCGATTGTGATTGACCCCTGACTGGAAAAACAAATACGTCAGCAGAAACGCGTTGGAAAGGAAGCACATGACACAGATGGTCATGTATACGAAAAACAAATTTTTGATATATATATATATATATATATGTATACATAAAACTTTATATGTATATATGTACGTATCTTGCTTTCTTGCTGAGGGTTATGGGTCCCCAACGGAACCCTGGCTCGAGAGCATGCCCTCACAAGGTTTGCGACCGTCGGTCTTCAAGGCCCCTTTCGGGGTTGAGCGATGCCCACGTTCCCCCAAATGTGGCTGTTGATCCCTCCAAACACGCAACACATGACCTAAGACCCTTACCCTGAGAACCCGTCCGGGCACTACTTGGGTCGTCCGTGTCAGTCCAGTTCATCTACTATGTATATATATATATGTATATATATATATATATAGTTATCTCCTGGGCTTGGGGACGGGTCAGCGTCCCCGGGCTTCAAATATATATATATATATATATATATATATACACACATACATATATATATATATATATGTTCTATATATATATATATATCTCTCTCTCTCTCTCTCTCCCGGGCTTGGGGATGGGTCAACATCCCCGGGCCATTCAGGCCCCCCCGCTGTGTTAGCGGATTGAAGGGGAGTGAGGAGTGCTGTCAATCCTGAGCATAAGGCTAAAGCCGTTACATTGCATACATAACAATGCCTCAGGATGTTACAGCATTCGAACACGTGCTAGAACATCCCCCGAATCCACAGCGACTGTGTAGGAGTAAGGCAAGCTAAGAATGCCAAAGAAGTTGTCGCTGTGATGTCTAGAGGTGTTCCCCTGGACCTCAGTTGCCCAAATTTGCTTGAACACAAAGTAAAGACTCCCTCGGGCTGCACCTGTGTCTTCGAAAGGTGATGCCGATGGATTCCCCCGCTCTTTATGTCAACAATTGCACAGCAATTATATATATATATATATCTCTCTCTCTCTCTCTCTCTTATCTACATATGCATACACACATCGACAAATACTTAAACACCTAAACTAACTGTATATTGTTATGTATATGTAGACCCTTGTAACTGTATATATGTTGTATATTAACTACATACACGCATACCTATCACATGCATTGAACCGCGCCAGGATAGACGACGTTGAATGGGTAGCAAAGGCACACACGGAGATTTTGCGTACACGGGCTGTTCCGCCGGCCTGAATATTCGCATCAGGCGGAAGATGCGAGTCAGTCGCCCAACGGCGAAATTTTGCGCATACCCGGCATCAAAGGGCTGCCTCAGGCACTGCTGAGGCAAATGCAAGTGCAAACCTTCAAAGTGTCAGGACTAGGAAAACCAAATCATGGGCACTGCTAATCCTGGACCCGAAAGGGTTCAGTTCTGCGTGCTTCACATCCCGGCAGGCCACAGCACGTAGACGTCGATGCTGGTGGCTACCACGACAAGCACGTCAAAGACGCCGAAGACATCGCAAAGAAATTGGAGCTTGTGCTGGTACAAGCGCCATGCAATCTCCAGAACGAAGATCTTAGCAAATCAGGGATTGCTAGTGTCGACTTGGGAGGTACGCTTGCAACCGATTACAACTTATAGCAACCTCTTTTCAAGCATCATGTCCAATGAATCCCGAGAATGAAGCGTGAACACTTTGCGAAAGACACCTTATTCATGAGATCCAGCTGCTGCATTGAAGACATGGTCCACTATGAAGAAGGCCATCTCCTTACCGCCAAGCAGGTCTGTAGGCAGCGCTGCAACACGCTACGATTAGATGCGGCTACGGCCGCCAGGAGGTTGACTAGCATAAGTGCAGGTCCTGCAAAAATCAACTGATCACACCATCTGTTTCGGCAGGCGAGACGATTTTCGCAGCAACTCCATAGGTTCCAAGCTCAGGGTGCTCCGTTAAGCTCAATGAAATCGAAATCAGACCGGAGTCAGACAGATTGAAGTTTTTAAAAGTTTCCGAGTTCCACACATGCACCACCAGATGACTTCCCAGAAAACAAGCTGAAAATATGATATGATATGATATGATATAATATGATATAGCATAATACGATATAGTAGAACATAACTATTGGATAGTACAGCAGACACAGCTTGGACGCTCTGACTCAGCGCAGGCGGAGTCGAGGGCGACTATAAATACAACATACTAGAATGTAATATGAAACGGTGTAATACAGCACAGTATAATTATGGTAGTATAATGTACTAAAATATGGCTATATGGTCTAATATAGTATATTGTAATGTAGTATGAAATGGAACCGGGGAGCTGCACCGGGCCAAGACGAGGCGTCCGGATCCTCAAGCCCAAGGATGACCGCTGCCTCTCGGCTTTAAGGTCTTTGGGGTGTTGAAGGCGTGTTTTCGGGCGTGTTTCGGGATGGTTTGGTTTTGGGGATGCCGAAGTTCGGGCCCCTACGCGAAAATCTGAGTTTTTGGTCGTCCAGTGCAGGGTCATGGTGGTAGATTATGAGCTAGCTCCGGTTTCTTCTGGCCCTGCTGCAAATGCGATATTCCTGGTATACCACTTCCACTGCAGCACAGTAAAGATGTCAGAACTGAACATCGCTCCATCCTGCTTTCAGTGGCCCTTGGACATTGAACTTCTGCCCCGAATATCTCTGGAGACGGAAAGCTATCCTGCCTGGGAGCCCCTCCACTGGGTTTGCAGGAGCAGGATGAAGGTATACAGGACCTGGGGTACATCTGGACCTGCTTTGCTCATCTCGTTCCGACAAAAAATCGAACCATCGTAGGACTCTGAATCACTTTTTCGAGAACAGGCATGCACACGTGTGGACAGCATGTCGAGCAAAAAGGTTGACTTCAGCAAGCCGTGGCCTAACACTTAGCAGCGAGTTCTTGCAGCACCAAGAGGCAACCAGAAAGCTAACCACGGCGTCCACGACCTCCGTCAACATCAACTCTACCAAACGACGAAAACAAGGACCGGCTGGCAGAACGACGAAAGGGAGTGGCCTCCTGATTCTACCCAGCGGCTGGCGAGTGTTCGTGGCAACACCAACAGTAATTGATGATCAAGTAGTGCCAATAACAAGAAGGTCGAGGCTGATACAGAAACAGCATACTACAGATGCGAGGACTGAGTCTGAGAAAAAACTAAAGTCAAACTCGACAATATCGAAGACAGAGTGATGCTAGAAGTCTACTGCTTCGAAGGTTACTGCCGTCAGAGTTTAAGACGAAGGTGTTTCAGTCCAAAGTGCCGACTCCTTAAAGTCGATCTCTACGCGTGTGACCAGCCGGTTGTAGGTCGTCCCCTGAGCCTCAGCTTTCGCAGCTTTGAAGGATTGAACGGAAATGCTTGGACTTGGGCTTGCTGAGGTGCACGGAGGCTCTGAAAACTGCTCCAAATTCTTGCTCTCGCACCGAAACTGCCCTTCTGTTGATGCTTATTGGCAGTTGGCAGCCTCTACAGCAGCAGTATCCCAGCAACTTGTGTTAGCGGATATGACGATGACAGTGTTGCTACGTTTGCGCATTTTGGCCCCTGCGGAGCCGCGAGAGCTACGTCGCAAGGCTGAGTTGGGGAAACGCAGGGTGAGGCTAGTTCGGACAGGGTCATCCCTCATCTCGACAAGGCGGAAATGGCTATCGGTCCTTCAGGTTTTGGTGCGAACTTTGTATCATCATATCATTGACACAGTTGATATCGTTCTTGAAATTTCTTTTCATGTCGCTGGCATTTGGGTATGACTGTCCTGCCTGTAGGTGCTGCTAGGACTGAGGCATCCGACTGAAGTTGCTCCAGAATCGATAGGGATGCTCCCACGCAGGGCAGGGCCCGTGCCGGCATCTTCTTCCCAGAGGGAGGAACCCATTCAACCTCACCTGGTGCTACGTGTGCATAGCTGAGTGGCGAGAGTCTTCTCGGCCTTCTCCTGCTCCTGCTGATAGGCGCTAAGTCAAAATTAAAACTAAAAACTGTTTCAGTTCCTAGTGTTCTCACATATCGGCATGAAGTGACCATGTGCAACGCTCAATGTCAAGCAAATACTCTTCCCGTCGTTTTGTCACACGAACGAGCTCTTTCATGCACTGAAGCTTCCCAGCTGCCTTCTGCGCCTGCGCTTCTTGCCAGGCCTGGGGCGCAGCTATTTGATCGGAGTTTGCCTTCGCTAAAACCTATCGTCATGAGAGTTCTGGATTTTGTAGACCGGCGTTGCACTCCGGCAGGCCCCCCCGCACCAAATTGAATCCCCTCATTTGGCGGCTTGGGCCCTGGAATTTAGTTCCCTTCCCAATTTTGTGTAATGAAGGACGGGAGCGCACAGAGCAAACACAATGTTTCCACTTCGCCACTCGATTCACGGCTGAAGTACGCACAAGGCAAGAAAGATCCCCTGAATATCGGGCAGGAGAGGGGAGTCGCCTGAACAGGCATGGGCTACCAATCGATGGATAGCTGTAACAGTACCACGTGCTGCGCTTGCGACATCTGGCACCCCTGCTCTGATGAACAGCGGAGCCCTCGTTTTGCATTTGTTAGGCACCTTCTCCATCCTGGAGGGGCGCCGGTTTCCATCTACCTGCCAGCAGTTCTCCCAATGCGGGGCTGACATGAAGGTATGCAGCACTGTTGCCGACTCATGCGCAACATCTTGCTGTAGGCGCTAATCTGGGCGGCATGTGCAAACAAGCACGATGCTTCCGGCTCGCCGAATATGCGTCACGTTGGTTACACAGCTCGAAAGGCTCTTGATTTTGTCCATCACGGCGGAAGCAATCATTTCAATGATCATGCTGCCGCTTACCAGTCTATGGTGATACTGAAATGAGGTCGTCTAGCTCCTAAGACTGAAACGCTCTGGCTAAGCGTGTGATTTCCCCTGTAATTGACTATGTAACTGCACAGAGCCACCGTAACACACAGTAAAGTCAATGAGCGAGAAATGAATAACACAGCCATGGCAGGCATCCAACGACGGAACGTTTTCAATTGACAACCACGAAATAACAGTGTTGCTCACTGTATAGAAGCCACCATGACTCTCACGTCTGCCTAAACCCGTAGCATGCAGCAACTTGAACCTGGTCGTGCTCTGTGGAAGCCGTGTTCAGGCTCGACGTATCTGCAAAGGACCAGGAGCAACACTCGACTACAATGCTGCTTTCATTCTGGACCGCACAGCGAGCAGAGGATTGCCAATTTCAGATACAGCATGATACAGCCAAGCACGATACCAAAGTGACTTCACGAAAGCTGCCTGAGGAGTTGCGGCTCCTTGATGAAGTGGCATTCGGCAGGGGTGGGGCGTCGTTGAGCCCTGACGTGGGAGAGTGAAGTCAAAGATGAGAGTTTTTTGAGATTGTCAGTCAGTTCGCAGTCGTATAGTGGGGCATCAAGAGTTCTTCAAGGCAAGCCGATTTTGGAGAAAAGCGCCATTGGAAACGGTACTGGATGGAAACTTGCCTTTGCTAGCACAGTGCTTTCTGGGAGTTGCCGTTGGAGTCGGAGGGTTTCCGAGTGATCTCGGAATTCTGTCGAGGTCGTCTGGAAGGGAGGGGATATGAGGGGATTTTCAAGCACTTTTAGAGTGGTTGTGGAGCGTATGAGGCTGTTTAGGGGTCGTCACCAAGCCCTCCCGCCCACACTGCAGCGAACAAGCCTGCAAGCCAGGTAGAGAACCCGTCAATGTTCAGCTTACAATCGACCAAACCTATGTAGAAATCGAACTTTCAGGTCATCTGAAAGCGCAACCCCGGACCCAAGCATGAATAGCAAATGAAAACCTCAGCAACACGCTCCGAAACCACCGAAAACATAGCCACAGCCGAAGAACTAGCTGCTACGAAGAGACAGGTGAGAGGGTGCAGGCTACAGCTGGACTATCATGGCTTTGATGGGATGTAAGGGACAAAGCCGTTCTGCGCGACCCTTGCCATAGCAGGAACCAGTCAGGGGCATCCTACGCTTGCAGAAACCCCCTGCCTGATGCCGACTTTGAGTCCGATTTCGCGGGCGCAGGCATGGCCAGGCCTGTCTTCTGAAGCCACGGAGTCTGGACATGTTGAGTTTATAGCTTGCGATCGTTGAGAGATATTGGAAGTGGAGATTCATATCTGGCAGGTGGCCTCTACGCACACCCGGCACGCGTGCCAATGCTGCACAGGCGGGACATGCAAGGAGCACAAGCCCTTATCAGCTGGAAGAACGAGAGGCCACTTTGAGCTGCTGCACATGTCTGCAGACGCGGGGCCAGCCATCCGGAGATCGTTCATGTGCTTCTGTGTGGAGCTGAAATTCCTCAAGATTTTAGCGGCTTGCTTGATTTGTGTCGGAAGCGCGTGTCAAGGCACCCGTTTGATACTTTTAGACTCGGGGTGATGCCTTTCTGGTAAGAGTCCAGCACAGAGTGCCGAACGAAGCTGACGCTATCTGCACTTCAGGCTCTGTTCGGTCCGTTCGGTCGGCAGGTTGATGTCGTGATCTAGGATCGGTTAGTCCTCATACTCCCTACCATTACCCCCACTTCATATCACATTCTGAAATCTGCATTCGCATCCAGGCATGTGAAGCTCAGGCACATCGCAAGCTGCTCCAGAGCACCTAGGCAGCGGCATGAGCTATGCAGTATCCACCTAACGTCTACCAACCACATTGAATACATGTGCACATATAGTACACATATATATATATACATACACATACTCACCCATATGTATGAAGAATACGGGGTCGAAGTCGACCGCTGCGTTTTGCATATTTTAGGAATATGCTGAAAATTGTGTGTGTGTGTGTATGTGCGCGGTATCAATCTTATTATCTATAGTTTAACTATATCAGCTCTGTCATCAACATTAACATCTACATAAATTCTGTATTACTTGTCACACTGTGCAATCATTAAATTGATGTTAAGCTACATAACCAACATATAACTAGATCAGTTACGACTACATCTACATCATCTATCTTATTAATAGTTCTACCAATCTTAACAGGTGCGATGCTTCACTAATTAAGGCTATTAACAGATATGCACTTAATACAATAGCATTTGGTTCATATTTGGAGGTGATGCTATGTTCTATCAATGTTTGATTTAGTTCTTTGGGAATCCAGAAGTCTACCCTTCCAGCATTCGATAATCAATAGTTTAACAATAACTGGCTTATTGCATGTTTAGTGTCTTTGGTTAACTTGTCTATAATCGGATAACCTGAGCTATGAGGCTATGAGTTGTCTTTGTCTATTAGGATAAATTAGTTTGGGCACATCATGTGTTTACAACTAGTATGCAACAGTGATACAAGAGCTAACTTTACAGGTTCATACATTGGTTATATTATCATTACCAACTTGTTCGTTACGATCATGTAGTTGGTATTCTACATCCCTGGACAAGTAATGCATGTCTACTGACACTGTTTCACAACTAATGTTAACTGTTATAGTATATCTTTCATATAGTCTGCTTACAATAGGTGGTTCAACCGGTATTATACTTGGTAATTAGTGCTGCTATTGATATAGATTTTCATGACTCTTATTATGTTGTTGCACTTTTCATTATGTCTTACCATTAAGTACAACCAATGCTGCCCCATTAAGACTATTATGTGTATTGTCTTGTGCAGTATAAAAATGACTTACTAACACTAGATGAACAGCTATAGGTAGTGGCATTGGCATGAATGGTCTAGGTTAGCTGTGTGTAGATGTTAATACAAATCAAGTTGTCTAAGTTTCTCATGTGTGTTCTAGTGATGTTATGTGAAGGCTTACATCATCACATCTCAGTTGTTTCTAATGTTTAAGCCTAGTAGAGTACAAGACCAAGGAGATTACTTAATATAGTGGTTGGAATGATACTAGTTCAGTTGGTGAGAGGTTGCACGTTAATTTCATTTTGTATCACTACAGTCCTTTCCAACCAAGATAGTTTAATAAGTATTGGGGAGGCCACCGGGAGCTTGTCAGATATGACTCACCGGACAATAGAACTAGGCTATACTAGGCTTGAGTACGGAGCACCGCGAATCACAAACTGTATACGGCATGAGTGACCAGTGATGCATGAGCGATATATGTGATGCAGCACACGCTTGACACGCATCGGCTTCTTTTGGAACGCGCAGCGATTCATTGAACTGTCTGTCACGTAGCCAATGTGTCTCAAAGCGTCGAAACCTAAAAAACCCAAACCTCCAAAACCAAAAAAAAATGCCATTCTTTCAGAACTCTACCATTTGTGTACATTTCTACTGTTATTCTGGAAGAGCACTGAAATAATGGTTTTTTGATTTTTTTGGTTTTGATTTTTTTGTTTTTTTTTGGTTTCGTTTTTTTGGATTTGGTTTTATAGGTTTGTTAAAGGAAAGGGGCTGGTGTTTCTTAGGGCTTGAATTACGGCAACGCCCCTAAGCGCCAGAGTTGATAGTGATGTCGTGGAGGAGGCGGACCTGAACTGCGCAAAACGCAGTGGTCGAGTTCGGCCCCCGAACCGAATATTGGCAGGCATCGGGTGAAGTCTCCACCACAGTTGCCACCAAACTAAAACAGCAACATCCCATGAAACAAAACAGGCAGCGATCCGAGGCGCTTTTCTGGGTCTTGGCCTGCTTTTCCAGGGCCTGGTCCAGGTGCCGGCAGAGGGCGGCGTTTTGCCTGGCCAGCTCCTGGAGATGTAGAGTTTGGGGACTGCGGTTTATGAAGAGGGCTTTCATGGACTTTGCTTTTAGTACTGGTGGGGTAGCCGTATAGGGACTATACAGTAGTCAATACTTTGCGGAGACTTTTTGTTGTCTGCTTTTCAGGGAACATGATTCTAGGTGTCCGATTTCTGTCTGCTGTTTCGCTGTTTCCACGTCCTCCGACAGCCAGGTGCGCAGCGTCTGCGACTCGTCGCCATAACACTGCCCGTCCTCTCAAATTTCCGCGATCCCCGTGAAGGACATGGGGCTTTGCTACTTCCGCAACTACACAATCAGTGCAAGACGGCCTGATAGAAAGGGTACATCTCTTCAGCTTGGGACATGCATGCTCCATGACTGTTGTTGCTGTGCCTATAGTGCGAACATTCTCTTGATCGGACGTGCAATATGCAGTGCATCAGCGCGTATACACGTCTCGGCACTGCTCCTGCGAAGGCATGTCGGTGGCGGCCCTCAATTGACACGGCAGTTGTGTAGTATAGCGGTCACTTCTTGAAAACATGGCAGGGCTTCATGTTGACGGGGTGATGAGCTTCTTCCGAGTGCTCGTGTGCCACAGGGGGGTTGTGAACTGATGCCGCACAGGTGCGGTCTGTCCGGGATACCCGGTATATCCCGCGGCGCTTCAGCCATCAAGCTGCAGCACAGCGGGCTCAACCCTTTAGTATACTTTCCTGTTTGTGAGTCTGCTTGTCTGTCCGCTTGGTGCCTTTATTTGGCGTTGTGCTGCAGGCAGCTGCAAAAAGTTTCCAGTCAGCTGCTAAGCGCGGCACTTGCCTGGGAAACATGAAACGGCGAGCCAGCCTATGCGGGGAAATGCGGGGAACTGGAGCTTACAATCCTGCCTTTCATGCTGTGGGGTGGGATTGTGTGGAACACTTGAGCCACAGCAGCAGTTCCACAAGGATCGGTGGCCCAGACTGAGCCCTCTAATCCTGTAAGCAGGACGACCTCCATCTTTCATGTCCACTGCTCTTCTGCTTATCACTGATCAGCTCGCGGCCGACGGCAAGCGCCGCAAAATCATGAACGGGCCTCCTCCTGAGCCCAGTCCGGCGCACCACAGAAGCGAGCCTCTTCGGGCAATGCGTAGAAAGTGCGCGTGCTTCACGAAGCATACCAAACTCCAATCGCGAAGACTTGGACTCGTGCAACTCTGCAGAAGAAAAGACGAGCTTCTAAAACTCAAAACGTAGCAGCATGCCCAAATCCGGCCAAAACAACCGAAACATTCTGACATGGAGGCCTGGAACAGATTGTTGGCCAGCGACTCCTCGCGAACGAAACCATTAGCGAATTTGGTCTACACGCAGAAACACAGGCAGCTTTCGACTTATGTATACTTAAAGTCATTGCACACGCAAAGCAAAGTCTGATCTCGCTGTCAGGCAAGCCATTTACCCGCTCATCCATCTGTCTTGCGGCCTGTCTACAGCTCCAGAGGCTTCTGAAGACGAGATACTACCAGTACAGGTAGATCAAGCAAATCTCTGGACTCTGGTGACGAGGTCATGGGTCACCCCCTACAAAGGTATCTCCTTCATCACCGAGTGGTAGCAAGCGGTGTCCACCACAAACCGCAGTGGTGACATCCCTACCTGACCAGTTTGACTGAGCACGGAGAAAATAATCACCTATATCTTCGATGCATGTCAATACAAAAGAGGGCTTTTGTCACAACTTCATACCTTTGGTTCACAGACCAGGAGTCGATCAACCGGCTCTCAAACCCCAGCCCTTTGCCCGCACCATCCGCACCCCAGAAAGCGGAGTGCACAGCAAAGGCAGCGCGAGTCAGCCAAGCAGCTGGTGGAACTGCTTTTGTCTGCACCATGCAATGAGCAAACGCCCTTCTCTGGACGTCCGTCATGCGCATCCATGTGTAACAGCTGGAAAAGTGAGGTATTCGCGAATGACCGTGTCAGTACTACCCTATCCTATGACTGTTCCATCGTAGACTTATCATCATAGTTGCCGCAGCTGTCTTCGTGAGCGGCAGCAGCAGCAGCAGCATAGTAGTAGTCGCAGCCGTGGCAGTAGCGGTAGTGGAAGGAGAAGCAGCAGGAGAAGATGGCCAAAGCAGCAGCAGCAGCAGCAGTGGTGGTCGTAGTGGTAGTGGCAGTGGTAGCTAGTAGCAGTGGTCGCAGAAGTCTTGGTAGAACCAGTAGAAACACCTGTCTCCATGCGCATATGTGTGCGTATGTATAGAAACGTATAATAACCTGTTGTTTATCTATTTCTTTAATTCGTTCTGCATATATATATATATATATGTAGAGATTATTTCTTCATGTATTTTATAAACATGCCAAAATGCATTTGTAATATACTGTTTAAGCCAGATGTACTGTCACCTCCCCCAGCCTCTAACTCGATCGTGATCACTTTGGAGCTCGTCTCCAACTGCCATGAGACGAGGGCGGGGTTGTATGTGGTTTACATGGGGGCACTGTATTTGGGTCCCCAATTTTCAGAAACTCCCATATGCAGCCTCTTACATATGGGTGGTTGTCAAAATTCTGGTCCCTTTTTGGGTCCCTATTATAATACGGCACCTTAATTTTGACAACTACCCACATGTAGTTGGCCACTCTGTGCTCCGAACCCGTCAGATCCAGCGGCGAAGCGTCTCACAAGTGTCCAGCTACAAGTAAGTCACTGAAGAGAGTCGCTGCCACAGAAAGTGCTGTAGGGACTCGGGCTCGACCTGAAATCTGGAATGCCTCGCGAAATCTTCAGCCATCGATCGCAACAGCCGTAACAAGTTCAGAGACCTCCTGAAGCTTGAATGTCAAGACCCGAAGATCCCTCTCAACGCATGTCTGGGCGAGCTCCGTAGTCGCTGACACCGCGCAGCCTCGCGGGCAGGTCGTTTCTGGACTTTTGTGAAGCTCCGTGTCTCCAACAGTCTCCGATGCCCTGAAGAACAAAGGTTATGAGTTGGAGGACTCAAACCTATGCAGGCTGATGCAGTGGTCGCATAAGTCGTGGAGCAGGCCACAAGCCTAGATAAATCCCAAGCGATCTGGAGACAAGAAATGCGACCACTCAGCCGGCGGCAGGAAGATGCGAGCTTCCTGAGTGGACGGTGTCCAGTGCTGTTGCCGTGGCTCAGGATGGCCATGTCGGTCTGAATCTAAAGCTGGTAGAAGGGCCATTCGCTTGCGATGTGCGGGTAAATGCGGCAAGGCGGCAGCAGAGGAGCCCGCCTGTCGTTTCGCATGATGCTAATTCCCACGCTGGCAAGACTTTAGTCGTCTCGTTTGTAGGGAAGCCTGTCAGTGGTGGTAGCTACCAAGCTAGCTCTATATGCCTGCGGAGTGAGGAAGTGTGAGGAGTTGCATTACTTGGTCACGCCGCCCTGCAGATGTGTATGCTCATGGCAAGCGCCTGGCTTAGGAAGGCGTGCTTTGATGTCTGACACAAAAATGTGTGATCCCGGAACTGCCGGCCGATGGCAAACGGGCGAAGCCGATCAGAAGCGCTCTGAGCTGCTCCCAATCGCGAACTTCGCAAATCGCTTCCGCTCGAGGCCTCGTGCCGCCACTGCACAGTGTTGTACCGTGCACAAAACTGCTAAACTCACGATTTTAAACTGCCTTTGGCAGTCCAGAGGACTGGGCATCCTTGGTGGAAGCATCAAAACCGCCATGGGCGGCTGATAGCGGCTCAGACACACTTTGCCGACTGCAGTACATTTGGTCTCGTCTTTTTTTGTGTCAGCAAGATGGGCCCGCGGCTTCAAAACACCGCAGTGAATGGCTTCCACGTGCCCCATTCAGGGTGTGGGCTCTTGCCAATCAATGCACTGGCCACGCCAGCATGTTCGATATTCTACAAATTTCTACAATCTACAAGATTATATGCGCCATTGCCCGCAGCAGGCTGCAGCTGGAAGACTTCTGAGGAGAACGATGGGGATTGTCCGGGCCCCCTCGATGCTTCTACGAATCGGCGTGCGACAACTGCCGTGCAGCGCGTGCGCCACTGCCCGCTGCGGAGGGCCGACGCTGGTCGCGGACGAAGGCTCGAAAGAGCCCCAAGGCCTTCCTCGGATTGCAGGTTGGACCAGGGAGCAAAAGCAGGTTCAGCCGGCTTGTGCTTTGCTTGCCGTCGGTTTCTTTTTTTCCGCCGTCGGCTCGGGATGGTCCGGCTCTCCGACTTTACTGTGGTGAACTGTTGCAGGTGCAGTCAGTGCTCAGAATTATCAGCGTGTATATTCTCCAAAGGTTCAACGTGCCAGAGTAGTACGATGAGGCCGGCTTTCCGATTGCAAAGGCACCTGCAGATCCAAACCACTCCAAATTTGGAACCGGGCAAGTGAACTCCGAGCGGCTTAGAAGGAATGCCCGCCGTGGCATCCTGGCCGAAATCTACTGCAGGCGATCAGGCATAAAGCCCTCTCAGGTTACATCGCTCAGCGTTTAAAGTAAGGGTTTACTAAAAGCGAAGTTGTTTGTTTGGCGAGGCGTGGAAGATGTGAAAACTTTGACCCTGGATTACCTGGATTGGGGATTGAGGAAGTTGCGTCTCAGAAACACGGTTCCTGCACCGCCACCAGCACATCCAACGCAAACCGAACCGTAAGGCAAGAATAAGATTCCAGACATTAAGTATCTTGAACTTCGAACATACTGAAAAGCTTGAAACCCCCAAGACTGCGCGCCAGAAGACCAGTGCCAAACGATACTTACAAATCAACAGTATTGCACACTGCTTATTATTAAGCCCAGAACCCCTTACCCAAGCCAAGCTAAGAGATGTGCTGGCATCTGACTATGCAGAAAACTCCCCAATCAATCCACGTGGGCACACATGGAACATGTGCCTTGAGAATCTTTCCGACCTCCGACGTGTCCACACCCAAGAAGGCAGCTGGGCTCTGTTTTGCCACCTGTGTCATGGGACAGACGGAGACGCTTCTCCTCTTGCGAATGCTTCATACTTTCGGGCAAAATCTGAAACGATGCATGGCCCCTCGCAAAACAAGTGGCACCACAAACGTGTGCACAAACCGCAACTGAAGACTACTTCAATGCCTCCAGCGCGTTCTCGGTGAAGCAATTCTCTGCCCAAGGGTCTGCACCGGCCGCGACCAACTCCTTTCAGCGATTCAACTGATTAAACCCCATGCCACGTGTTGGACCTGCACGATCAAACCTCTGTGAAAAAACGCTATGCAGCACCCGACAACTGTCTTTGGAATTCTTGATGTTCCGATGCAGCCATTGACTATGCGCCTTGGCAGCTGCAGCGTGGCCGGCCAATGCTGCATAGTGCAGCGGTCGATCCTTCATGTCATCCTTGCGGTTCAGAGCAGCATAGGATGGGTTTATTGAAGCGTTTGGTGGTTTGGCGATCGAGTGTATAGGGCGGTTGCATGTTCGGGCGAAGATGTGAAGCAGCCGTGGAGATCGACGGGATGGAATGCCGGCACTGGGCGTGGCTGTTTGTGCTTGAGTAGCTGGTACAGGCGCCAGGCGACATGCTGCGCAGGACTCACGACGGCACATTGTACGCCCTTCTCTACTACGAGGGGCCGAAGGATCCATCCATAAAGCTGCAAAACCAGCAGCAAATCAATTCCCATGCCGACCACGGCCCGACCTCAACGTTGGGATCCATCTTCGCCTCCAAAAGAGCCTCCAGGCGCTTGCCGACCAAATGAGCCGGGTTGGACATGCTTTCAGAAACGTTTCACACTCCTACATGCCGGGTGAGGATGGTCTCATCCATGTCGGTTTCTGGAAGCAAGACTGTGCGCAACTCCGACGCATGAAGTCCAAACCCTCACACCTGAAGCCGTCCTTTGTCTCCAATTGCATCAGAGCGGCTGTCATGGCTGACCAGGATCGGCACGCGATGGCGATGTGCAAGGGCATCCTCGCTTCGGGAATTTTAGCCCTGGTGCCTTGCCTTGGGGAACTGACACTGTCTGACACTCCTCCCAACGTTGTCTTTCATGGTGTCGCTGGACAGCCGCAGGCCGGGCAGGCTGCAAATGTCCTTGATGGCCTGCACGTCATCATTCCTTCCGCAGGCATGGAAGAAGGCGGGCGTGGAATCGTCTCGGAAAGCTTGACCACACGCTCCAACACCGGACTCCCTCTTTTGCTTTGCCAACGTGTCCTGGCGGCTCTTCGCAGGACGGGGCCGGCAAGCCACTGGTGAAGCCCTTGGAAGCAGGTGAAACCCATGGCAGGGTGCTTGGAGTATATCAGTATATCACTGTGCACAAAACTGCGCGGGGACGCTGGTCACCACCAAGCCACGAAGTAAACCGCGATAGTAGCTGTTGTTACTCTCCACGACCTCGCCATCTTCATCCTGGGCTCTCAGGATCTAACGTTATGCCCTGATTCATCATCGCGAGTCGTGGCATCGTCCTTGGACCGTTTTAGTGGAGGTCCCTTTCACGATTCACTAAGGCTTGTCTTGTCACGGCAGAAGTGCCGTCAAGATACGTCGTCCTCGTTAGCGCCACTCAGAAGGCTCTTTAGCAGCCGGTAGATCACCTGGACGTCGAAGTCGCCATGAACCCAGTTCCCGCTTCGAAAGGCCTGGCTGCAAGCCAGCACACCATCGCTGCTGGCGAAGTAGATGCCTTTGTCCGTGCCCACCTTGGAGCTGGTCGCATGACTCACCGTGTGATAGTTATAGCAGCCTAGCCCGGGCCCACCTCCAAGATCAGCGGACCGATGCTTAGGTTCATTGTCTCGTCTTCTTGCAGTTCGGAGGTTTTCGAGAGCTGACAGATGATGCCCTCAACTTCGGTCTTCACCGACTTCCAGCACACGTCGGCATCTTCATCGTCATCGTGGGGGTTCACTCCGAGAATTTCCACAAAGAAAATAGTCGAGTCTGGCAGGTGCTGCGCCTCTGCAAACAGCTCTATAGCAGACATTCGCTCGTGCCAGAAGTTGCTCGAGGAGAAGGTGACTGCATATTGCCTCAGCTGGTCTTGTGAAAAATCCGAAGCATCACTCATTACTCACACACACACGCACTGCTACATGCATCTCAACACTGTGGGAACCTTTGCTGATGCGAAATGCAAGTGACGGCTTTTGGGGCCCGTCAGCCACCAGTTCCATGTAGGAACAGTTGCGCTCCTCCGTTAACTCCTTCACCCACTCAGACACATGCTCAATCCGCAGGTGCTCGAACTCCACGGGCCCCTCGAACTCAACGTCCAAGCCTCGCGTCAATGCGAAGCAGCTGCAGAGTCATGCATCACGGGCAGCTTTCCGACTGTTTGATCTGCAGCAATCACCATCATCAAATCAAGATCCCCTCCAGTCCAGGAACGGTCAAACCATGGACAATCCTCGTCATCTGCGCACCATGGGCAGCTCGCCTGCAAGGCAACTCATGGGGGGGGGGGGGCAAGCTCGTGCCAAAACGTCGCAGCCTGAACTCGAAGGACCGAGCCCTGACCGAGCCCTCTGCCTCCAACTTCGCCGTGAAGACGCGCAGCTGGTTCAAAGTCACACCGCGCAGGGCCATTTCTGCTACCTGTCGTCAAGACGATGTGGTCTGCGGCCGATTACCCTTAAGAAGCCAGGGCAAAGACTTTCACCACAAAGCTTGTTATGCCAAACAGCACTTCTAGTTTTCATCGTCTTGCTCCCATTACCAACCCGGCAGCCCGGCACGGGAAGGCATGGGCGCCTCGCAGCCCTTGGCCTTTTTGGGCAATCCGAGATTCGCCATAACGCGAAGGCGTACCATCATGTTCAGATTCTCGAATCGTTTCCTCGCTTTCACGAAACAGGAAGCTTACAAACCCGGAAATGCCCAGTTCCATTCAGTTGCTTCCGCTGTCCAGCTGAGTCGCGCGTGCTTTCTGAAGAGGTTGGCTTCGTGGGCGTATTCCTTCTCACCTGGGCTTGCCAGAATACAATGCTACAAGTGGTACGCAGTAGTCCACGAGCTGGTGGCAATGCAAAACAATCCACAACTTGCCCTTGAAAGGGATGGCCCGTGGCTGTGCGTCGAGACACCGTTGGACCGGGTTGGCCAACTGGGGTCCTTGGCATTTCCGTCGAGAGAAGGGCGTCCCATTTTGTCCAGGACCATCTGACCATGGGCGTCCTGCAACAGTTCTACACGAAACGAGATGCTTGAGCGTGTAGCGGTGTAGCACGTCGAGCCATAGGAGATATCACAGATCGACGTCACACACAGCCACGTGAGAGGTCCCGTGGTTTATAGGACTGAGGGTGCCAGCTTGGGAAAATGGGAAGTTTCTAAAGTGTATCCAACTGACATTTCTGAAGAGACTGTGAATCCCCACCGAGCACGAGCAATGCACAGGTGGAGCTCCATCCCCGTCGGCTCCTTTTTGAGGCCTTCTAGCTCGTTGACCTTCGCCTGAATGGTGCCGCTTGGCTTGGGCACGGCAGATTCGCCAGGTAGCTCCGAACTCAACGACTGCAGAAACATGGCTTCAGAATGTCGCGGCGTTGCCTTCGTTTGTTGTTGAGGGATCGGTCCTGACTGTGCAGTTGAGCTGCTACATAGTTTAGGATCTGCCTGCGATATTGCGGATCCGAAGCTTCGCTGGAGCGAATGTCCCAATTCTTCACGGCCTGCTCCGGTCGAACGCTTCATGTCCACTGCCACATCTTCTTCTGCTTCACAGAACATGCTTCAGACTTGTACAGCTGATCACTTCACTCCTGACAGGCCTCGACCAACGGTCCACCAGAGACATAGGTGGAACCGACACGTCCTGCAGAGGTGTAGAGGACGAAGTCGATGTCGTTGTTAGTGGTGTAGTGCACCTTCTCTGCGCAGAGCACAAAAGGAGCAAACTTTCGGAGCGGAACGCTCAGTGTGCTCGGTCGGGCCTCAAGTCCGCACCACGTTCGAGTCAGAGAGCCAGCCTGCGCGGCAAGAGCTCGTCTCGGGCCATGTTTGCCATGGCGACTAATAGCGAGGCCTGATAATCGACAACCAGAACCGTGAGGTCCACGGTCTTCAAAGTACGGATGAAGGGACAGTCCTCGCGACCAGCACATAGGACGTTCTGCTTTTCACAGGCTGCTTTTCCACCACAAGAGCGAAATTGTAGCGCCTCGCTGCTGTGCAGCTGACGCTTGCAGACAGACTTTGAGAAACTGCTTAGAGAGTCAGAGATGCCTTAACGTGCGCTATGCATCCAAGAACGAACTCAAACTGTCAGTTTGACCAATCTGTACAATCCACCAACCGCCCTCGATGCTTAGACTTTGAGGTTTGGGTCGTGGAATAGTGGAAGCAAGGGGACGCAGCTGCCAAGAAGAAAAGCCTGAGGGTGCCAAGGCACACGGAGTCAGTGAGAATGCAGCCTACGAGTAGTCCCCTCTCTGTCTCCTAGTGCAGCAGGAGCGGTCCATGAGCTTCGAGCCAAAGTTCTCTCCGAACTGGCAGTTCGCGAAAGTGCAGATCCAAATGGGGGTGTAGATGCCTTGGCAAGAGACTCAAGGAGTGCAAGGAGCCTAAGGAGCCTACGCCAGACTGGAGGCTCCCCGAAGCACTAGTGAAGCGGCGCTGCTCAGGGCCCGGTCCATGGTCATCTTATCCACTGCCTGCATGAAGTCCATGAAGCGTCCTCACGGAAAACGGTCTACCCTTCAGCTGTTGCAAATGTCGGATGTGGCGGTGCATGACACCGGAGCCCTTCTCCCCTCAAATGGGCAGCAAACTCCCGAACACCCAACAACTTCACTAAAAACACCTTAATGCAAATCCCCACTCCGACCCATCAGTCCTCCCCACCAGTGGCTGAACATGATCTTAGCAGGCTGAGGCTCCTCTGCCACGAACTCCACCCAGCTGTACCTTCCAAGGCATTCTGCAAGTTTTCTCAAGGGGGGTCAGGGCTGAATCCCAATCTTGGATTCAGCAATCACATAAGGTGCAGCCAAATTGCCAGCGCCGATCTTCATCCAAATGCTCTCCCTTGGGGTCCACATGTGGGATCACCTTCTTGATCACCTCATTGTTGATGTGATACCTGCAGTTCCACACATAAAACAAGACACATCTTCACCCACCATGCACATGGCAAACAAATGAACTCCAGTGCACACAACCAGGATGCATGTTGAGGCTCGTCCATGGGATCAGTTTCCCATGGCTTGCTTTCCCCTTGGAGTGCTCCGTGGTGTGCCTTGGAGGACAGCAACACGAAAAGGGGCTGCTTACTTGCCGGATCACCACTTTGGAGGAGGGTAGGTCAGGGAGCTCATTATAAACGCAAGTGGAGGCTCTTCTACGATATGATTTCCGATTCCTGCTCTGATTGGCTGAAGAGAAAGGCAACGGTCGTTGCATGTAGTTTTTCTACTCTCGTGCTGCCATATCGGAGCTTGACTTCTTCGCGAGGCAAGTTCTCACAGAGCCCTTCCAGAACCCACCTCATCACTTTCACAAGCTTCTCGACGTGTCGATAACCGCCTCCGGGTAAAGGCTAAGCTTGCCACATGTACTCGGATCTTTCAACTTGAATGCGGGTTGCTTCAGCAGCTCGGTCTTGGTCAGATACTGGAGAAAAGTCCGGAGGCTGCGCAGCTGCTTTACGGTGATGGCACGTTCTGCGACATCCTGACGAACAAACGGCACATGCTCCCAAATGCAATGTCTCAAATTCATGAGAAAGGCAGCGGTATGGTGGGACGCAAGCCGACTGGATCAACATTATGGGTCACGCACACCAGACAATGAAGCATCAAGACGTGCACGACGTTCTGAAATGTTCTGAACTTCGGTGCAAGCCCGCCCCTGCCCCTGTGTAGAAATAAAGGCACGAGCTGAAAACCGGCCTCGATGATGCAGCCGGTCTTCTCTTGCCGGGTTGCTTTGCCTCCCTCGTCTTCCTCCGTCTCACCCTCGTCACTGCTCGCTTCGTCAAGGTCTGCTCTTGAGGTCTCGTAAATGTCATCGAGGCGGGCATCCAGATCTTTCCACGGCAGCACCATGAGGAGACACAACTTCGCGAGGTCTCCACGCACAGCTTAGATGCAGTGAGGCTTGCAGGGTCCAGGGTTTTGATTGAAACGTGATCATGTGAAGCTTATGCTCAGCATCGCCTGACGTGAATCGCGTGCTTGCTCTGCAGCATGGAAGTCATCATGGCGTAGGCTTCATTTACTTCAACTTATGCGCAAACGCTCGCAAAAGCAAGTTGGAAAAGCAGCGCCAAAGGACATGCTGAGTTGCACAATTGCAGCTTCCTAGGGTTTCGGGAGCTTCTGAGTGCCCAGAGTTCCAAGCGAAGCCAGTCTGCAGTCGCCTTCGGCTGGGCTGCCACCGGCGGCTTCTTCATCTTCTTGTCTTTGAACGGATTCTGCCAAGCGAAACACGGTGACGACTCTATAGGCAAGGTTTCCTAGCAAAGCCGCGCCACGCTGCCCCTGAAGAACGACCCTGCTACGGTAGGACCTTCTTCTGCTTGGTCTCCTCTTTCTTTGGAGGGTGCAGGATGGCATCGGCACCCTGGCGCAACAAGTGGTTTAAGTGCTCACGGACCTGATGACGACCGCAACAAGAGAAGGTTGCTTGCTAGCGCGACACGAGGATCTGCGAAGAAAAGAAGTGCGGCATCACAGGAGTAAAGCTCCAGAAAACGGACAATGGAATGATCTGACGACAGTTGCAAACAATACTTGTCATGTGCCTTTATCCGAATGCCTCACGTTGGTTCAGATGAGGTGACACTTGCCACGTCCGAGTTCTGCTACAAGTACCAATAGTTCTGGCATCTATCATCATTTGCATCGTCGTTGCCTTCATCAGCATCATCATCATAATTATCATCACCACCATCATCCCCAGCAGCTGCCGTTTCGAAGACGGAAGCCGCTCAATGAACAGTATTCATGCATCCCACCGCTTCTTGTTGAAATATCAGCCATATTGAAACTGTCATGACGAAGGCTAACCACAAAACATGAGCAGACTTTCATAGGACTCAGCAAACGATACGAGCAGGAACTTAAATTTTCCTCTATGCAGAATTTCACGCAGCATTGGCTAAGTTCGACACCTGTTCTTCCAGGAGCTCCAGTAATGATTCCTTGTCGACGCGCCCCTGACCAGGGTGAAGGCTTGACATCTGGCCGCCTGGGTTGAGATCAGCATTCACTATCGGAGATATCAGACTGGTGAGATGTTGTGAGGGCTTGCTTGGCTAATCGATGACATGCCTAAGCTACACACGACAATCGCAAAGGGACGGACGAGTATGTGCAACCTCCACGGGCACAGACGCGGCGACGCTCCGTTGCCCTTTGAAAATCCGGCCTCACAGTTGAGGCCCAACGCGATCATCTGCTTGCGGAGGTCACGAGCCTGCAACATCCGGGAGCCTTTGCCGTTTAGCCGAAGTCGGCCGTTTGCAGTTTGGGACAGTATAGGGTGGGAGAAGCGGGGTGGTGAAGGGTGGTGCTGATCGGATTTGGCTCATGACCGAGTTTTTGTGGCATGTGTTGGTTATGGAATGTCATGATGTCCTGGATGGGGCGGGTGAAAGCGTTGCAGGATGTTGTAGGCTGCTGTGGCTCATGCTTGCGCTCGCCCTGTTGCAATCTAAGCCCTAAGCAGAAACAATCCTACAATTTGCGAGTGTCTCGTCGAGTCTAGTCTCGACCAAAGAGGCCAGGCAAAAACGAGATTGTCGGAAGGTTGCCCGTGACTCGTGACCAAGCAAGGCCTCGTGAATGTCGCAAGGCGGGCTCTGAGCTGCTGCAGAAAAAACACCCTCAGCCCTTGTATTTCAATGAGAACATCTAGACTATCTAATCTAGACTCAAAGCGGCGAGCACCTTGAGCGCTCGAAGCTCCTCCAACTTCTGCTGCACCTGGGATGCAAAGCATGGTTTCTTGCAGAGGATACTCACGCTTCTCATGATGACACAATCCCAGATGAGCTGCCAGAGCTGTGGTGGTTCTGCTTTGGGCCTAGGCTTGAGGGATGCTGTAGTTCCACGTAGGTTGCTGCTTCGGTCGCTGGGCTTGGAGACTAATCATCTAATTGGGCAACACTTCTGCATCCTCCGTTTCAGTGTAGTGTGACCTCGGATTTCGAGTGTCGGCCGTATAGTTTCCAGCACGGAAGTCGATGTAGGAACCTTCGCCCTTGAGCTGGCCTCGCGTGGCAGCTCTTCTGGCTTCGCGCTCTCCGGCGGTGGGCTTTCCTGGCACCATGGAGCAGGGACGGGACCGTTTTGCCTCGCGGGTCTGCTGGGGTGCAGGGCTCGTAAAGGCCTGAGTTTGTCCATATTTTGAGGCTTGTCAGAAATGCAGCCCTGTCGAAGTTTGAAGCCTCTCTTGTTGTACGTGTTGTCTGAAAGCTATGATACGGGTTGCCCTTGTTTTGAAGACTCCACGGCTGAGCTTGTCGGCTGTGGATGGCTGTGGTGAGTGAAACCTACAAGAGTGCAATTCCCCCAATCAGATTCTGTTGTGTACGTAATGTACGCCGCTGTCACAAGCGGCTTGTTCCCCGGGCACCTCACAAGTCCGAGAGGTCAGGCGACGGTCCACCCAGCTTCTGCGTCTTCCGCAACCAAGGTGGCACACCCGCAAGGTGATCCTGCGGCCATTGCTTCGAGGCAGGAACTTCGGGCGCCTTCTCCACAACCGGCTCCGGCTTTCTCCGCTTCCGCTCTGGCTTTTCTTGGATGGGCTTCTTTTCTGGCTTGCCAGTTGCCGCCTCGGCCTTCTCCTTGGCAAGCTGCAGAGCCAGCTGTCCGGGCTTTATCATCTCTTTCTTGTCGGAGATGTGCCTGCGATAGCGGTTGTGCATGGACTGCCAGCTGTGCTTCGTGACTTTGGCTCTTTGTGCTCGCTCCCAGAGCTCGCGGCCCTGGGGTCGCAAAGTTGGGTTGGACTTCACCCAGCGGATCAGCGCAGCATCATCCTCTGCTGTAAACTTCTTCCTCTCTGCCTTGACCTTCCCTTCTCGCGGCCCGGCACCATCCGCACCAACGATGCCAGCTGCTTTCTTTTTGTCAATGATGTAGTCTTTCACCTTCTGCAACTGTCCATTGGCCACTGAGTCGAGGATGAAGCGCGAGGAGACAGCACTGCGATCTCCAGCAGGTGGTGATCCCTCGGGAATGATGTTGATTACATGCTCCGTGGGCTTCTCCACGAGACAGCCACCGCCTTCCCTCACCATGGTCCGGAGCCTTGCACCATCTTGGCACGGAGGCACATAAAAGGTGAGCTGCTTTCCCACCTCCACGAAGATCTGTGATGGCGGAGTGGCCTTGGCCTCCTTCTTGAGCTCCCGCAACTGGGAGGGTGCCATTGCCGGCCGACCCCGCTTCATGCTTGCGAATAGTGGTCACACTTGCCTGCCTAATTGCACCACCCACATGCACCGACGTCTCCACAGTGTCATATCCGTCTGCTATGTCATGTGTTTGGAACCACGTCATGCGCGGACTTGACCCGCCTGCCTAATGTCTGGAGCAACAAGCACACAGAATCGGAAGTCGCATGATTGCCTTGCAAGGTCCACAAACGAAGACAAGCGCAAGATCACGGGCCTCGGCCTCAGTGCCTTCCTCGGAGTGGCCCGTTGAGAGCACCCTGAGCAGCACAGATATTGGCATTCGGAGCCATGTTTCTCCTGCTCCAACTCTGGACTGCCACACCGGAAATGGCCTGCGACCTTCGGTTTCCAGAAGCTCGACCAGAGACCTCTCAGAGTGAGGACGCTCCCGAACGCCTGCGCCTACGCCCTCTAAGCCTGAGCAAGGCGTCTGCTCTCAGGCTGATTCGTGCTGATGCCTGAGACTGCGGCTCCCGGTCCACGCGGCCTTGCGTGGAGAGGCCCAGGCTCTCGAGCCGCGCCCGGAGCTCCCGCACCTCGCCACCACACAAATGAGCGAAGCACTGGCACTGTCAAAGGACCGGAACTCGGACCTCGAAGCATCAGCCGAGGCCAAAGCACGCAGGCTCTGCATCTCCTGAATTCGCTGCTCCAGCTCCGACCTGAAAACACAGTGATAAAAACCACTTGTGCTCTCGGCGCGCGACCTCTGCTCGTTCTTGATGAATTCTGTTCGGCGAATGGAGAGCATGCAATCTACGAGTGCAACCGAGTACACAAGAAAGGCTTGCGCCATGTGACATCTCCGGGATCCGCACAGGTCAAGCACTTTGTCCTGGACGCCTGCGCGACGCAATGAGGTTGTAATTGAGGATAAATGCTGAGAGCGGAACGAGAAATTGAGAGGGGCAGGACGTGCATGCCGGCGTCAATATGACCCAATAAGGGTTCTGTTGCGAAACTCTGATGGCCTTGTCGCAGGATGATCCGCCGGCGCCATGCAGAGCTCGTGGCCGCGATCGTGAAGCCGGCCGCCTGGGCCCCAGCATGCTTTGCAGATCGGTCCTTGCGTCTTTGCCTGATATGTTTGCCCTACGGATCTGTGACCAAGCTTGGAACTTGGTTAACATTATGTTTAACTTCTGGCCAAGCTCGGAGCTCATGAAAAAAACATGACATGCAGGGGTCCGAGCGGAGACGACTTGTCGGCACCATGGGCTGCCTGTGCAGTGGAGCTTCACCCCCTTGCCAAGACTACTCACAAGGGTCCATGTTTGCATGTGTTCCAATCTACTATATATCTACTCACTCTTGCATTCATAACGTTTGGAGACTGTGCTAAGCCTCCAGCTCCGAACTCCGTACTGAAAAGAGTGGGAGCGAAAGCGTGGTTCGATACATGACATACAGAGCATATCGTATCCAGGCTTTAGGCTCCCATCATCTTCCATCCCTCAGTCCCCCAAGTAACCTGCAATGTGGGCCGGCAGGCGGTCTATCAAATTGCATTTCGTTGCGTCGTACGGAGGTCAAAGCCAGGCTTAATGGATCTGCAGTACCGTTTGTTTGAAAATCCTCCGAAGGCTCTGTGGCAATCAGTTCCTGTAGGGATTCCAACAGTAGCCCACTCTACACGCTAACTATTTTGTACTGTTCCGCAAACTCTGCTCCACGTTGTCATCCGCTGCTTGACTCTATCCTGAAGGGCCCTTCCCACTATCAGTAGAAGTTTCTCTTTGGAAACAGAAGACCACGATAAACACCGACTGAGTTCGGGCTGACCTTACAGGAGTTCGAGGAGCTGCTTCTGAAAAGCTCTGACAGCAACCAGGCAATCTCCGGACCAGTTCGCCCTATATAACAGTTGCTGCGCCTCGGTTCGCCGGTGTCCTAGACGGCGCTGAGGGCACCGGCGCCTGGTATCGGGTGCTTCGGATCTTACGTTTTGGCATTCTGAAGCAGCTTTGGTTAGGCCATGACGCCTGTGGAGTCCCTGGCAAAGGAGGTTCTGAGCACCCTGCGCTCGGTCTGAACTCCGGTGAAAGCCTGGTTGACAAAACCGCTTGCGCTCAAGACGAACCAGAAAAATTAACTAGCGAAGGCGACACAGACTTCCACCAGCTCAGCTACTACGGTATGCTGTCATGATGGCATTGCCCCTCTTTCTTTGGCAAGTCGATGTGAGGCCAGTTGGGGGGGCAGGGGCAAGCAAGAGTGTATAACCCAAGTCTGCGCAATTTGAGCCCGTCGCATTGCTATCGGAGATTGCAGCTCCATGGCGGCCCAAGCTTGGACTAGGGCGGCCAGTAATAGTCACTTCTTGAATCATTGAAGAATCTCCACAGGTACGTCAAGGGGCTACGAGTCTACGACAGGCTCTGCAATTCAAGCTGGTCTCACGCGTTAGGTTGACGTTGATGGCTAGTGGACGAAACAGGAAGAGAAAGATACTCCAGAACTTACCTCTTGACAATCAAACTTTATATATAGCTTACATAAGACATCACCGTCGTGTTTATCTCTACACTATAGCGCTAGCCTCAAAAATCTCAGCGAGCATTCTTGCACCGGTCGAGACCTGTGTCAGCATTGGATCCTGAACCTCGTTTATCTGGCGGCATCTTCACCGAAACGACTTTTTGCGACATGCTTCGGGTAAGGACCGCCCCAGTAGTGTTGCTCCAGGTTCACAGCTTTCCGATTCTGTCTCGCACCCATCCATTTTCGCAGTGTAAAGATGGACAAGTCTCCGTTCGGCTCTTGAGCTCAGCTCTGCAAACTCAGGCAAGCCAAACATCACTCCACTGCCCAACACATGCACACAGGACCGGGCTTTCAGACTGCGAACCTCCATGCCAGTCAGGGCAGCTAGTGTCAGCCTTCCATCCCGGCACAGAAATACATATCTTGTCCACAATTGGTGCACTCGTCGTCTCTGAAGTCGGGAGCAACCTCTCGCACGTTGCAACAGGCGTTCCACCATCCTTCCACTGCGCAAGCAAACTCGGCCTCACCTCCATCCCGGCCCTTCAAGCCGGCCGCGAAGGCGGCTTTGCAATAGGGATTCTTGTCCGATGTGTCGAGTGGGCAATCACCACCTTTGCCCTGATAGCGTGGGCAGGAGATGACAATGGAGGAGACAATCTGGTTACAAAAGCTTGCTTGGGCCTGATTGGGGATCATACCACTGGCATAGATACCTCCCAAAATAAGCACCTTCAGTGGGGCCGTGCCAGGATCCGACAGTACTGCACCATGAACAAGGCTGGTGAAGGTGCTGCTGGCCATAGTGGTTTTCAAATCTCTCTTGTCGATACATGTCCTCCTGCAGTGGCCTGGAACCTTGTCCTGGTCTCTGTAAAACCTGTAGAATGCAGGAAGCAAGGTGCTGAGTGGCTCGGTGCGACAATCTTTCTGTGTCTCGTTGCCAAGCACAAGATCGGACAGATCATTCTCATGCCTTCCTGAGCGAGCTGGCCTCGCTCCGGAGACTATCGTCATGAGCGTTGCGATGCGCGCAACGGAGCGCAACATCTTCATGGACGTGGAGCCTGAACTGGACAAACAAATACCGCTCAGCGACTTTGGGCCAAACGCGGCTACGAACTGGGAAGCGTTGAAGTGTACTTCTTCCTCAAACTGAGTCATACTTGCCACGCCGTCTCAGATCTGACGGTGCACACGTCAACTCACGACGGATTTTTCTTGGCCACACTTGTCTGTACACGAGTCAACCTGGGGATCTGAAAACCGCGAACGTGAGCCCACAGAATTATCCTAAACATGACAAGTGCGCCAATGCCTATCCCTAGGCCCTAGCTCCCAGTGCAGTGGACGTGTGGTGGGGCACATCACTAAAATTGCAGACTCTCACTTTGTCCGCTTCCTGCGCACCAGAATTCGTCCACCATGCCAGCTGCTCGGATCTTACAAAGCAGTGTCCTACGACTGGCCACGCTTGCTTCGAAATCCCACAAGTTGAACTGACAGGTGTGAAGGGCAAGCAACAGAAATGTGTTGCACTCTTTTGTGGCCGCTCTGGCTCTTGCTTCGTGTCATCATCTTCGGGGATCTCGTCCTGCGCATCGGGAGCGGTTCGGCAAGCACTGAAAGAATGACTCGCTGGGAAGCACCGTGTTCACTTCTGCGCAAACATACATACTTGTACCGTGCGATCCGATACCATGGCATATCGTACGATATCATATCACATCATACCATAGCATGCGATGCTGTCCATCAGACCACAACACGGTGAACATACATACTAATACTGTCATGCGGCGAAAATCGATACAAAACGGTACAGTACAACAGAACACAAAGCCGTCCAATGACACACACACACACATACCTTGGTTCAATCGCAAACATATAGAATGGAACAGTGACCAGCGCAGCATTCCGAAAGCTGAAAACGGATTCAGCAAAGTCACACCCGGCCTCCTTGAAGCAAGGCAATGGCGCGGACCGGAGCGGGACCTCTGCCCGCCTCAGCCCAACAGCAGAAACTTCCACACCATGAAGTGTGGCTTTTTTGCAGATGACGGAACGTAGACTGAAGTGTGGCAGCGACCCTTGTAGATTGCAATGATGTTATTCGGCGATGATACGGCAAAAGTGGCATGGGTGATGCTAGGCCGTGCCCCTGGTGTGCAGGGATATTTCATTAAGTGCTGATGCTTCCAAAGCTCTGAACTGATGCCCCATGACTCCAGCTCTTTTGGCTGGACCTCCCCTGCTCCGGCAAGAAGTTCGACGCAAGCAGCACCCACAGTACAAAGAAACAGGACCGCAACACCAATCCAGGCCGTGTCGTCTGCAGGCAAGGGGGATGGTTGGAGTGACAAGGCCAAGGTGGTATGAGGGAGGGGGCTTCAAAATAAAATGGGAGCAGTCGTAAGTTTATTCTGGGCACGGGACTTCAAGTGCCAGGCATGAGCATGAGGATTTCCCTTGTCCCCTTCGAGGTGGCCCACCGCAGCGTACCTCTAGGGTTGCGTCCGTGAAAGGGCCACGTGATTGGCGTCTGCATCTGTGCATCATGGTCTGCAGCTGCACTTTTGTGCCTGCATATCTCAAACCCAGCAGCCGTCAGCGCCTCCTGACAGAAGTTCAGAATTGGGCTACAACGTGCAATCCTCGGCCGCTGGGCGGCTGCAAAATCGCTTTGACTCGATTGGAAAGGCATGCGAGCATTGACGCGCACCCGATCTGTCCTCAAAGCGCCGTCGCTGTGCAGTGCCAGTTGGGCCAGTGGGTGCCAGAGAGGTTTTCCTCAGGAGAGCATGCCGAAGATGCGACGTCGCAGGCGGATTTGCTGGCACCACGGAGACACAAGCCAACCAGCCGTCGGAGTGGCATTGAAGCAACGACATGGCGCTAGGCTCCTATCTTGATTGAAACTAAGCACCCATGAACAGCTTGGACTAATCTTCTGAACCGAGGCTCTCAACGAGTAGCAGCGCTCCGCCGAAGCAGAGGCATCGGCGTGCCTTGTCCAGCATCGCCTGGCAGGACGTGCAGGGGATGCATCCAGGAATGACCTTCCTTCCTCCGAAAAGGGGGTTTCGACGACACTAAGGATCAGAGATGCTGACTCCGAAGTGGTCCGAGTTGCTCGACGGAGCTCCGGTGTCGGCAAAAAGGACAGGACCTGATCCGGAAGCAAGGGCAGGCTCATCGAGTTAGATTCTTGCACAAAATGTCTGGCAGGAGACGGGGAAGGGTGCTGTCCAAGAACTGCAATCAGTCCGGCGAGCCCCACACATGCTCACCTTTCTCTGGGCATGGCATCCCGAATCTAAGACCCCTGCCAGACTCATGACCACAGCATGGAAGCCTGCAGCCTCGCAACGCTGCACATTCCGAACATGAAATCCTTTGGACGCGAAGGCGCCTTGACATTGCAAGCAGGGCCACCTTGAGAGACTTCAGGCGGCCCGAGGCATCCAAACTGTAGAGCTCTTTGGCCTGGAGGACACACGGAGTGGCACGGAGGGAACCCGGCTTGAGCCTTGCACCCAGTCGACACCCTGCGAACATGGTAGGCTGCCAGCTTTCGAGTGCTTATACATGTGCTAACAAAAGCCACATGAAACAACTGACTTGAACAGGAAGCCTTCTAAGTCTACTCCTACTTCTGCTAGAGTTACTACTAATCAAGCACTACTACTGCTACTACTACTGCTACTACTGCTACTACTGCTGCTGCTGCTACTACGCTACTGCTATTGCTACTACTGCGACTGCTGCTGCTGCTACTACTACTGCTACTACTACTACTACTACTACTACTACTGCTACTACTACTACTACAACTACAACTACAACTACAACTACTACTACTACTACTACTACTGCTACTACTGCTACTGCTACTGCTGCTGCTGCTGCTACTACTACTACTACTGTTGCTACTACTACTACTACTACTACTACTACTACTACTACTACTACCATGACGCGGACGGCGACAACTCGGCAATCCTCGGCCACGTCCAGCTGCAAGAAGTCACCGGCCAGGACCTCCGGATGTGCCGGAGCCAGGTCCTCCACGGCTTTTCGTCTCTCTTTCCGCTTGCGAAGGGGTCCCTGGAAACCTGACCGATGGCCTACCCCCCATGGCGGAAAAGAATCTCTCTTTCTGAGTCTTCCTCTTTCCATTCTGCCGGCTTTCAAGAAGGCGAAGCGACTGTTTCAAGGCGTCGGAGCTGTGGGCACATTGCTTCGGGCCTAGGGTCTGGCTTGGGGTCGACAAACTTGGCATTGGGCTTCGGAAAGGAATTGCTTGAACGTCTTTGTGAGGATGACAGGGGCTTGAAGGCAGTCTCTGTCTGTGAGGACCCTTCTTCTTGAAATCGAGGCGTCAGGTGATTTGTTGATAGATGCATGGCTTCTGCTTTACAGCGTGCAGCGGGCCGAGAGTCCAGAGCAACGACGCGCATGCCACGCCCGCAAAAAGCACCGTAGCTGCTGCCGACATCCAGCAGACCTCTCCAGAAGAAAACCACTCAACTCAATCTCAATCTGCTACAAGTACTCGGAACATCAGTGGAAGCAAGAGCAAGGTGTCCTAATTATGGACAAGCCGGACTTTGAACGAAGCAGTCTCAAGCATGCCATTGGGGCGGCTTCATAGTGGCTTAGTGCTGCTGGGCCGCAGAGTTCTTCCGTCCACTGTGGCCCAAAGCCTCCCGGGAGCGAAAAAAAAAGCATCCCGAAGCCCCCCTTAAAGAACTACAGTCGCCTGGGGACCGCAGCTCCTCCAAAATCCAGGAGACGGTCGCTTTGGACCAGTCTTTGCCTACAAAAACACAAAAAATGCCCCCCACACTTCCTGCGCCTCTCGAGTCTACTGGCCCTACTTGCGGCCAAGCCACTACCGACGATTGGCGCACAATGTCCTTACGTACAGGGCAGCACACTTGAGGAGTACCAGAACATAAGATGGCTCTTGCATAGCATGACGATTCCTGCATGCCCTGAGCCCCCGTGAACTTGCGACACGCACGTGTCAATAGCCATACAAGTCTCGATAAGTTTCCAACTCTTCGTCCGTCAGGCGCACTTCTCCTCAGCGTGATCATAGGAGTGGGGCCAGATGGGCTAGAATCCCGCCGCAAAATTTTAAGCAGGAGAGGAGCTTCTCGGTCACCGATGAGAGTCAGTTCTTTAAGCAATTGGGCTGCGCCACGGCTCGTCGCTCCCGCAAGCGCCGGTGGATCTCATCCAGAGATGCAAAGGCATCCTTCCTGCGTTGCAGCATGCCGCAATTCGGACTGAAGCCATCACCGTGAGCGACGCTCTCTCGAAACTTCTTCTGGAATCGTCTGCCCAGCCTGGCGCTCTTCTGCTGCAACAGTCCTGCAAGGATAGATTCGGGCTGATCGTATCGCCGTTTTAGAAGCAAGCACCCCGACAACATAGGCCCAGAATAGGACCTCTTGTCCCTCTCCCCTCTGCGACGAGAAATAGACATTTGTAAGATTTGGGGAGTCCTCGCAAAAGGCCCGGCAGATCTTCTTCCGGGGCAGCCAGGACCTGGCGGAGTCATTCTCAGCGTTGAGGCCCAGGGCGAAGGCAAATGATGAGGGTGTTGGCATGCAAGGGCTTAGGGCTTACTGGACTAAGGACTTCAGGGCACCTACATCCTGAACGCGAAGGCCTAGGAATGACTGCTTTTTTGACTTGCTCAGCATCTCTAGCTCAGTACAATCATGGCAGGGTCCACCCAGTCAGGGCGCCTCTCTCGTATCTCCTGCAAGAACGAATCAAGTTCCATGCCCCTCGCAGGAAAGGCGATAAGGGCAAAAAGCCCGTGAAGTCCTGTGCCAAGGCCATGCCAACCAATCTGAATTGCTGCCGCGCCTCTCCTGAAGACGAGTCTGGGATCTGAATGTAAAATCCGGAGAAACCTGCTGAAGCTACTTTGTGGCACGTTATCGACTTGACGTATTTCCCAAAACAACACTCCAGGATCCCGTTCCACCTGGATTGGCCTCTGTATACGACGAGACCCGCATGCATTGCCCAATGCGTTGCAGGCTGAGCAGCTCTCGGACATCGTCTCGCCAGCGACTGGGAGGGACAAACACCAAACAGGGGCTGACCAGCCGACTGCTCAGTTGTAGTTTAGAGCCATGGCCACGGGTGGTAAAACCATGTGGAAGCCCAGAAATTCACCCTTAGGCATTCCTAGGCTGCAACTTTGAACTTCTCATGCAGTTACAACGGAAACTAACTAGCATCAGCAATGCACGGCTTGCACGAAATACCTAGCACTTGCATCCAACATGAAGTCTGGGAGATGTCTGGAAGCCTACACGAGTTGGTACGTGCCCTCACGCTTCGTCTTGGTGCAACTAGCGGAAACAATACCTGAGGCAAGTGGGAAATTCTGGGCTGTCCCGCCCCCCCCCCCCCCCCATGGTTCCATGTCATATGTTCCCTCACTTCTCTGCTCATGACCCGTCTTGCCTGTCCCTCCAAAAAAATCCCAACACTGCGTTTGAACAGCACCAGGCCAGCACTGTCTTGCGCTTTATGTGTCGTTGCGCTTCGTACAAACTCACTGCTGGCCCATTGGACCTCCCCGTTTCCCTGTAGCCTCCATCAGTTTTGGCTTGCAACCTTCGCAATGATGACTCTCGATGCCTTTCAAAATCTAGACCCCCAGCCATTCTGAACTACTCAAAAAGCAAAGCTCTGCCAAGTTTGAACCCTTGCTGCGTCTGCTGAGGCCCCAATGCCCGACTCACAATCCTTTGCAGCCAAAGCGCCCCGCTCCGCCGCGAGGGCCAGGGCCAGGGGCCGATGCCCTGGGAGCCCCGGCCAAGCCTGCAGAACCGAGGATGAGAAGTTTGCTTTGAAGGAGTACCAGGACAAGAGCAGCATGGGAAGAGCCACTTTACATGAGGACTTGTCACGGGTTCAGAGGCTGGAGGGGTTGGTCAACACAATTTCCGTGCAATGTTCTGATGGCTTCTTGGCTAGTAGTGGTGGGCTCGCAACGATCAAACTCACTTGGACGTGCATGAAGTGTCCAGTTTGACAGGCATGAATTGTCCACAAACATGCGGTTGGAAGAACCATGGTCATTGGTAGCATCAAACAAATGAACGTGACTATGATGCCTTAGCAGTGGCCGCAGTACTGCCAAGCCTCTGCGAATCGCCGCTGTAGGAAGCAGCGCAGGTCTTGGACAAACGTATGTGGATGGTCTTAATAACGTAACTGACTTAGATAATACTCGAACTCGTTGGCCAAGCTAAGGTCTGAGGGGCACTCGAAGATGTTAACTCAAGATAGTTATGATTCGGTCCCAGAATCTGTCCGCGCGACTGCGCCCATCGCTCATTGCCGTGCTTCCATCACTAAACCACTAAACTGAAGAAGCATATCTCGTTACTGTGTCACTTCACGGCTGGTGAAGAAGGAATGGCAGACCGTTCAGAGAGTTCTGCTTGAAGCTTGCAGAATGCTGGAATGTGATGTGCAGATTTGATTCGCTGTGTTGCACCATCTCGCAATGCACACCAACTTGCTCGCACTTCTGATGCACAAAGGTTGAGCACCGATGCTCTGCAACTTACGCTGCGTCTTCTCCCTGGACTGTGAGGCAGTAGTGGCCTCGGCAGGTGAGTCCCGGAGACGAGGGGGAACCAGGTGGTGACCAAGGCCTCCGGCAGTTTGAAGGCTTGCTAGCTTTGATGACCATCCGGCGCGCAAAGAGGCTCGGAAGTGCAGCTGGGCCTTCCAGAAGTCTTTGAAATCCACACTGCCGTCTTGGTCAGAGTCGAAGACCTGCGCACAAACGCCACCTGCTGATATAACTCAAAGACGCACCAGCTGCTAACTACTCGCCCGTCACTGCCAACCACTAGGCCGCTCGAGCCGCACCGGGACGCACCTCCAGCATGTCGTGAACCTGCTCTTGGCTTACCTGCGCAGCTCACAGGCTCACAGGCAGTTTTCCCCTTTCCCTGTTACACTTCCACGTGGCCTCGACACCCACACGTCGTAGCGCCCGCTCGAGCTCCCGAGCATCAATGCCTTTGCGAGTCCAGGTGTGATGCAGCTGTTCTAACTTAGGATGTTCAACAGTGACTTGAAACTGAAGAGGTGGATGTGGGGCAACGGCTGATTCAAGCAGCGCCTGCTGTGTTATGTCGAAGCTTCGCTCGCACCAGTTGCTGGAGTTTTCCCCGCCGTGATGTGGGCAGCTGAGTGGAAGCTGAAGGAGTGACGACGCTAATGACGAGGAGGAAGTACTGCCGCTACTGTTGTCTCTTGTCCTACTGCTGCTATCAGCACCTTATATATTTACTTGTTTTTCGAAGCTGCTACTGATACTGCTGTTATTGATGCTAAACGATCACAGCCACAACCACAACGACATCACCATCACCACCAACAACAACAACAACAACAACAAGACAACGAAGGAACGATCGAAACAGGAACCCGCATCCGAACAGCACAAGACTCTACCACCAAGCCACCACCACCAACCACAACAACAATACCAACGACAACACAAAACCCCGACGACGACGGCGACGACGAAGACTGCTACTACTAGTACTGTAACTACCAGGTCTACAGCTGAGCCTGCCATTGCGGTTCTTCACCCTCACTGTCCGACCCACCACGATGACACTGTGCTCGCAGCTTGTTCGGATACCGTCTCTTGAAACGACCATTTGAGTGCTAATGTGCGGGTCGCGGGCGGCCGTTTCCATCCGCATCGATGCCCGCGAAAAGCTCTGCACCCGCGTTTGCCGCCTTAGAGAACATCAAACTGCCAAACCTCCGATTCAATCGTAATGACGATCTTTGCGAGGATGGTCAGTGTTCTTCGATCCAACTACAATCTGTGCAAACATCTGCCTATGTAGAGATATAGATCCCTGCATGCATCGAAAAAGTCAATGACAGTCATACACTCGCAACACTAGCAGGTCACTAGCATATTCACATGCCCCAGCTCAATACATGCAAGTACTGAGGGTAAACTACCGTCTAGCACGTTCTCGGCCACAGTCACTTTGCCATCCACTAGCGAAACAAACATGTCCTGCATTCTATTATTACAATCCATCCACCATCAGATGCAATGTTATACTACAGTATTTCATTGCATTACCGTACGGTGCATTATACTAAACTATCATGTTGAAATACAATAATGTGGTGGCCCGTTTTGTACCATGGGCCTCTTTAATGCGTTTTTTCCTTATTCAAGCCGGTACCTAAAAAACTGCGTCCAAATTAATACGTTTTTTTTTTTGGCCGGGGGAGGAATTTTTGGGGGTCTGCTAATGGTCTTGGGGCTCGTGCGGCCTGCGTCCCCTGTGCTGCTGCACTACTACTGTACTATTACTGTACTACGACCGTAGTACTACTGCACAGTACCAGGCCTCAAACGTGGTCGAGTGTGGAGGGGAGTGCAGGTTGGAGGCAGAAGTTTTCAAAATGAAGGGTTATTAGTCTTGGTAGTTGTCTTGGAGTGATCGGGGCTTGGTTTCGAGCTTTTTGTGATCCCAGACCGCCCTCCACCCAAGCCCCCAAACCCCGGGACCTCCCAATTCCCTTCTAAGTAACTTAATCAAAACCACCCAGGACTATTCAAGCCAAAACTTTTGGTCCGGGGGGGGGGGGCTACTATTCGGGCCGCGACATTATTGAGGTTGTGCAGATTTGCAAACTCTGCAAATATGCCACTATACCGATCCGACAATTGTCGCAAATTTTGGGAGAGGCGCGCCACCACGGCTCTGGCGGGACAAGTGCGAATTTCAGAAACATGCCCACAGCCCAGTTTTCGCAGATATGTGACGTGCGGAAGGTGTCCCTCCTGCATATCACAAGAAACATACTCCAGCCATCTTCGTTTGCAGCAGAACCAGACTGTAGTATTCTCTTGCCCCCTGCATTGGCGACAGGGCTGCACACTGCACACACACACACACACAGAGCTGCCCGCAATGACGGGGTAGCAAGCCACATCAAATCTAGACATGTATCCTGTATCAGACAACCATACCATCCCTTGCACGCTCTTGCAATTACATGCATTTCGACTTAAACGTACAGGTTACGAAAAGCTGCTGCATTCAGGCCTCAAGACTCAGCTGCGACCGTGAGACGGAAGGGCAAGCAAGAAAGAAGTCATCTGCACCCAACGTATAGTTGATAAGCAAACGAAAGCAGAAGAAACCAGAAAAGCCCAGTAACAATGCTTTGAGAGGGTCGAAAAATTTAGAAAAGAGTCGAGACGGTGAAGTGAACGGGTGATGAATCAGTGATGAAGAACATAAATTGGAGGAAAGGAACGAAAGGAGTCAACAAGCAAACAAGCTTGAAAGGCAACGGAGATTAGTGGAAATGACAAATCCGGCGACCTGTTATGAGCCTGCATGTTGTTGTTGGTTAGCGTGGAAGGTCGCAGGCAAGTAGAAAAACATGCTCATTGCTGGTCACAGGTTTGCCATGTACGCGAAAGCATTGCTGGTCGCCAGTTTAGCATGTAGGTGAGAATGTAGCCGCCGAAGTATGTAGATCACAAGTTCACGCTGTCCCGACATCTGACTTGAATGATCTGTCGCGGTCATCCTTCCGGCCACCGAGCTTTCTAATGAAGCTGGGGCCGCAACGCTGGCTCTACGACTCTACGACAGATTTCCATCCGGACCACGCTTGCAACGACAGGCGAAAAAAACGGAGTTACAACATGGGTTGGCAAATTATCTCGACCGTATACTTCCTAGATCACTTCACTTGCTTTCCAACCTGATTACGGCCCTTCTTCTCACTGCGTTGGCCTCATCCCAGGCGTGCGTCTTTGGGCGGCCGTTTTTCCAGGTACACACACACACACAAAAAAAAAAAAGAATCACACACGCACGCAATCAGGGGACACCTCTCATGTTGCAAGCGACCCCGGCCTCACGCAGGCTTCGAAAAGGGGTAGCGACAAATGCCCGCAAGGAATGCGCTCATGATCAGGAGCTGCTTGCCCAGCGCATGCTGTTCTGGGCTTCGAGCAGCATCGGTCATGCCGACCTGCCGTCCGCCGGCCTGACTGGCCAAGTACATTCTCATTCATGAGCATTGGGCAACTAGATGCTCAATCACTGATGGCAACTCTAAACCACAGTCACTTATCAACCGCTAAGGAGCTGGGCCTTGTACTCCCAATGCCCGCAGGACCCATATTCGGCCTGGCGGTGCCTCGTGGCGGCTCGACCATCATTACGAACAGTACGAGTAGAAACGGTGTTGCTCACACCACATTGCTGAGCTTGTAACATCTCCTGAGTGCGGATCTGGACCTTTCATGGGCTGGCAGCTCCACTGAAGCGTGACACGTCTGTTGATTCACGAAGGCCCTTCACCCCGGGCACCTCGTGCGACATTTAAGGCAAAAAACGACTCGTCGTCAAGTCAAAACATAGTTGCAACTCAGCATGTACTGTAACTTGTGAATGCAAGCTCATCCAACCCACGCTCAAAACGCACCTTTTGAATTGGCATCTTTACATGGGCACACCGCTCTGAGAGCTATGGCATCCTGGGCAGGAGTGAGGATCACCTTCCCAAACCTGCCCTCGGCCAGCCTAACATCTCGAATGGTTCCTTGGCTGGGAAGATTTTACAGCTTTGCATCTCCAAAATCACGGAAGGATTGAGTGTCCATTCGAAATGAAAGGGCTGTACAAGGTTGCGGCCATCCAATTCAATGCCTGTACATTGCTAAGCTGGGTACGGTCCTGTAGCAGCTTGGGGTCGTAGACCCGAAAGCCCTCAGACTGTGTCGGCATCGGAAAGCCCCAAAGGTGCAAGTCCACCCTTTGCTTGAGAAGCGCCGGCACCTGCCAGAGTTGTCTTCTGCTGACTCTAACAAAGCACACGCGTAATCTTAGGGTTCTTTGGTTGCTGCCTCGCAGCATACTCGTGGGGCGTTTCCAAAGCTTGGCTCAGCTTTCTCTGGCACCCATGCTTCACGAATGCAAGGAACTGCGGCAAAAGTGTGTGTGTGTGTGGCCTGCCCATCAGTTCGAGTGTCGCATTCCAGCGGACAGAATCGAGAGTTCAACGAATTTTCCATCATGCTTTATAGTATATGGGTATATGCATGCACACATGCATGTTTCTACGTGCCTCATCATCATCCTCAACGCTTCGGGGCTGAGGCATCTGAGGCACGACATCCTTAGGCGCCCTCGTCCTTGGTGCACATCCGTCTCAACACTTCTGCTTGCGCTGTGAAACTTGTGGCAAGGAGCTCACACGGCCGCACTTCCGTTCCCCACTGAATTGAACCCTTTGGGCCAGGTCGACCTGGGACGCCGGAAGCTGAACCCGAACACAGATCCGAGCACAGCGGCACTGTGCTCCATGTCTGCAGTCTCCGAGTCTTCCGGTCCATACACGCTGTGGTCCTGCACACAAAGACCGTTTTCGACTTGTAGCCTCCTGAGCGAAAGCTTCCGAACAAGAGTTGGGCTCCACAGATATACTGATACACTTGATCTCGTGATTCCTACAGTCCTACAGCTTGCCGGACACGGCAGTCTCAACACTTGACGCTCAAGCACAAAAGTAGTATCGTCGAACGAAGTGTGATCAAAGCAATGTGGCAGCGCTCCAGCACGACTGCGATGATGACACCAGAAAGGGAACCTGATAGCGTCACGGGACAACACATCACGCCCGGCGTCATTAGGGCCTATAGCCTATAAGTGACACTAAAGTCTCAGGGTGAGGAATTCCTTGGCCCGCAGGCACATAGTTTTGCAAGACCTTCAGCTGAAAAGTGTGCTGTGCATTAACAACCGCCAAGCATGGCAAAGGAGCCCAGCATCGTGGTCCAAACGCAGGCCCAGTTCCTGCCCGGAACAGGCTTGCAGGTTCTCGTACAGAACACAAAAACCAGTCCACCCAAGCTGTTCTACGCTCCCAGCAGCTGTAAACTGAATCCAGCAAGAGCCAGCAGGACGAGGATTTGTTCGCTTCGCTGTGCAAATCTTCTTGGCCTACTGCTTGTTGCTGAAACCCTCAGCACCTGAACACACTTCGAAGGCGCTTATATCCACGAGTTTTGGTAGAATTTCGTGTACCTCTACCTCTCCTCTCCTTTGTCTTATCTTGGCTGGTGGCGGCGGCATATTCTTCAACCGCATCGGGTGTCCTTTTCACCGCCGTATTGGCTCGGAGATTTCTTGAAGGTCAAACTCCGGCCACTAAATGGGGATCAGGCGGTTGGATCTCCCGGCTCAGCCCAGCTTGTCCATCAGAAAGAACCTGAAAATCTCTTTCTTGCCGCTCCGTGAGCGTCGCAATGACCGGCTCGGGTCGCGAGATGGGTTCGGTTTGGGCGATGCTGTCATCCTTCGATTGCCGGCTTGTTTTTGCTCCTGTGGGCGACGGAAGCGGCCTTCGGCCTTCGGCATCCTGTCCTGGAGCAACTTCTGCACCGTCTTGTCTTTGGGTCCTCTATCGCTCTCGCTCCTTTCCAGGTCGGCCTGTGTCCATTTTACGGGCTGCCAGTTGGGCGAGATTAACTTATCTCACTCCCGCGACTTTGAACGACTGCCTCGGAGCCTCACGTCAGTGCCGCATAGTTTCTTGTCTTTATAAAGCCAATTGCTGGGTATTCCTGAGCCATACGGCTCAAGAGTTCACGAGAAGTGCGGAGGCGGCTGTTTACACTCCCTTCAGAGCTGCGTCTTCAGTGCAGGGGTCTCAGGAACCCAAACCACGCCTCACCCCGATGACCAGGAGGCCAAAGGAGCGCAGGATGTTCGGCAGATCGAACCCTGGCAAACACACAGAGTCAGAGCTTGTCTCAGACCCTCTAAGACTTGTCGAGATGCCAACCTTCAAAGGAGGTGCCGCGCCTAATTGCTGGAGCCCAACCAGACTGGCAGCGATGTAAGAGAAGCCTAACAAAAGCGCATTCATCAGCCGCAAGTCTCGAGCACATGAAAAGCTGCCAATCTTTGAAGCTGTGCATTTTACTACTTGCTTTTCGCCCGATGCCCTATGTTACCCTTCCCAAGCAGAAAGCTGCTACTCCGTGGATATCGCAGGCACCGATGACTACAGTATTGGATCCTTGCATTAGAAGCCGGCAAGCTTTGTTCTCCGAGCAACCCACGAAGACCGGCACTGACATGGACCTGAGCCAGTGAAAGGACACGGCGAAACTCAGGCAGAAACTGCAACAAAATCATCGGCAGGATCTTGGTGAGCCCATGTTGAAATTTATCCGAGACTCCCCTGCCGCTCGTGTGACCAGAGCGCGACCAAGATGATTAGCAGGTTCAGGATGGCCTGGGCACCAGGGGCAGAGCAGATTCGCAACAAGCTGCGTGAGGTGCCTCGAAACCTGGACATGTCAAAGGCCTGCAGTAGTATGCGCGACGCGGGAGGGGACATCTCTTGCGTCATCCTCGGCTGCATGGTTTGCCCTGACCGGCTGCGGTCCAGATCTGCAACGTAGTGGAGCCGAGAGACATGTCGAAGTCCTGCCGCAAGCACTGCCTCGGTGAGCGGCTGAGCGGCTGAGTGGCCTGACCCTTTAAAGGAAGCATCAGGATGGTTCCGATTCCGCAGAGCGGCAGGCCCACCACGGCCATGACCAGGGCCGCAGCGAGGACCGACGCAAACAGCTGTGCCAGGATTAGCTCAACTGCGCCTGGCATGTCGGCTAAGTGCAGCAGATAACGACAGCACAAGACAACAGACCAAAGCAAAAGCACACCAACCTTGCCAAATGGCTGGCACTGATCGGCTTCCACGCAGACAAGAAACCCACAAGCTCACATGCGCCCAGGCACGAAGCGGGCGCAGCTTCCCTCGCAGGGCCAGAGCGAGCGTCCTGGCGTGGCCATCCGAAGCAGCAAACTGCTGGGGGTAGGCGGCCACAGTACGATTGATGCTGTCGACATCTTTCTGGCATAGCCCACATGCATTGAAACAAACTTGGAGACGAGGCTCACAGCAGGATTGAAGTGGCAGCCGAAGTTGCCCTCGCCAGTCATGCCCTGCATGATCACGGGACCCGGCTCAAACACGCATCGTCACGTAAGATGTACCACTTCGGGCTTCGTGGAATTGAGGTTCCGAACAGTTGCTTGACCAAAACGTATAAGGGACATGCTCATATTTCATGACGCAAGAGCCTGAAGGGGGAGGATTCGCAGTTGGTTGCAGAACATAAAACTCAGTCGGACTTTGTAAGCGGTATTTATCACGAAGCCCCACCTGACATCTGCGCAAAGATGGCGACTGAAGTGTGAAGCCCCGTGTTCAGCACTCGCTTGCATTTCTGCTTCCCGTCCTTGGGCTTGTAGGTGAAGCCTCAAGCGAGAGGGAACTTCAACGAAGTCCGCGAGATTAGGTGAGGGGTCCAGCAAAGGCCGGCAGGCAGAACAAGGCGCAAACATGAGCTGATTGCAATGTCTCTGGATGAGCATATCATTACAAAAAACGAGACCTTGCTTTCATCCTTTGCAGGCAACTGTCGCGAACACGAGAAGACGGAATGCTTTAGACCTTTTGGCAATCTCCAAACGGCATGAATCCATATTGTGAAGTCTATTTTGTGATGCCGAGATTATGCCGTCATGGAGCGTTGGAAGACTAAAGGCAATCTGCCCGGAGAGTTCGCAGCAGAAAGTAGCACAAATCTGACTCAAAAGACCAGATGCGAATTATCGCGAACCCTTGCCTGGACAACCCGGCATTGGGAGCCTGGCACACATCTACTGTACTAGGAACGCTGGCATACCCGCATTACATTGTTGGTGTGGTGTGCCACTGTCTGAGCCCGACAAAACCTTTTCGACAATAAGTGCAGGTCGCCTGATAAGACCGTCAGCATAAAATAAATTTATCCAATCCTCCTGCAGACTGGCCAAGAAACTGCTGGCGACGGCTGCTGCGAAGCCTGTGGCCAGAGAGACCTGGCGTGCAGGATGCGGTGGGGTTCGAGCGCAGGCCTAGTTTTACGGCACATGGAGCCGGAGGTCCAAGTTGCTATGCTTGGCCCTGTGCTGAGGCGCATGAAAATTTCTCTGCCCTTCAATGGTTTATAGTAGCTGGTCACCCTGGCCCTACACTAATTCCGTTCATGCCTTACTCCCCTATTGACAAAACTGAGGAACCCTTCATGATTCGATTTACAGGTTTCGAAGCCACCCAGGCTGGTGTCTTAACGGCTACAGGCTGCAGGTATCCCAGTATCACTGTCGCAACGTCTGTGCCTCTGGTGGAGACTTTCAGGTTCCTGGCAGTTTCCGTATAGCGTATACCTGTTCAATCTTGGACTGCACTGATTCAGGTGGGCCCTTTCGATGCAAGCCGAGACAGATTGTGACTGACGTGTGATTGCTGTCTCTGGCCTGCACGCTAAATGTCGGTGATGGGCATGGCGTGCCCATGAGTCGCCTGGACAAGGAGTTGCCCATAAGGCAATGGCTGTATGAATAGTACATGCTCCTCACTTCCGCTTAACGCAAAGGTCATTGTCAGTCGCTCCCGAGAAATCTCGGGACGAAAGAAGGCCATCAGAACAGTTGAAGGCGGCACTTGTAGCGACGTGAATTCCGCGGCTGTACACCGTGATACAACACGTTCGCACGAATGATTCGCACCTGGACAGGCCTCCACCATGCGCATGGCAGCCTTGCACACCGGCCATGACTCGAACCAAGATCCCAAGCACCCTGCAACCCACCGAATCCGAAGCTGCTCTAAGAGACAACGGTCTCGACGGATGGGGTTTTCTTTTCGCGGCATGCAAGAAGACTTTACGGCCTTCGAGGCAATGGTTGGCAGACACAGCTGCATCCACCGAGACGAAGACAAAAAGGGTGGAAATCACCAACCTGGCCAGGTTTCATTCATGCTTCGGCAGCAGCTCGCCATGCGAAACGCCCCAACAACTGCTAACCTGACACTCAATAAATCGCTTTCGACAATTACCAGCACCCACTAAGTCCTGAAGATCTATGTTTCCTGAAATCGCACCCTAAGTTGCTGCGAAAAGACTCTGGCGCCACGCTGCGCAGAGCGCTGGCCAGCTTCTCCATGGCTCTTCAAGCGCGTCCAAGAGAAAGCGTAGGGTTTTTATGAAGGGCGCGCTCCTGCCCCCAATCTACAAATATGTGTGCCCCAGCACAAGCGATACCTGCATGTGCTGAGGCTGGGGTATCCGTCGCGGAGCTTTCTTCTTTCGAAGGCAGCTGCAGCAAAACTGCTTACTTCCAAGAAGACGAACCTGACAGTCTGAAAGTGGCTGCATTTTCGAACAACCCCTGCTGGTCTGTGATGCTCAAACTGTGCCGGTCCACAACTGGGGCAGCATGGCATGGTCTACGTACAGAACTGTCATGGGTTGGACATTATCGAGCCGTCGATCCTGCAATCGTAGGAGTTGGAGTTCGTTGACTTACACGCTGGTCGAATAATGCACATATCACGGTCCAAAGCAATAGCGGCATGTGTAAGCACATCTACTCACCGGGTAAAACCTGACTAAATTTCTCCACCTGACCCAGGCAGCAAACCCTCACTGAAACAACGACTTGAGATCAGGCCAGATACTCAATCGTGAGAATCGTGCTTCGATAGGACAATCGCTGATGATGGCGAGCATTGATGATCGGCGCGGTTTAGAGCAGGCAACGAAACATGCCGATGAGGCTCACCTGGTGTTGTCAATCACTCCTTTTCAACATGCATCCCAGCTGGTCCTCATGATGCTCGTTTCTTCCTGGATTCAATGACTGGCCCTTTGCAGCATACATCCGGGCCGATGCCCATGATGCTAGTTCTTCGGTGGCTTGATGGCTTGCCGAATTTTGAAATCTGTTCATTTCCTGCGCTGTCCGGCCGTCGCAGAGTGCCTGCCGGCTGACGTGTCTTGGTAGCTTGATGACGGGCCGCTTGCACCATAGATCCCAGCTGATGCTCATGGTGCGCGTGGTGATGCGATGATTGGCCGTTTGTATCGTTCATCCGAGCTGATGCTCATGATGCACGCGTCTTGGCGGCTCTACGATCGCCGTTTGCTCCATACATCCCAGCTGATGCTTATGAATCGGGTGTTTTGGTGGCATGACGCCTGCCCAACTGCGGCATAAATCCCAGCTGATGCTCATGAGGTGCGTGTCTTTGCGCATACATCCCAGCTAATGCTCATGATGCGGGCTTCTTGGTGGCTCGATGACTGGCCGTCCTGCGACATGCATCCCAGCTGATGCTCATGATGTGATGACCGGCCATGGCCGTCTACTGCAGACATCTCAGCTGGTTCTCATGATGCGCCTGTCTTGCTGAATCGACGACTGCCCGGCTGCGGCCTACAAGCCAGCTGATGCTCATGATGCGAGCTTCTTGTGGCTCGAAGACTGGCCGTCCGCGACGTACATAGCAGCTGATGCTCATGATGCGCGGGTCTTGGTGACGTGATGAGTGGCAGACTACTGCCTACATCTCGGCTGATGCTCATGATGCGCTTGTCTTGGTGGCTCAACGACTGCCCGACTGCGGCATACAAGCCAGCTGATGCTCATGATGCGAGCTTCTTGTGGCTCGAAGATGGGCCGTCCGCGACGTACATCGCAGCTGATGCTCATGATGCGCGGGTCTTGGTGACGTGATGACTGGCAGACTATTGCCTACATCTCAGCTGATGCTCATGATGCGCCTTGCTTGGAGGCTCAACGACTGCCCGACTGCGGCATACAAGCCAGCTGATGCTCATGATGCGAGCTTCTTGTGGCTCGAAGACTGGCCGTCCGCGACGTACATCGCAGCTGATGCTCATGATGCGCGGGTCTTGGTGATGTGATGCTGGCAGACTACTGCCTACATCTCAGCTGATGCTCATGATGCGCTTGTCTTGGTGGCTCAACGACTGCCCGACTGCGGCATACGAGCCAGCTGATGCTCATGATGCGAGCTTCTTGTGGCTCGAAGACTGGCCGTCCGCGACGTACATCGCAGCTGATGCTCATGATGCGCAGGTCTTGGTGAGGTGATGACTGGCAGACTACTGCCTACATCTCAGCTGATGCTCATGATGCGCTTGTCTTGGTGGCTCAACGACTGCCCGACTGCGGCATACAAGCCAGCTGATGCTCATGATGCGAGCTTCTTGTGGCTCGAAGACTGGCCGTCCGCGACGTACATCGCAGCTGATGCTCATGATGCGCGGGTCTTGGTGACGTGATGACTGGCAGATTACTGCCTACATCTCAGCTGATGCTCATGATGCGCCTGTCGTGGTGGCTCAACGATTGCCCGACTGCGGCATGCAAGCCAGCTGATGCTCATGATGCGAGCTTCTTGTGGCTCGAAGACTGGCCGTCCGCGACGCACATCCCAGCTGATGCTCATGATGCGCGGGTCTTGGTGACGTGATGACTGGCAGACTACTGCTTGCATCTCAGCTGATGCTCATCATGCACTTGTCTTGGTGGCTCAACGACTGCCCGGCTGTGGCATACAAGCCAGCTGATGCTCATGATGCGAGCTTCTTGTGGCTCGAAGAGACTGGCCGTCCGCGACATACATCACAGCTGATGCTCATGATGCGCGGGTCTTGACTGGCAGACTACTGCCTATGCTCATAATGCGCTTGTCTTGGTCGCTCGACGACTGCCCGACGGCTGATGCTCATGATGCGTGTATCTTGGTGGCACTATTTCTAGCCGTATGCAGCATACGTTCCAGCTGATGCTCATGATGCGCTTGTCTGGGTCGCTGGACGACTGCCCGGCTGCGGCAAGCATCCCAGCTGATGCTCATGATGCGCTTCTCTTGGTCACTTGAAAAATGCGGCATACATACTAGCTGATGCTTATGATGCGCGTGTCTTGGCGGCACTATGTCTTGCAGTATGCAGCATACATCCCTGTTGACGATCATGATGCCCTTGTCTTGGTCGCTCGACGACTGCGCGGCTGCGGCAATTAAAGCAGCTGATGCCCATGATGCGTGTGTCTTGGTTTGCGTGATGATTGGCCGTCTCCCGCATTCATCTCAGCTGATGCTCATGATGCGCATGTTTTGCGTGCATATCCCAGCTAATGCTCATGATGCACGGGTCTTGTTGACGTGATGACTGGCGGTCTGCTGCCTACTTCTTAGCTGCTGCTCATGATGCGCAGCTTGGTGGCATGCCGTCGACTGCATACATTGATACATCCCATCTGATGCTCATGATGCGCTTGTCTTGGTGGCTCGACAACTGCACAGCGGTGGCATAGATACGAGCTGATGCTCATGATGCGCTTGTCTTGGTGGCTCAACGACTGCCCGGCTGCAGCATACAAGCCAGCTAATGCTCATGATGCGTGTGTCTTGCTGCATACATGCCAGCTGATGCTCATGATGCGGGTGTCTTGGTGCATACATCCCAGCTGATGCTCATGATGCGAGCTTCTTGTGGCTCGAAGACTGGCCGTCCGCGACACGCATCCCAGCTGATGCTCATGATGCGCGGGTCTTGGCGACGTGATGACAGGCAGACTACTGCCTACACTACACAATGCGCTTGTCTTGGTGGCTCGACGACTGCCTGGCTGCGTGATGCGTGTATCTTGGTGCCACTACTTTTAGCCGTATGCAGCAACGTCCCAGCTGATGCTCATGACGCGCTTGTCTTAGTCGCTCGACGACTGCCCGGCTGCTTGGTGGCTCGATCATTAGCCACTTACAGCCCCACTGATGCTCATCATGCGTGTGTCTTGGTGCATAGCTTATGATACGCTTGTCTTGCTTGCTCGATGCCTGCCCGGCTGCTGCGTTCACCCCAGCGAAGGGTGTCTTGGTGGCACTTGTCTGGCCGTATGCAGCATTCGTCCCAGCTGATGCTCATGATCCGCGTGTCTTGGTGCATACATCCCAGCTGATGCCCATGATGCAGTTCTCTTGGGGCATACGTCTCAGCTGATGCTCATGATGTGCGGGTCTTGGTGGAGTGATGACTAGCCGTCTACGGCATGATTACATCCCAGCTGATGCTCATGATGCACTGGACGTCTGCAGCATACAGCCGAGATGATGTTCATGATGCACGTGTCTCGGTGGGTTGATGATGGGCCGTTTGCGCCAGTTATCGCAGCTGATGCTGATGATGCAGGTGTCTTGGTGGCACTATGTCTAGCCGTATGCAGCGTACGGCGTACGTCCCTCATGATGCGCGTTTCTTGGTGGCGTGATCGCTGGCCGGTGATTGCCCTGCTGCAGAATACATCCCTGCTGATGCTCATGATGCGCGGGTCTGGGCAACGTGATGACTGATCGTCTACGACATACATCCCAGCACTGATGCTCGTCTTCCGCAACAAATGATCTGCCGAACCCCGAACGCTGCTCTCAAGAAGCCTCTGTCCCCACTGCCTCAAAGTGTTCGCCCTCCCGGGTCGCAACCAAGTGTATGCTGCGGTACCCATTCGCCTGTCCAGCCAACAGGCATCAGAGGCAATTCTGCGAAGGAAGTTAAGGAGGAACCGTCACAAGCAATGCTTCTTCTGAAGGTGCTGCAGAGGAAAACACACGCGGTTTGCCAGCCACGAAACAGCCAACTCTCTCATCTTCGCCCGTTGAACCACGCCACCAAATCAAACAAGCAAGATTTACTTTTGTCGGTCACGCAAGCGCAGCCAGAAACCCAGACCCGGGGCCTTTGGATTGCTGACATAATCCTTGCTCCGTCCCTCCACCAGTTTCCACAGTCCGGCCTGAAATTTGCCGTGCACGGGGATCTTTCAAGTAGTATTTCATACTCCTTGCGCTGTAAAGAGTTTGGGACAGAAAGCGGGGGGGGAAGCAGAATGGAGCTCACGTCTTTCGCGACTGGGCCACTGTGCGTCTGCGAGCACAGGAAAACAAGGTCTCAGTCGCATTCAAGTTTCAAAAACGTTCGCATTGGCTTATCATTTTACACCATGTCCAAGGACTAAGGACTCTGGCGCCGGCCAAAGCCAACTCTAGGAGGCTGGCGACGACATCGCGGACTTCGAAGCAGAGCTGCCGCGCGCGCTCTGCACTCGGAGCCTGGAAGCTTGGAAGTTTTGTTTGACATGGTTTGACTTTGAGACATTCTGTAGCCTGGGCCGGCGCATCACCGACCCGGCCAAGTTTCGCAGATTCCCTTTGAGCACAAGCACTGAAGGCTCACTGCTGAGCTTCAGGCATCGAGGATGACTCGTATGGCCATGCGATCCCAAATCTGGCAAGATCGACAAAACTGCCACGTCCAGGCAATATGGTTTAAGACTTGACTTGAGGAGTCTGATGCCGCATGGCTGCTACACATCCACTGTTCCACGCTCTTGGCAGAGCATCTTTCCGTGATGGCGAGCCTCGTGGAATCGAAGATTCTTCCTCGGCTTTTAGCACCAGTCCGATGGTTTCTTCGGACTGATGGGCAGGCAGTCGATGTCAATGAATCAAAACTTGACAAGCATCTTGTTCATCTTCTTCCATGTGCTATAAGCAGACTTGGCACGCCCCGAGACCTTGCGGTGACCGCATCACAGCTTCAACATGCATGCGGAGCAGTACGAAGGGCGCAGAAAAAGAGATTCGGACTCGAAGGGATGAGAGCTCCTTCAACTGCGAAGCCTCCAATGCCTGAGAGGATGCAACGAGCCCGGGGTGATTCAAACCAACCATCTCGGCGGGTGTGCTCGCACTAATACTGACATGGGCCGGCAAGCCTCTTGGAGTTCACGCGTGGCGGTATTCACCAGCATCTCTCCTGCCGTGAGAATTGCCGAAACACGCTTTCCGACTGCATGATGAACAAAGCGAGTGATCTGCTGTGAGAAGTGCTTCCTGATCGCAAGGCAGTCTTACTGAAGCCGGGACCTCGCCGTTCGCCCAGAAGCGCACGAAGTTCCGCGCGCTCCTGCAAGACGTGAACAAAACATAAACTGAACCGAAGTGATCCGAAGTGTTGGTGCTGGTTGGGAAACCACTCCTGGCTAATTGCCAGCCATGGACACACAACAACATGCGCACACACACACACACACACGCACATACATACATTCATACATACGTACATAAATGCATCCACTCATGCATGCATGCATGCATACACACACAACCGAAGAAATAAGACGCGAACAAGTCTCAGCTCCTGCCTCAGGATGCGTTATCGCGAACGCGGCATCTTCGAGCTCATCTTTGATCCTCGCAGCACTGTCATCTCTCGGGGACGGAGTGTGACCTTCCATCACCCCAATGCTGGAAATCCATCTGCCGCACTGTTTTGGCACCTCTTGCTGCCGCTCGAAGCCAAGGAATGGCAACATGTGCAGCACGGTGGTCGCACAGGGAGTCTTGTGCATGAAACCGAGCTCATAGGGCTAAAACTCGAAGCAAAGCAATAACTTTATTGCTGATGGAGGTGTCAGGACAAAGACCCCCATCTGCGTTGTGCGCGGCAGGACTTTGCAAAGGACATCGAGTTCTCAACAACACTGTGGGTGCAGTGACATATGAAACAGTTCTTGGAGTGCTTGCTTTGCAAGTCATCGCTTTGTCAATGCCACTTCGCTTTGCCCACCGAAGATTGCCCACACGAGAGGCGAGAGACAGCTCTTAGACATTTCTCATCCTGTGAATTCACCAACCATGAACGAATGCAGTGAAAGTCGCTCCGTGCCGGCTCTTGCCCTTCGGGTTCATTATCAAGTCCCAGTAGTTCGCCTGGTTGTCGAAGGACTTGTGGCAACCTGGACCCTGAGGCCTAGCCTGTTGTCATGTCTCAGCGCAGGACTCCGCAAGCTTCGACAAAAGCTGCTGGGCGTATTTACATCCTACTAAGCTACTATGCTGCCTTCGGCAGAAGCTCAGAAAAAGATGGTGCATCGCTCACCTCTGCTGAAGGCACACAGAGTTGCAACTCACCAAGTCATGTTGCGCATGGCACGTCACCGCACACTTCGATTGAAGTGCGCGGCTTCGCATGAAGAGATAAGGTTGAGTTGTTGCTCCAACATGGACTTGCCTGTGCGTCTCGGAACTTGAAACGGCTGCTGGTCGGCGCACTAATGCTAGTACATCCCCTGGTCTGCCAAGAAAAGCACGCAACTCTCAACTTATGCGCGCCAGGTGGCCGATGAGCGGTGTGGCAGCCATCTGAAACCTTGACATGGTCATGACGCAGTCATCAGGTTGAAATTCGGACACGTCTGATATGTAACTTCGAGCTGCTGTCGCCATCAGGCGCCGCGAGAACTAGATTGAGAATTGATCAGCTCAAAAGTAGCAGTGACACGAGGAAAGATCTAAGCCCACGGCTGCTCCATCCCAAGCTCCTGCTCCCAATGCTTGGCAGAAACTGCTGTCCAGAAGAGTCAGAGACAGAGAGACAAAGGGAACAACTGTACAGCTGTGCATGACCCTTACATCCGCACTCGCAGCGCCATGCCTGATTTTCGTTGCTGCCGCAAAGCCTTAGTCGAGGGCATCAGTGGCAATTTAGATGCATCACCAGTGCAGGTCGCATCGTACTGAGCAGTCATTCGGAACGCCCAAGAGCATGCCGGTGCGAGACGACTATACTCAAGGCGGGCCGAACCCTGTAGTGTGCACATCACGGCGGATATCGCAGTCGCTCCTGATTCTTTTTCATCAGTTTCAATGGACGAGGGCCTCCTGCTTGAGGTATCGCCAGCTTATTGCTCTTGTGACTTCGCTTCGGAACATTTTGGAGCATCCCTCATCAGACCAAGGGGCTCTTCGAAGGTGCCTTGGACCGCGCGGTCGATCAACCTCCCGGGCTGGCCGATGGGACCGCGGACCGCCATATCTTTCAGGTTTGGGAGTTTCTCTAAGCACACCCGGTATGGAAGCTGCGTTTTTCTGGGTCAGACGCGAACTTTGGCAGGCGATCCGACGTAAGAACCGTGCTCTCGCAAATCGTCCAGCAACCGGCCTGTTTCTCTCGTCGTCGTCGGGGAACCTGTGACACTGCGGGCGATGGCTGGTGATGCTCTGCACACGAAGCCGAGGCAGAAACCAAGGCATTAGTAACAGACGCGATGGTCGTTGCACGAGGTGCAGTACCTGACTGACATTCAGACAAGATGCGGTGGCAGAACGTCATTCATGAGATTGGTGAGATCCTGAGAGCTTGGAATTTTCCACAGCTGCTGATGCTGCTGGTGGTCATGCCTTTCATGTCTGGCGCCCGGCCTGCTTGCTGACACTTCCCAGGTCGGAGCTGTACATACGAAAGAGGAAGCCTCGACAGATTCATGCAAAGGAGCTCCGTCTGATCGGGCACTCGTGTCGTTGGCGACTCTAGTTCTGGTGGCACAGTGGTTGCCAATGTGGGCAAGGCACGCATCTTGTCGTCGAGCGCTGCGCGCTCGCTAAACACACCTCGGGCGACAGGGGACAGAGGAGGTAGCTTGCCAGCGGCATGAAATGGAAAGTTCCAATGCCGTGTGACAGGGCATCCATGAATTTTGTCAACTGGCGGAAACTTGACTGTCCAAAATGCTTCCGATATGACAGACATGCTCCCTCCAGTCACTGAAAGTGCTGCAAAGCTCCATGGGAAACACCCCAGTTTGTCACCAAGCTTCTGAGCGCCGTGGCAAGGATTACCTGAAAGTTGAGACACTCCGGTACTATGAACAATTGCTCATGTGAGACATAGGACCCGTGAAGCAGCTCTACGTTGAGACGCTTGCATAGACAGCATCGAGACATGATCGTGACACCATGAGCTCGTGGCAGTGTCCTGGTGGCACCGGACTACTTCCAACATCTCAACTTTGGAACGATTTGTGACCAGGCCACGAAGTCGACCTTCTCTGGTAGTTTCCTGAGAGTTTGCACAGAGAAGATCTGGAGCGGAACAACTGCAAGTCGACCTGCCCTTGGACTTGGACAAACTGGTGCCTCTAGGTGCTTTTGTAATTGCAAACCAGGTTGCAGAGCAGTCTTCATCCGATCCTGCAGAGGGCCCTCGAAGTATGGCAGTTCCTCGATGACCTTATCCTGAGCATGTAAGGAGGCCCAACAGTCCTTCCGAAAATAGGCCGACCCCTTATCTCCCTGAGGCGCCAGCAACATCTTCGTGTGAGTTGCCACCCGTGATTTTCATGAATGACACATACCTCGGACGGGCGACTCATGGCCTAAGGCCTCATTAAGCAGAGAGGGAGAAGGAGTCGATCAGACTTACATTTCAGTTTCTTGAAGGTGCTGTGCATATGACATATTCGGGTGGGATGAGGTGCCACAACACTGCGTTACTTATGCGGAAGGCTGAAAGCAGGCGCGCTGCAATCGGGCGATCTCTGCCCGTGTGAGGCCAGTCCGGCAAGCCAGGGCCTCCCGCTGCGCTGCAGGCAATAACATACGATATACAGTACCATGAGCTGCTTCTCGAAGCCCTCTCCCAATGCGCTGCTGGTCCAAGATACTCCCATATACTCCCACTTGCATGGCATGTAACTCCAAATGCTCGAACAAGTTCTTCTGCATGGGCCTCGAAATCTTCTGTGCTCAGCCTGCGGGCGTTTGGCGGATGCACCTTGGGAGGCTGACAATAGAAACCCAAGCTTCGCAAAAGCCGGGGAAAGTCGATGAGGGTGTCATCTGCGGGGTTGCTGAGTGCCCCCGCATATCAGACCGAGCTTTTTGGCTACTCCAAAGAAAGATCACAGAACATATCGGGGCAGATACACTTCAAAGTTCGACTGCAGTACGCCTCTAGCATGCTCTGCAATACTGCCAAAAACCGACCATAAATTCTCTCACTAAGGCACTCTCGCCAACTGCCGGTCCGCAAGGAGGCGCCCCACAAACTTCATCGTCGCGAAGAGGAGGCCCCTCATGGCCAAGGATACAGCTTCAAATGGCTCCAGGACTAACCGCTCTTGTTGCTGCTGTTGTTTTTCCAAAGACAGTGACCATATGCCATGCGAGGCGATCTCACGCAGATGCAGGGGTGCCATGTGCCCACTGCCCACGTGCCAGCCGCAATTAATCATTATTCTGTTCGGGAGGCAGGTCTGGGCCTGCTGTGTACAACGGATTTGGACTGAAGGTCGAGGAGCTGTCAACGCAGTGTGCAGGCGACGAAAAGAAGGCAACTGGCGTTCAAGACTACACCCATTCTAACTCATGACGTTCTTCTTCCTCTGTCAGTCTGTGTCCCGCGCGTGATGAGCACGAAAGCGGCCACAGTTCCATACAACCTCAGCTTGCAGTCAAGGAAAATGCGCACCCCGTGGAAATTCACGAACGTGAAGGTGCGTGAAGTATGCAAGCTGAGGCATGAGCCACGGCGGTGTAAACGCAGTATCTATGATTGACGCCATTGCGGCGCAATGATTTCGTTTGGCTGAAGGCACAGATCTCAGCAGCTCGTGCGTCTAAGCGTGCTGACCGGGTGTAGATTCTGCAATGCAGATCCCACCCCAGGTCATGTTGCGATCGCGACTCAGTCTGTATAGTTCGTAGTATAGTTTGAGTTGCCACACGGAGTATCTTACAAACACATGTCAATTGTGATGCCTCTTGAATCGTGGCTTGAACCCAGCAGCACCAGGCATCATCCCCTTACCTACAGAGCCGTACTGCAAGGAATTACTTGAAGGTTCATGGGTAGTAGAAAGCATAGGCATCACGGGCAAGCCAAGCAGAGTTGCAACTGCACATCTGCAGCTACTTAGGATACTGATCACTGCTAGTACTAGTGAACCACCAAGAAGGAGCAAGTCAGGTCCTTCCGAGACCCAGGAGATTCGCCAAAGATCCGAAGACTTCGGTCCCTGAGTCTCGGCTGCGCTGACGCTGACTCTATCTCTGCAGGCCATGAGCCTCCCTCCCCCCTGCTGTGCAACAGGAGCCTAAGTAAACCGCGAGAGCCTGATTGACACAGTCGCCAAGATGTCGTGCAAGCATGCAGGCAATCACGGCACTCGTGCATTGGGACGTTTATCGGCGACTTCTGGGTTTTCCAGATTTCACCAGGCGGCCGCTTTCACGAGGGGGGCAGAGCGGTTCGCAATGCGGAACTGGGTCTCCACTCGTAACGTCATATCGAGTGGGATTTCAGTAACGTACAGACAGGGGGGATTGAAATGTGCCGGAAGATCAGGGGATGTCAGTTGCTAGCTGCCGGCTGCTAGAAGCTCGGAACATCGACAGCCACAGTTGCTGAGCCCTTCGCCCAAGGCCGCTGCCACCAAGTGCTCGGGGCTAGCCGAGTCGGAACCTGGTCAGTATGACACTGACCGATGATCATCTTCACGACCATCACCCCGACACTGACCAGCATCATCACAGTGGCCTGCACCCATACCTTTATCATTTCGATCATGATCGTCTTCCGATTCTTGAGTTTCCGCACTTAAGATGCTTCGGAGATGCGTGTGTACTGTCTGGGGTGGCGAAGGCCCGCGAACACAGACGACCAAATTAAGTGCAGACATTCCGGCATCGGCCGAAAGCCAGAAGCAAGCACTCCCGGCACGGCCTCGTCGCGCACCTCCCAGTCTGAATGCGATTTGTCGCAGCTGGGCAGCCTGGCTCTCAGAGCGGAGCTGCGATGCCCAGCTGGTCTTGACTGCCATCCCTAGGTGTCCGCCACACGATTCGTCATCGATCTCAGATATATGATTCAAGACTCGTCACATGCCAAACTCTGGACTTGAAATCATCGAGAACGACCCGCACGAGATAGCCGTCACTTCAGATTCTGTGGATACAGTAGATGCAGCCAAAATCAGCCAACCAGGCCCAAGCCGATACCCCTTCTTGGGAAGCGGGGATAGGCATGCAGCAATACCTGGCATTCAAGCCTGCACTACAATCTGTCGCGGGAGGTGGGCGGGCAAATTGGCAGATCCAACTGACCAATGACCATGTCAGCTGAAGGCTAAGACGCGGCAGGACTACAACAGGCGACAAAACTAGCACTGAACAAGCGAGGGTTACTTTTTCACCCTGCCATGACCCACCCAACCCCAAGGTTAACTGTGATCGTCTGGCACGGTCAGGTCAGCGTGAGCGCATGACATGCTGAAGTCCCACAGTTACCTGAACTGACCACACGAGTCTACAGATGTCAGCCTCGAGGCCTCCCCGCTACGGGCTAGTGCAAACCGCAAGCTGTCTGAGTCTGGGCAGCATATTCTTGTGGGTGACGGTGGTGGTCTCGGTGGTGGTACAGTACTCGTGAGGCGGAGGCGGATTGCTAATTCTTGGCACACGGGATCTTCGAATTGCCGGCCTTCTTCGCCAGAAAAATGATCAACGTTTCTGATGACGAGCTTTGCGTCCTGTTCTGGACAGTATGCACGGGGACTCGTGGTCTAAACTCCAAGAGATTGCGAGAACCATCTGCCTCCAGTCGCACCCTTGGCTGAAAAACAGGCATGTCAGAGGCATGATGCTGAGTCCTCTGAGCAGTCAGGAGGGTCTGAACCAAATCCGCCTGCGAACCGTCAGGGTGTCAACAAGGTCAAGCTGGGAACCCGCATGCCCAACCGAAGATTTGTAATGATCTCGCCCACCCCCGGTTGTCCACGCGTCCCCTGCGCACCGCCCAAGCACACCCTCCGCGCATCCGGCACCGCGCTCCGTCTGACCCGACCCTTCGCCCGCGTACGCCATTTCGCCTCCGTCCACCGTCTAGTCTTCTAAACCTCCTCAGGACGGTCCGATATCATGCACCTCAAGCACTAAACGAGAACCCAACTCCGGAGGGGTTATTGGCAAAAAATCGCCAGCTGTGAGGTGACAACTGCACCTTTGCAGATAGGTTTGCTTAGTCTGCCTCTTCCCGGCTGAAGTACCTTCTTCGGATACACCCGAAACAATGCAAGAGCATTGTTGATTGCAAACTCAGGACGGATGACTCACCCCTACGCCGTTTTCCGAATTTCCGAGGCGGCACCTGGCCGGGCGATAGTCTGCCCGATTCGCGTGCCTCTGCCTGCATTCTGCAACTAAGGCTCAATGACGTATGCCGCATGGTCTGGCTTGCAAAGCAAAAGTACACATCGTCCTAATTCACAACTTCCAAATCACTGCAAAGGGAGAGCGTCCCCAAATGTTGCACGCTAACGAACCTTGAAGGTGTTCAGAGCCGGGGGTACATGGGGTACTTCAGTTCAAACGCGAAAGGTCCCGCAACATGCGCTCTACCTCCTTACACTGCATGTTCTTTCGAGGGAGCATGCCAGATGCACATTTATTGCGCCTTTGCACAGAGAGGTAGAAGTGGCTGGGTGGTTTCCTTCGCCGCGGAGACACTCCGACACTGCAGGCGGTTGCCACGTGCGGCGCGCAGACAGCCGGCAAGGCTGTGGGACAAAGTTCTTTGTGCCTGGCGGTGCAGGACTCCTTGATACTCCTTGGGCCATGTCCCGGCACAATCATGCGCTGGCGGAAGTTCTACACAGATGCGGGCAAACCGAGAGTTTCCCATTACGAGTGGTTTGAGCGCGCTGTTCGGGACTAGGTGTATGGCGACTGGGTTCTTTTGTATATTGAGGTCAGGAGGAGCTGCTCTATGGCAGTCAACGAAGATCCAGACGGCTCGTGCGAGCATGGAGGCCCCCAACCACTGGGAGCGCCAAGGTCACTTCACTTTCCCAAGGACCCGGCCTGCAGGAGATAGCGCTGCAATTGAGACAGCGGGACTGGTGTACCCGGTCTGCTTTAACACGGGTAGTGCGGGTGACATCGCAAGGGCACTTCTTCAGAACTGGCGCTAGCCAGAAAAAACCTATCTTCTTGCTCCTGGCTCCGTGGCGATGCTGATTCGGATTCCAAGTGGTCATATGCGCTGCTCCCACTGCAACTTGGCCCTGAGCCGAAGGCCTGGATTAGAAAGTCAGGCGAGGGTCTGAATTGCCTGGTGGGCACCCACACCCTGTGAAATCGCAAGCCGGAGGGGGTATCCTATTCAGAGTGAACATACTCTTTACTAGTCCTAAAATCTGCATCCTTCAGCGTGAAAACGCAGAACGCCCCAAGGCCTACGACGGACCTACCGGGCTTGTTCTGACTGAGCGCGGCGGACGTGCAAAAGCAACCATCCACGATCACAGCGACACTGTGGACATCAACTTTGTCATGATGGCCTCGAAGGTGCGTGTGATCGTGGCCTCAAGTCGTTTCTGATGTCGGGAGGCTTTCGGGAGCTTCAACCGGCTCGTCAGTGCTCTTCATGTTGATGTTGCTACGACAGCCACAAACTGCGCAACGCAAACCTGCTGTATATATAGTGGCTGCATGACGAATGCCCATTGCCGCGCTATATGCGTAGGAAACATTGGCACAAAGGCATTAATTCTTTCACCATCCCTACTGTAGAGATTACTGAATAGCGAATCACAACATGACAACTAGAGCAGCACAAACCTGCTCAAAGCAGCAGGACTGCCCGTCCTGTGCCACAAGGTCACAACAGGAGCATCAAGATGATGTTTCACAACCACCCAACTTGAACAGCTATACCCCTACTTCCACGCATGACATGTCTTCGTATGCTTAAGCATAAATGCAACTGGGCTTAGTTTGGGGCGGGCTAGTGGGCTCGGTTGGCCAACATAAGAGCCGGGCAAGTTGCTGGAGTTCCACCAGCAAGAGGGCCTGAGCTTTGAGCGGCATGTTTAACCCAGCCATTGACGCTCTTCGAAGTCTGCCGCAAACAGCAATCGAGAATCCTGCTCATACGACTCTAACCTTGTATAGAACCCCAAAAACCACATAAACAAAAATGAGCATAGGGATATCTCACATGCACCCCCTTCATGTCATAATGAAGCCCAACAAGGTAGGGATAACCCGATAAAGTCGTCATGCTTATATGGTTTTGGGGCCCCTCATTGAACGACTTAAGCATCCACTGGGCATTTAACATGTCGTAGCATGGCATAGCAGCATAGCAGCAACCAGAACCATCACCGCCACCTCCACAGCATGGAGGGAAAACGGGAGGCGGGCAGGGCAGGGCGGGCACGGCGGGCAGGGCAGCCGGGCAGACGGGCGCAGCAGTACCGGCAGCAACAACAACAACAACAACGACAACGACAAACGACGACGACGACGACGACAACCAACGACGACAACAACAGCAGCGGCAGCAACAGCAACAACAACACCAACAGAAGCATAAATCAATACTTGTAACTGCGATGAACAGCAAGTATCGACGAGCATGATACTCCGGCAGCCCATCACAGTCACGTTGATAGAAGTTGTCAATGCCGCAGTACCGGTACAACTTGCAGCAGAAATACTAGTCGTTGTTCATACTAAGTTACCAGATAAAAAGTACGAAATATCACAGGTGCCATGTGAACATCATCACCACAACTAGCCTGACAGTATAGCAAAAACGAAATAGAGCAGAGTATCATGATAGCGATGTTCACAAGTCACAGAGCAACACAATCAACAACTCGACATACATATCTCTTGAAGAACTAGCAAACAATGGTAGACGACGGTAGCAGCCGCTACACAGTGTGCAAACGCAGTTGGACCGAGGACTGTCATGGGAGCTGAGACCAGAGCCACCTTTGAACCAAAGGCTGCCTGTCTCCGACAGGGGGCTTTCGGCAATTCTAGGATGCAGGATTCAAACGTTTGGGTTTCAAGTTTAGGGACTTCGGATCTAGGTTTTGGGCTATTGGGCTTCCTGTTGGCTTGTGGATGAAGTCTCGGCTCTGGTGCAAGCCTTGGGCCCAGAAGCTTTGTCAACTTTTGATGGCCAATTATGAAGCCATCACAGGCCGCACGTTGCAGACGACTCTCGCCGAACTCTCCTTGAGTTTGAAGAAGGCCCTCACTACCAAGTACATTGACATTGCGTTCTTCCCAGCGCGACGTATGTTCAACACAACTGCCCAGATACTTGCTATCACTATCACTGCTCAAGCGAACAAACCTTTTCGCAATTCAGATTCGGTTACAGATCCATTCGCTCACCCAACTCTTGTTGAGTTAGCTACCTGTAGTAGCCTTCACGGTACCACCGCAGGACTCCCGATAGGTCCTTCAGGCTCTAGCCTCCACTTGCCTTCGCTCGATCCCCGCTTTGGCACCAAGGACCTCAGAACAATTAGGACAGCTTCAGCAAGGGAGCTTCAAGGTTCCAGAATCGCCCGAATTGATCTATCTCTTCGACATCCTGCAGCCGACAATGCCCGTGGCCCGCACGGGCGCGCTGCCTGCAGCCAAAGCAGCTGCAGCTAAGGCCGGCCTTCAGAACTGGATTCGATCCCGCAGAGCATGCACAACCTTGCTTAGAGCTCTGTAAAACATTCATCTTCTCAGTTTCCTAGAGCTGCTTGCAATGCAAAAGCCGCAAACACCCAGCCCTTCAACACTCAAACCACTTCAACTACGAAATGTTATCCTCGAGGAACTGGCGCCGACGCGTCCAGCAGCCGAAGTATCCGAAGGACAAGGAGGATCTTGCCCCGCTCCTGCAATGATTTCGGGGTTTGTGACGTAAAGCCAACAAATCAAGGACTATTCCTCGAAATCTCGGCTCGCTGATACCATGATAACTCCGCTAGATACATGTAGTGTGCGACTAATGCCAGCAAGCTCAGCTGCCTGCTGCACTGCGAAGCTACGATGCTGCATGCATGGACTGCAATGTGCTGTCTGTTTTCATGCAGTGTTTGTCACCATCAAGCAACAGCACGATCCAGCTGATCCCCTCCTTGTAAGAAACACACATTGCTTTCGGAGGCTAGGTTTGCTGTGGAACCCAGCCTCCTTCGGTAGGTGTTGCCAGCGGTGTCGGACCTTGCAAGGCCGGAAAGTGCTCTACTTCGTCAATGTGACCGCGGGGGTTGGATCAGCTCCCTTAAGCTAAACTATTTTCCAGACATGTGCAAGATATGCGAAACTGTTACTTCACTCATCTCACTACATGTTTGTTACAAGCATGGTTACGAGAATGATCCATGTCGTCAGCGACAGCAACAGCTCAATCAAAACAGCAGACATCACACTCATTGCTCGTCGGTGCTCGCCCATCGTCATCATCGTCATGTGGTGCTGTTGCTGCTCATGCCGCTGATGCTGCCGCTGGTGTTGGTAGTGGTGGCGACCATGGGTGTGGTGATGATGGCTTTGTCTATGATGATGCTGCTGGCGATGAGGAGGATCGATGACGGCAAAGCGAAGGTGAGGACAACGGCAAGCAGTTGCTTGGATGGCCGACGCCTGCATGTTTGGCTGTTCTGGGATGCAAACGCTTGAATTGAGCAGAAAGCTCTATACCACGCATTGTATCCTGGACCACCCCGCCGCTGCACAGATGGCCAGCACGCAGCCAGCAGAATAGCCGGCGCAGAGGGATGCCACGGCCTGGGTACAGGTTGCACTGTGTGACTTTGGGACAACTTGCACGTGCCAAACTTGATATCCGAGGGAGATGCAGCCTCCATGCTTTGTAGAGACGCCTGCCAGCGGTTCATAGCAAGTCCCTCCAGGAATCTCGGATTTCCTTGCTTGCAAGCCTTTGCAGTCAAGTGGTGGGGGGGTCCCTCAACGAGCATGAGTTGACATCCTGAGTGCCTCTGGATCCATGGCTTTGAAGAAGTCTTCAGAGGCCTCCGGTCCGACAGCAAAAGCAGTGCCATTAGCAGGATGCCAGCACTACCGCACTACTAACTGCCAGCCCAAGCCCTGCGGTACTCTTTGACTCTCCACTGCATTCAGTCACCAAGCTTAAGCCAGTTCTGATGCCCGTGGCTGTCACGTCGCTCTAGCCTAGACTTGTAGTACCAAGTCAACGCCTTGTAACAAATTCTTTGCATGGTGTCGCTGCCGCTAGAACTTCTCCGATCACGATTGCTACAATCAGTAGACGAGGCTTGTTTCCAGTCGATACGGTGAGAAGTGATCACTATTGCTGCCGCTCTGCCCGTTGATGCTGCTACTGCTATTGCCAAAGCCCCTCAATGCGACTTCACCTTGCCCTGAAGCGGCAAACTGAACGGGAATCGACATCGAAACCATTGTCAACTGTCTCCTCCACGACGAAGCCGACGACGACTGCCGCTGTCGCCGTTCAGCTCTTACAAGTACTGTTGCTGTTGACAGTGTTACTTCTCTTGTATTTCTGTGCAATTTCAACCCTGCCCCCCCCCCCCCCCCCCCCAGTGCAATTTCAACCCTGCCCCCCCCCCCCCAGCACTCCGATAAGGGCGCAGTGGGCCCAAAGAGATGCTGCAGATACCTATAATGTGAGGCCCTAAAGTGACATCATGGGCCTGAAAGAACCTACAAGTATCAGAGCAGACACCACCGCCACCTCCAGGGCCCGGAGGAGCTCGGAGCCCGCGGGAGCTCGGCCTGCGCCAGGACCCGACCTGCGGGGCAAAAGCCAAGCTTTTGGCTTCAATCTGACAGAGTCGGGGGAGGTTTCCATCTTCGATGTTACTGAGGGGTCCGGGACAAATTTGAGTGCATTGCGCCGGACTTTTGCGCACTTGAAAGCTGTCGGCGCTCACTTAGCCTTGGACTTGCTTGCCAGCACGTCCCTCCAGGAGAAAAGACTGCAGGTCCCGTCCTCGGACGTCATATAGGTGGCGTCCACATCGTCCGGGATGTCGGCGTTCTTGATCTTATCGTTGATGTCGTCCTCGTCCATGAGGATCTTCGGCGCGATGACCGCCTTCTTTGGGTACCGCGCAAGGGCTGACCTCTGCAAAATGTACAGCTTCCACCCCTCTGTAGTCAAAAGCTGCTCTCGGCCGTTCGCGAGCTTTGCTCGGAAGACCTCGATGGGCTGCTCGTGGCCGATGTACACCATCTTGCCGTCGTCCAGCACTTTGGCGGACTGCCAAACACGGCTCAGGGGCTGCTTGGCAGCCCTGCCGTCGGGCTGATGGTCCGGGATGCTCTTGCAAGCGTACCCTACGTCGAAGGGGTCGACGCGCCCGGTACCGCACATCTTCGAGTGGATGTCACACTCTTTTGGGCACGCCGCCCAAGTCTCTCTCGGCGCCGGGGCCACGGTTGCAGTCTCGGAGGGCTCTGGCTCCGCTCGGCGCTGCGGATTCGTATTCGTAGCCGTAGCCGACTGTAAGGCGCGTGCGAAGAGCCGGCCTGCAAAAACAAACACGACAACACTCACTTAACTACAATGCACTGCGCTCCTGCGGCTTTGCGTTGCAGCTGCTTGTCCAAACCTCGCACGTCACGCACGGCTCACAGCTACGCTGGGTACGACACCTACGACGCGGCGAATCACCAAAGGCGACGCAGCCTCCACACCAACGCTTAATTTACCTACCATGGATGTCCTGGTGTGGGCGCCTGGCCTGCATCATCATTTTGGGGCAGCTTCGTTTTGAAGCCTCGAGCAACACGGCTCAAGTCGCTGAGCGACTCTTTAAGACAGTCGGTGTGGCGCCTTCAACGCCTTCGTCCGGAGACCACTGACGCCAGGTTTGATTCCAGCCTGCGCAGAATAAACAGGGATGCAGCCGCCATTAGCCACCCTTGAGTCACTCAGCCACTCTCAGTCTGCGCACGCGGCCTTGTTCTTGAGCGCTACCTGTTGCCAAGGATTGTTGCTTTGGCTGCGGCAAGTTAGCTTCGGTCCTCGTCACCAAAAGAACTCATTGGCCTTATGCTTGATTTCGAAAAGTTCGACATACTGCAAATCCTGGAATCCTCTACGATGCGGTATTATTGTGGTTATGAAGTTTAAACCAGCATTACCTTCAATGAACATGTGGAACAGAATAATACGAAAGGCCGAGAAGCCAGAGCCCGGAAGCCCAGGAGCCAAAATAAGCTATAGGAAGCCAAAGACTAAGAAGCCCAAAGATAAAGAAGAATGCGGAGCAATGTTCGTTACCAACAATCCACAAACCCTACGAAAGGTAGGCTTCCTTAATTTGCTTCTGAGCCAGCCTGAGTCACGCCAGCTGTCATTGCTCCACCAACTCCAACCACAGGCAGAGGCAATGCAGCCTTCGCACCAACTGGACTATACCTGCCGTGAAGTTTCTCTTGAGCGCCTGGCCTTCATCCCCTTCGCCATGGCGCTGCCTGGTACCACTGCCTCATGTAAGACGGCTCACTTGATTGGGCGACTCGCTTCCGCAGGACATGCTCCGCCTTTGTCCCAAGCCCAGCTTCGCCAAGAATGATTCCAGCCTGCGAAGAAATCAAGAGATCAAGCGCTCTGAAACCGCGTTCAGCCGCAGTCAATCTACGCACACGGCCTTCGTCTTGAAGGCTGCCTGTCGCCATGGATTGCTCCATATTGCTTGCTGACGTGCTTTTCCATGGTTTGCTTCGTGCGTGGATCGTTCGAGCAGCTCTCCATCGAGCCAGCCTGAATCACTTCTTGTGCGATAACTCCAACCTGCACATGCAGGGCATTCAGAGGCAACAGAGCAACAACTACCTGCCGTGAAGTTTCTGGTAATTCTGATCTGATGCGGACCGGGCCTTCCTCGTCTTCGTGCTTCACCTCGTGCTCGGTGCCTCGCGCAGCACCGCAGCACATCTCACATCGGCTGGCGACTTTTTGCAGAGGGCACCGGGCCTTGGGCATCACGAGACCAACGACCATAGTGTTGCTGCTTCCAGCTGTCATTCCAGCCTGCTGCACAGGCTACTGTGTGGGGCAAGGAGCATGGAATCACCATCAGACGGTACGGCACGGCCTCCGCGCCAACCCTGCCGATGATTTGGCATTACTAGCTTTGGAAATTTCTGCTTACAATACAGTTCGAGCCTGACGGCTTTCCGGCAACTTGAGATGCGCGAACATCGGCAGAGCTCAAACACATGCACAACCCACTGTTAGATACAGGATCGGAACTTCGCCTAGAAGCTGTCACTAGCTTACGGCTTGCTTGAACATATCTGAGTATACCTGAAACTTGAAACCCTATTCCGAAAAAGCCTGCCTCGTGGCCCAAACTCTAACTCATGTAAACACCGCCTGTGTCTTAAATGGAACTGCCGTGCTGCCGTGAATGGCATTGGAATGCCGGCCTGAAGCGATAGAAAGATGCTCCAGGCCTGAATTCGGGCAAGGTGCTGCATGTCGCATCGGCAGATCCACCGAACAGATTGCATGAGGCTCCAAACTAAGAACTTCATTCTGGCCAAGGCTCGCTTCCAGCTGCCGCAAGCCCTGCAAAGTCAGGGACAATGACAGGTTCGGAGGTTTTCTGTCTCAGTTCCGGTCTGTGGACCTCTGTGCACCGAAACTGGTGGCTTGGTTCAGGTCAGCCTAAACCGAACTGGTTTGCCCGGCGGGAGCGTCTCCCTAGAAAGTTTGCCTTTGTCTGATGGGTGATGGGAGGAATCCCAAGATTCGATGATTCTGCTTGTCCCTCGCCAACTTGGAAGGCCTTGCCATGCTAACGACCAGGATGTCAGCCCCCCAACCAGTACGAATGACACTGCGCAGCGATAGGCAAATCATCGCTTAGACGTGATAGCAATCTGCAAGACCGTCGCATACCGTCGCAAGCCTATCTACGTAATCTACGTCCTGAAAACCCGAGCACGGCATAACTCCGACCTACTCACGAGTCACGAGCAGCCGGCCTTCGATCTTCGAAGGATACGGTGGAACGCCAACGTAGCCGCCGCGACTTCCCACCTTCTCAGACAGAACAAAGGTGCTAAGAGTTGAGATGCCGAATGGGCGGGCTGTGCAACGCTTCAGCATGTGCGATGTGACGCAGACTTTTCTTCCTCAGCCGCTGTACACCGCGGAGCCGGCCCCCCTTGCGCTGTCACGAGACTTGGCGCAGTTTGGCGCCCTTCACATTCGAGAGTGCTCCCACGCATATCAGTGAGCTGGGTTGAGTTTCTGCATCGGTCTGGGCTTGCAGTTTTCGCCGCAGATTTACAGGGGAGTCTTCACTTCAACAGGTTCTGGATAAGCCGACGTTGCTTTGAGACAGCATGTCTCCTTGGACGGTGGGCATCCCTGTGCACGTTGCTCTCAATGTCTTTCGTCAACTTGGGGTCCAGCTGCAGCCAGGGGCTGGCCGCTTCCAGCTGCGTGGTTGCCACCAGTGCTCCAACCATCACATAATGACCCGTGTACCGACTGAGACCCTTCTTGAGAATCCACTCTGACCAAGAGTCGTGATGCCCAGTGTCAACGCACACAGCTGAGTCGGAATTCACAGAATCAATGATGTTACACTGGATCCCAAGTGCTCTCGTTGCTCCCGGCTGACATGACTGCGCACTGAATCTATAATTTCGCAGGGGTGTGCCGAAGGGCAAGGACGGCTTCGAAGCGATGGTGGCCCGCCTGAATCTCGCACCAGGGAGTTATTCCCTGGAGCACTTCTTGACGAAGTTCGCGCAGGGTAGTCACCCTCACGCACCAGATCGATCTTCTTTGCTTCTCCACGCTTCACGCCACGTGGGGCCTCGGTGGCTTCGGTGCCACCAGCTTGAAAGCTCCCGGCATTCACTTCGATTTGGACATGCCTCCAGGAAAACTGAGTGCACATCCGATCCTCGGATTTCACATACTTATCAATGAGAAAATCCGGAACGCCGACATCCCGGACAACGTGGATGCCACGTATATGAAGTCCGAAGATGGGACGCGTGTTATTTTCTCCTGGACAGGAAAAAAGAACGCACGCCCCAGCCTCGGACTTCATGTGCGTTGCATCCATAATGTCCGGGATAACGGCGTTCTTGATTTTCTCATTGATCTCGTGCTTGTCCACGATGATCTTGGAGAGACTAACTTATAGCCTGCAGTGATTTGAGCCTCGGGCAACAGGGTTGGCACGTGTGTTGGACTTTGTACTGAATCTCGAGGTCTGTGTCTGAAACTTAGCGCGTCAATGGCTGTGCCAGGAGTGGAGCAGGCACGCAGCGCCGGCCTCCCTCGGCAAACACAGGACCTCGACGACGCCTTCGAGGTCTGCCTCATGAGTTGTCAAGCAAGATGCTGCGAGGCAGGTCGGTCAGTTGAATTAGGCGAAGCAACCTTACGACTGCAGCTGCATTGCATCAAATCAGCGTCACGAAGACGGGGCTACACGGAAAGAGTTCGTAGAGTACCAGCACAGGACCACACTTGCTGGATGCCTGGCAGTTGGCAGCGACACTGCTGGCCTGGACAGACTTTGGCTATGGAGATGTTGTGACCGACATGAAACACACGGGGATCGTAGGACTTGCAAGTGGAAATGGACCGCATTTGCTGGCACTGCGAAGTCTGCAGCATGAGAAATGCAGCAAAGTTGCGAGCTCCACTTCCGTTTACGTAGACCGGGCACAAGGCTTCATTGCATTTGCTTCAGCCTAGTAAGCTGGAACCGTCCCCAACCCGAACCCTCACCTTCGAAGCATGAATCAAGCCCGGCCATACAGCGCTTCTACGTGAAGTCCAAACCTAGGAGCCTTTCGACCCGACAACCCCACGACCGCTGGCCAGGCCACAAAAAAACCGGAAGCCGATCATGTGATTTGATGAAATGGACGTGTCGTTGCATCGCAGACCTTCTCAGCAATATCACGAAATACTCGGGTTGATCATACGAGTACCATTATACATCGCATCATTGACGTCTGATAAGGTGCTTCTTCTAGTCACTGTACGGTCCCCACAACAATGCTCCCAAAGCTTTCCCGGCCTCAGCTCCCTGAGGGAAGGGCTCGCCTGGATGGCCGGTCCAGCCAACGACATGGCTTCTAATGTTGTTCAGGCTACGCTCTCGTAAACAGCCGGACGAAAGATCAGGTCACTGGTTTCCGGCCGGTGAAGGATACGCTGAATCGGAGCGAGCCACATCCTCCCAACGTATTGTTCAATCGGCAGTCCGACCGAACAACGAATGATCGAAAGTCGACGCTAGCCTACGACACTCCAAAATCATCAGGTACGGCTTGGGCCTGAACGGCCTCGGCCTTCCTGCCTGCTAAATTGCACACGTGCAGTCTGGGAGTCACAATGTGACCACGAGGCTTTGGGAGCCATCAAAGCCAAAACTCACATCCCAAATGGCATGTCGTGCTCGCATGCCCCAACTACGCAGGGCCGACATGCACGACACAGAGCCACCACTGAACCTCTGTCAGAGCTTTTTCGATTGGATCGGGATGCTCGTCGCCTATTTGGCTGGCTCCTCTCTGGATGTGGTCATTTATTTGTACCTGGCATTGTGCTGTGCGCCGCTTCTAGGGCGTGCGTGCCGGTCATGCTTACGGCGGCAATCCTCGTCCTGACCACATCGCCGGCAGTTCCAGGCCGTCGCTGCACGCATCTGCGCACACTCGAAAGCGATTTCCAGCACGCCGGGAACCACTACACAGGAAGACACCCTGGTCTCGCCGCGGGGCCAACGGTCGTGCGCTCGAATTCCGGGAGCACATCGGTGGACTCCGCCGTCAAAGGCTTCTTTCGTCTCGAACGACGCGTCCTCCAGTCACTCACTATCACTACGACACTTCTATGGAGCGTGATGAAACATTCTGCAGCGCCTGAAAACAGGCGTGCAGCACAAACTAAATCAGTTTCCGACAAAGCTTGTAGGACTTCCTTCCCCCGGCGTGGCCGATGCTCCTCAAATGCTGCATAGGGCTTCCCGTGACGCGGTGTGCCCTTTGTTGCCACGCAAACCACAACTCCCCGGAGTCGTTGTCTCAACGCGTTGCTGCAATCTGTGCCGACAGTTCTTGCAAAAGGCTGCTTGGGGGCAGGAAGCCTCCCCATGGCACGGATGATTCGAACAGCTCGCTTCATCTGAGAAGGGCTTTTGGAGGAGTGGGAGGTGCAAGATGACACGAGAATCTCATGCACCTGCCCCTCCTCCAAAATTCTTCGGCCGCCATGTCCCGTGCCTCCATTCGGCCTCTGCCACCGCCGCGGTGCCTCTGCGCTTGACCCCCCTGCAGCCTCCAACTGTTTGCGGCTGAGCTTCTTCAAGTCCGCAAACTGCTGCTTGGAATCCAGGTCAATGTCCGCCCGATGCATCCGACACTCGGCGTCCTTGACCTGGCACTCTGGACATTGCAATCTGAAGTGTTGCTGAACAACTCGTCGATCAGCCGTCTGAACAGACAACGCTTTTTCGACACTTGCATGTCTTCGACAGACACTTTCACATGCAGCCCCCGCTGTTCCTGCTCGTCCCGCCGGTCCAGGGCTGAAGGGATTTCCTTCAGGACCCCACGTTCCTGCGCCAAGCGGGGCTTCTGGCTTCTGGTTGGGTTAGAGGGTTTAGGGCTTCGGGCTCAGGTTCGGGTCCAGGTCTGGGGGCATGAGGTTCACGGCTTATCAGGTTTTCAGGGTAGGAATTGCCATGGGTTAGGTGCTGGGACTCAAGCTCGAACTGCAACCACTCGATGTCCCTTCGCGCCTTCTAACTGAATCTGGACTCCTGGACGTGCGTGGCCTGCAAGCTCCCCTGAACTGAAGCCTTTACGTGAAACCCTGATCAGAACATTTTCGGAAGCCCGCGCGAAGCCCAAGCCTTGCACAAAAGACCACATCAAACACGCCTTAAACACGGACCACATCTATCTAACACCTAGCCCTCTATCCAGCTCCAAACCTACCAAAACCTGCAATGCAAAACCCCCTATCCCCAAGCCCGATGCCTTCAGCCCTCCCACCTACCAGGTCACTTCGACGCAGCAGGGAAAGTTCGAAACTGAGCTTCCCACCGAAGCTGTAGCTGAAGTCTCAGGCCTCCCGCCACATGGCACTCCCAACAAGACACATCACATCAACACTATCAGTCGGAGAATGTGGAAGAAAGCTTGCCGCGAGCCTGGTGCAGCTTCTGGCAGACAGCACATGGCCCATCTGTGCAAAGACTTTGGACAGCATGTTTGTTGCACTTCCGACTGCCAGGATCAATCACATGAGCGACACAGCAAGCTGCCGACAACCACGGGTGTTTACTACTGTCGTTTCCAGGGCTTCTGCCAAGGCAGCCGCCGCAGCACCACACCTGCAGCAGGTGTTCAATCGCCGTTCTGGCAATCCGTTGGCTTGATGGTGAACACGATTTAAAAGCCACGCAGGCTTCTGCGAGGTTTCAGGCTTGCTCTACTGCGGCTCTAGACACGGAGCTTCCCTTCTCGACTGCGTTGATCATGCACGTGGCGAAACAAACCAGTCACGTGAGGACGTCCCGCCTTGAAGGGGGCTGCGCCGGCAACGACGATGCCAGCTGTGTGAAGCCTATCCACATGTCGTGGATTGTGCTGGAACCGAAAAAAACGTATCCCCAAGGCCGATACCTTCAGCCCTCCCACAACACACCAGCCCAAGCCCGCTGTACTTTTCCACTCTCTAATGCATTCAGTCACCAAGCTTAAGTCACTTCTGATGCCCGTGGCTGCCACGTTGCTCTAGCCCACACTCGTGGTAGCAAGCCATTCTTTGCGTGATGTCGCTGCCGCTAAAACTACTCCGATCACGATTGCTACAATCAGTAGACGAGGCTTGTTTCCAGTCGATACCGTGAGAAGTGATCACTATTGCTGCCACTCTTCCCCTTGACGCTGCTACTGCTATTGCCAAGGCCCCTCAATGCGACTTCACCTCGCCCTGAAGCTGCAAACTGAACGGGAATCGACATCGAAGCCATTGTCAACTGTCTCCTCGACGACGACGCCGACGACTACTGCCGCTGTCGCCGTTTAGCTCTTACAAGCACCGTTGCTGTTGACAGTTCTACTTCTTCTGTATTTATATGCGAGCACTCCGAGAAGGGCGCAGAGGGCCCAGAAAGATAGTGCAGACACCTAGTGTGCGGCCCTAAAGTGACATTGTGGGCCTGAAAGACCTGCAAGCATCAGAGCAGACACCACCGCCACCTCCAGGGCCCGGAGGAGCTCGGAGCCCGCGGGAGCTCGGCCCGCGCCAGGACCCGACCTGCCGGGCAGAAGGCAAGCTTTTGGCTTCAATCTGACAGAGTCGGGGGAGGTTTCCATCTTCGATGTTACTGAGGGGTCCGGGACAAATTTGAGTGCATCGCGCCGGGCTTTTGCGCACTTGAAAGCTGTCGGCGCTCACTTAGCCTTGGACTTGCTTGCCAGCACGTCCCTCCAGGAGAAAAGACTGCAGGTCCCGTCCTCGGACGTCATACACGTGGCGTCCACATCGTCCGGGATGTCCGCGTTCTGAATCTTCTCGTTGATGACATCCTCGTCCATGAGGATCTTTGGGGCGATGACCGCCTTCTTGGGGTACCGGGCCAGGGCGGACCTCTGCAAAATGTACAGCTTCCACCCCTCTGTAGTCAAGAGCTGCTCTCGGCCGTTCGCGAGCTTTGCTCGGAAGACCTCGATGGGCTGCTCGTGGCCGATGTACACCATCTTGCCGTCGTCCAGCACTTTGGCGGACTGCCAGACACGGCTGAGGGGCTGCTTGGCAGCCCTGCCGTCGGGCTGATGGTCCGGGATGCTCGTACATGCATAGCCCACGTCGAAGGGGTCGACGCGCCCAGTACCGCACATTTGGGAGTGGATGTCACTCTCTTTTGGGCACGCCGCCCAAGTCTCTCTCGGAGCCGGGGCCACGGTTGCAGTCTCGGAGGGCTCCGAGGGCTCTGGCTCCGCTCGGCGCTGCGGATTCGTGTTCGTAGCCGTAGCCGACTGCAAGGCACGTGCGAAGAGCCGGCCTGCAAAAAAAACACGACAACACTCACTTCATGTCGGCTACAATGCACTGCGCTCCTGCGGCTTTGCGTTGCAGCTGCTTGTCCAAACCTCGCACGTCATGCACGGCTCACAGCTACGCTGGGTACGACACCTACGACATGGCGAATCACCACAGGCGACGCAGCCTCCACACCAATGCTCAATTTACCTACCGTGGATTTCCTGGTGTGGGCGCCTGGCCTGCATCATCATTTTGGGCCTGCTTCGTTTTGAAGCCTCGAGCAAAACACGGCTCAAGTCGCTGAGCGACTCTTTAGGACAGTGGGTGCGGCGCCTTCAACGCCTTCGTCCGGAGACCACTGACGCCAGGTTTGATTCCAGCCTGCACAGAATAAACAGGGATGCAGCCGCCATCAGCCACCCGGTGGAGTCACTCAGGCACTCTCTGTCTGCGCACGCGGCCTTGTTCTTGAGCGCTGCCTGTTGCCAAGGATTGTTGCTTTGGCTATGGCAATTTAGCTTCCGTCCTCGTCACCAAAAGGACCTTTTGACTGCTCAGGTCGAACTCACTGGCCTTAATTATGCTTGATTTCGAAACGTTCGACATACTGCAAATCCTGGAATCCTATATTATGCGGTATTATTGTGGTTATGAAGTTTAAGCCAGCAATAAGTGCAATGAACATGTGGAACAGAATAATACGAAAGGCCGAGAAGCCAGAGCCCGGAAGCCCAGGAGCCAAAATAAGCTAGGAAGCTAAAGACTAAGAAGCCCAAAGATAAAGAAGAATGCGGAGCAATGTTCGTTACCAACAATCAACAAACCCTACGAAAGGTAGGCTTCCTTAATTTGCTTCTGAGCCAGCCTGAGTCACGCCAGCTGTCGTTGCTCCACCAACTCCAACCTGCTTGCACATGGCACGCCACTGCGAATCATCACAGGCAGAGGCGATGCAGCCTTCGCACCAACTGGACTATACCTGCCGTGAAGTTTCTCTTGAGCGCCTGGCCTTCATCCCCTTCGCCATGGCGCTGCCTGGTACCACTGCCTCATGTAAGACGGCTCACTTGATTGGGCGACTCGCTTCCGCAGGACATGCTCCGCCTTTGTCCCAGGCCCAGCTTCGCCAAGAATGATTCCAGCCTGCGAAGAAGAAATCAAGAGATCAAGCGCTCTGAAACCGCGTTCAGCCGCAGTCAATCTACGCAGCCTTCGTCTTGAAGGCTGCCTGTCGCCAAGGATTGCTCCATATTGCTTGCTGACGTGCTTTTCCATGGTATGCTTCGTGCGTGGATCGTTCGAGCAGCTCTCCATCGAGCCAGCCTGAATCACTTCTTGTGCGATAACTCCAACCTGCACATGCTGGGCATTCAGAGGCAACAGAGCAACAACTACCTGCCGTGAAGTTTCTGGTAATTCTGATCTGATGTGGACCGGGCCTTCCTCGTCTTCGTGCTTCACCTCGTGCTCGGTGCCTCGCGCAGCACCGCAGCACATCTCACATCGGGTGGCGACTTTTTGCAGAGGGCACCGGGCCTTGGGCATCACGAGACCAACGACCATAGTGTTGCTGCTTCCAGCTGTCGTTCCAGCCTGCTGCACAGGCTACTGTGTGGGGCGAGGCGCATCGAATCACCATCAGACGGTACGGCACGGCCTCCGCGCCAACCCTGCCGATGATTTGGCATTACTAGCTTTGGAAATTTCTGCTTACAACACAGTTCGAGCCTGACGGCTTTCCGGCAACTTGAGATGCGCGAACATCGGCAGAGCTCAAACACATGCAAACCCACTGTTAGATGTAGGATCGGAACTTCGCCTAGAAGCTGTCACTAGCTTACGGCTGGCTTGAACATATCTGAGTATACTTGAAACTCGAAACCCTATTCCGAAAAAGCCTACCTCGTGGCCCAAGCTCTAACACATGTAAACACCGCCTGTGTCTTATATGGAAACACAAGAGTCCACTGCGTTTGCAAGCTCGATTCGCACGAGTAACTCCAGCCAGTGTCGCATTGCCCGATGTCGACACTGAGAAGTTAGGTTGTGCCAAGTCTGCACTTTCGAGAGCACTGGTTTGCTTGCTGCAGCACTGTAGAAGCATTATCCAACACATTCCGGCCAACTTGCAGTAGGCACTCTCCCTGCATCCCAAAATGCCTCGCATCGCAGAAACAGCAGCGGCTCTATTTTTGAAGATCCCGGCACAAAGAAGAAGGACCAAGCCTGCTCGGATTGAGTGGAACACGATTTAAAAGCCACGCAGAACTTCTGCGAGGTTTCAGGCTTGCTCTACCGAGGGCTCTCGTCACGGAGCTTCCTGTCTCGACTGCGTTGATCATGCATGTGGCAGAAGAATAAACAACTCCTGTCTTCTTGACCGCAGGTCACGTGAGGAAGTCCCGCCTTTTTGGGACTGCGCTGGCAACGACGATGCCAGCTGCGTAAAGCCTCTCCATATATGTTGTGTGTTGTGTTGGGTGGAATGCTTGGTGGTGTGTATGTTTACGAATGCTCACAGGGATTTTTGAACCATCAGGCAACTCTCCGCGACCCTCGGAGCGTTTGCGGGAACGATTGTCAGCAAAAGCCAGTCGAGCACTGTTCCGAATCGTCAGATCCTGGAATCGATCATGCTCCGATGGCATCAGGGAGCCTGTGCGGAAGCGCCTGACGATTTCGCTCGCAGCTTCAAGAGCCTCCAAAGGAAGCGACGCTCGGCCGTCCTGCCTGGCGGGCTCAAGCCGTGTCGCATTGATGTAGGAATGTTTTTCCTCCCACACTCTGCTGTGTTCTGTTTGTTAACGCATGTCACGACTCCCACTAACATCTTTCCTCACCTGTTCTCTTTCTTTCACTTCACTTGTTCACTGTCATATAATGTGGGGTCATCCCGTCCGATATTTTTTGCCTGCTTGTCTTCAGCACCATCCCACCCCCACCAGGCCGGAACAAGCCGCCATGATTGAGCTACGGATCGTCTTAATCAAGTGAGGCATGTGTACTCACTGATTCAGCCATCATGAAATACACGCGATAACCTATTTGTGGCAGGAAGATTATTCCTGGCCTGCGTATGGAATGCGCCTGTTTGGTCCGATTCTGTGCGTGGCCACCTTTTGGATGTCTGCATGTTGTATAGAGGCGGCAAGGTCTTCGTGTCCCTGCCGTGAGACGCGCATACCTAGCTGAAACTCAATCGGGAAGGACGGCCAGCATCTCACCGAGAACAAGCAACCCGAACGGCAGTTGAACATGGAACGAACAATGTAGAAAAATAACAGACATGCTCCTGATTATCTGTAAAGCTCCAGGGATGCACAAGCAGGGATTGGGCTCGGGCCCCTGCGCGTCCATCACCTCGTGGTCTTTCCGTGCAACTTGCACAGATTTCCTGGCCAAAGATCCGTAAATTATTGCCTTTCATGATAGCAGTGGACCCCTGAACGATTGCGCGGCCTGCAAGCCGAGGCGGCGTGCCACCGCCTGGCTTGCTAATTCTTGGCCGTAGCAATTTGAATCTGCTGGCATGGAAAATTCTGATTCTGGCAATTACATCGAACATATTTTTTGCGGGGAGGCCAACGGCCTAAATAATGCAGCGGGGGTTCGACATAAATTATTTCCCAACATACCCTGCGCACGCTGACATAAATCGGTGTGCAACATGGAGCTTGTTTGGAGATGTCCAACCTACTAACAGTCGGAGTTGACAAAAAAACAGCACAAGAAAAACCTGGCCGATCCATTCAAGTCCGTAAGACGCTTTCTCGTACTCCTTTTTTTATTCCGATTGTGTTTTTCTCGTGCTTCTTTTTGTGCTTCTCCTCGTGCTGGCTGCGCGCTGCGGCCTTCTGCTCAGCACTGCTTGACTGCAGGTCTTGGCCATGCGCTTTCATTGCTCTGAATGAAATGCTATGCCATCACTTCAGTACGCCTCGTTCCCGATTTCAGGTCTGCCAGTGTTTGTTGCACAAGCTGTACCGTGGCCTTCTTTGGACAGCAAATGCTGGGGCAATATCGCTTCTGTTGGACATCACCTCCATTTTGCTTGCGGGCCTATCGGGATTCTCGATCCTGATAAACATGCAACAAATTGAACAGCAATGCTGGAATGCCGCTGGAAAAGGCAAGGCAGCAAGACGGACTTTCACATGTGTCATCACGAAACGTCAAGACAAATACAGGTAGAGATGGCAAGGCATGACATGAAAGCAGCCCGGCCTGCGCGAGCTGGCAAAACCAGCCGGCCTGGGAGTGCGATGCCGGTTGGGCAACAGCCTGGCGACGCTGGCTGGCGCGTCGTTTTCTCCACAACCCGTGGCGCATGCACCAGCCTCGCGGCGGGTCTCTACCCAGCGAACTCGCCCCTGATACGGGTGGAACGCTGCACTCACACCAATGCTGAAATGGAAATACGTTTGAACATTTCAGGCATTGCACCTCCTCTATCACGCGGCGGTAGTTTCCAGGTGGGCCACCAGCGAGGGGATCCATTGCCACGAAGCTTGGGCCAAGTTCACCCTGCGAACGAACGAGATTGCCATCATTGCCATTGATCGAAAAATCTGAACGCTATACTCCACCCCCCCCGGAGAGAAAGATTAAAAGGGTGGAGAGGGCGGGATCGAAAAGCTGGGCCGATCGGCTGATCGCCAAAATGGCCAGGGATACAGAGGATGATCATGGCTCTTCTCTCGATCGAATAGACTGACCCTCATACGTCCTACGTGTACGAGCAGGGAATTGGGTGTCTGTCCCGGCCAACCGGAAGGAGGATCCTAGTTGAACTGTTCAAACATTGCTGAGTGCTCCTCAATCAAGAAGTTGGTCGATTATTCTTGGAGGCGTGCGACTGATCAGAAGTTCTTGGGTTTCTTGGGCAGCACTGGCTCAAAGAAGAGAGTTTGGTTGCTGAGTCCAGAGTTGGTTGATCAACTGTTTGTGCATTTTCAACGGAAATCCCTTCAAAGGACGGAAGATCATAGGTGTGCTGAGCCTTCAAGTTATTGATGAATTGATCATGAACGGCTCTGCCGAGTGTCTGACTTTAGCTAAAACTAAAACTGCCTTTACGACCACAAGCCTTCAGAATACCCATCAAGCCCACGAGTGAAAACAAGCTGAGCTATGGAGTGTCTCAGCAAGTGGGCTTTTTCGCACTCCACAGAAAGCACCGCAATGAGCGGAAGCGGGGTAATCTTCTTAACATGCTCAGCACCGTTGGTTTTGAGCTATGACTTCACGTCGTAGCTGGATTTGGAAGTGTTTGGCCTCACAAGACCAGCCGTGCAGACGAAGTATTGTCCGGCATCGCTCATTTTCACACTTCGTGAAAACGCATTGTGGCTGATGCCCGTGAAGCACCAAATTGGCGAATCATCATGGAAGCCATACAATCTCGGCTCACCACAAACGCAGTTAATAGCATCTTGACCATGGAACCTGTCATCAGGGTTGCATACTCCACATGCCGTGTAAGCATTGGACATAGCAGTAGCTTCAACTTGAGTGACCTCACGAACTTCAACAGCTCCATGCAATTTTGCGCATCCTGCTCGGTAATAGTTCTCATGGTTGCAACCAGCATTCTCAAACGTTGCTCTGGTCGCCGGCCCACAGCTGGAGCTGTTCAAGCAAAAAACCAAGTTCTGCGTCCCGCCTGTGGCGTGCAAGAGTTGCTAGGCATTCAACCCAATTTTTCCGCGCAGCTTCTTCCAAGAAGAGGCGGCAGGCACTCATGTGCCACACGGCTACCATGATCTCTTCAAAGTCTACGGTTGGGTCATCCTCCATCGACTTCAGGATCGCTGGAATGGGTTCCGTCAAGGTATGCTGCGCCCGCCTGGAACTATTCCTAGCTAACAAGGCCACCAAGCGCAAGGCCGAAATGCGGACGTACGGGTCGGCATCAGCTTCTGATTGCCCATGGCACAGTGCGAGCAATCCACGACTCTCTTGCAGCGCGAACTCCAAGGCACAGTCACGTTCAAGCCCATCTCGACCGGCACGCGTCTGGTGCAAGCACCACATGAAACCTGAGACTGGCAAAATTAAACTCCATCCAACCGTGCCTGATATGTGCCGACAACTCCCTAGACAGCGCCCTAAACAGCACTCCCGACAGCACCTGCCTGCCCTGACAAGAAAGTGGAGTAATCATTTTCGTAGGAAAACTGCAGCAGGTAGGCCACCATCCCTTTTAAATATGTACACCATTTGATAGTGCTCAGAGCCATAACAGCACGCTGAACAGCACCTGCGCACCAACAGCTACTTGCCCTGAACTGCACCAAACAGCACCCTGGCCACGAGAACCCCAATAGCTACGCTATCTGGGGAAAAAGGGGGTCCAGAGTACAAAACAATGATACCAGCATAGATCCCCAAACAGTAAAAGACCATGATGACGATCATGACGCCCACGGAATCAACAGGACCACCAGGACGACCACTACGACCGAGCACCGCAACCAGGAGACCACGACAAGACAGCCCAGGAGACCAGCTAGAGACCACGAGCAGACCCCAGTGGCCCAGGAGACCACGGGAGACGGGAGACCATCAGGCGACCACACAGAGACCAGCGTTGCCCCACGTAGTGGTGGGTTCTGAAGGAGAGACAAAAAGCGCTTCCCCCAAGGGACAGAATGCTTTCCCTTGTACTGGCGGGATTCCAGGATATGAGCAAACAATACTTCGCCCCACGACGTACCGCTGCGATTCAAGGTTTTCGAGGCCAAAAGGTGGTCCACCTCTGAGAATTTACAATGAATCCGGCTCCCGCGCCGGAGCGGGAGCCGCGCTCCAAGCAACCCTGTTGCAGCGCGCGCCGCGCGGGTTCAGTAACCAATTCTCTTTACACTGAACCGCTAGTGCTACCTCACTGTTTGGGGAAACAACTGTTGCCTGTCCAGCTTCACCTTGAGCATGTGCAATTGGCGACATCCTCACGCCAAAAAGTTTTCAGCAATAGTACCTGAAGAGGCCTGCAACAAAATTGTCAGCGCATAGCACTTGAACCGAGCAGCAGTCAAAGCGCTTTCGCATCACTGAGTCAAGCAGTTTCCGGCTTTCGCGCCAATCAAGGTTCTCCATGTGGCACTGAATCACTGTGTCAGAAACGAGGACAACGGCGGATGGCCTCCGAACCAACACTCAAACATCGCTCCTTTTTTGAGATATATGTATAAATATACAAACACACACACACACACACACACACACACACGATTATCGGAAAGTGCCAAAATGCAGCAAATGCCTGTCCAGATCCGCGTGGTCGGCAACATGTTGAGTAAAGACCTCGTACATTCATGAAAATGTTGTGACTCCAGACTGCACAGCTGCCATTTCTCGAGGCGTGTGCTCTGGTGTCAGCAGCCCGGCAAGCTTGAAGGCGAAAGATCTCCGGCACCTGCAGCCCATCCCCTATTCCCACACACATTTTTCCGGAAGGCTTTGCGAAGAGTGTTTTTCCACACCTGGATGGTTGGATTCGCATGGTTGGATCTGCCTCTGTTATGCAAATTCGAATATGTTAAGGTGGGAGGTCAAGATAGCCGCCGGAAATATGCGTGGCCATCTCGGCAGGCCAAGCTTGGCCGCCCAAGAATGCCAGGAGTTAGTGGTTTGGACACCATTCGCTCTCGAAGTCAGTGATCCCGGCGTGTACTCGTTGAAACACCTCAATGGTTTCGGCACAGTTCACTTGCTGGTGGGTGGCGCGTGCTGCAGGGTGGTGGTTGCTGCCCTGCAATTAATGATTGAGTTGATGTCAAACTTTCAAGACCGTATAATGATTGGGGTTCTCCCCTTCGCTAAATCCTGACCCCTGAGCATAGACCCTACGGCCCAAACCCCTAATCCCTAACCCGTCAGCCCAATACCCGAACCCTGACCCTAAACCAAACCCTGAAGCTTGAGCCGAGCCTTAAAGATGATGCTGCTGCTGATGCTGCTGATGATGATGATGATTGAGGTGATAAGGTTATAAGATGCTACCACTATGATGGAAAAGGATAAGGTGATGAGATGATAAAATGACGAGATGATAAGATGATGAGATGATAAGATTGTGACATAACAATGTGATCAGATGATAAAATAATTATCAGTTTTTTGCTTGAAACATAGCTGCGGCCAATGTTTCTATGCAACTCCAAAACGGACGACTGCCCTGCAAAAGACAGCACGAAACGCAAAACACTCAACGACGACGACGCTTGCACCTTTGATGGTGATGGTGGCGTGCAAGGTTCTCGCCTTCTTGTTCTTGTTGGTGTTGTTGTTGATGATGATATCGTTGATGATGGCGGTGATGATGAAGACAATAAATAATCATGATGATCAGGGCTTGAAACTTCCTGGTCAAAAATGCTTTCGGTGATATCCGCTGTCAGTTTTATCCGGTTTATGCAGTTTAGGACTGGTTTTCGCCATGCAGCAGCAACACGACAACCGCTCGTGGTAGCATGCGCGAGGGTCCTTTCAAAGCGCGCTGACACGTAAAAGCAATGCAAGCTTTCCCATCAAAGCTCCTCTGTGGCCTGCGACTGATCTTGCAACGAAATGTACGCTCGCGTGCATGCTGAGTCACTGCGCCAAAGGCAACGCATATGAAGAGCGGTGAGGATTGGAACAGGTGGGCATTCGCCGTTCGTCTTCGGCCTCAAAGGCCCCCGATTGGTGGATCCGCATCAAGCAAGTCAGATCCCGAGAAATTCGATGAGATGATTCTGCTAGACTGTGTGAAACACCACGGGCCGCTTGAAGATAGGGTTGAAGACCTGTTCTGTCGGGACGTTTTTTGGCTCTCGGGATCCTGTTTCCCTAGTTCCTAGAATTTTGCAGGATTTCCTCGGATTCCTGCAATTTCTTGATTGAAAATTGTAATTTCCCAGGCTTCCCAAGCATTTCCTGGAAATTGCCAGGATTGCCTTCGCAAACACTTTCCAAGGGTTCGTTGGATTTCTGCAAGTTTGGCGAAAGTAATTTAGCGTTTTCTGCGCTATCTGGTTACCTGACGATTTCGTAACATGTTGTCAATTTGTTTGAATTTCTCGATGTTCCTCAGAGTCTCTAGATTGTCCTCGCTTCTCGAGTGCGTCAAGCTCACAGCCAGCATCATTAAGTTCAGCTGGTGGGCACCCAGGGGCAGTTTCAGCTGGATGTGCGGGCAACCCACAGCCAGCATCATGAGCTTTGGCTTAGGTGCGAGGGTGGGAGGGCGGCCAGCATCCTGAGTTTCAGTTCGCTGTTGTGGAAAGAACTGTCATGTGTAAGCTAGGGAGGTTTCTGTTGCTTTTGATGCTGCTGCCAATGATGATTATGATGATCATTACGGCGACGATGATGGTGGTGACATTGTTGATGTTAATGTTGAGATTGATGCAGGTGATTGGGTTGATGCTGATGTTGCTGTTGATGGCGATGATGACCTTCATGATGATGGCTTTGGTTCCGATGATGATAATGATGATGATGATGATGATGATGACGATGGTGACGATGATGGTGATGGTGATGATGATGACGATGGCGATGAGAATCGTGACAATGACGATGACGATGACGACGACGCGGATGAGGATGAATATCATGATGATGATGGTGATGGTGATGATGGTGATGATGATGATATTGCTGCTGCTGATGATGATGAAGAAGATGAAAAGGATGAGGATGAGGAGGAGGAGGAGGATGACGATGATGATGCTGGTGGTGGTGGTGGGTACAAGCCTTTAGGGTTTAGACTTTAGGGCTTTGAAGTAGGAAGTCAGGTGCTGGAGTCGCGAGCACACAAATTCAGCCCCCTCACCCGAGTCTGCAAACCGCTTTCCCGTCTGAAGGCCGAGCCTCAAGCATCTCGAGGAGGCCCTGCCCGAATAGCTCAACCAGCCCACTGCACCTGTGAGCCAGGAATGTCACAGTCAGAGCCTAAGTGCAGACGGTCTTGGTTCAACACGTCCCCGTCAAGCAGGGCACACTTGCGGACCAACGATGAGACCAGGAAGGGCCTCCGAAAAGAAACACCACACCAAGCTTAGCGCGCTCACCCCAAACGTCTCATCTGCCAGTGCTGCAACTGTTTTGACGCCTCATGAAGTCTAGGTGGCGCCCATGAACTTTGTAGCTCGGAATGCCCGGCCTGGGAGAAAAGCTGTTCCATCACTTAAAACTGGAAGTGGCGGCCACCAAGACTTAGGCTGAGCGGGGGATTCCAAGCAGACCCCTAATCAGCCCCACAAACGAAGCACCCGAGTCTCCCAATAGCCAGAGCATCAGAGCAAGCGCCCTTTCAAGTGCCCACAGTCACCCCGAGCCAGGCCCGCAACAGCCAACGAAACGAACACAAGTGCACACCAGTGAGTCTGAGCATCCTGAAAACGGGGGAGGAGGGGGTGGGGCATTGGTCAAAGGTACATTCTGACCTTGGACTCAGCCTGAGAGTCAATCTGGTGTGCTCAACTGAAAGCACAGCAAACGCGCCTGCAACTGCATGGAGAAGGCGGTTGCCAGCCCCTCCTAATCCGAGCAAGCGTTACAGGACGGAGGGCGTTGTTAAACTTGGGCCCACAATAGGCTATTAGGGCCCGTCGCCCTTGGTGCGCCGTCCTGCTTCCCAGCTTCTTCTCGAGCGTCTTCAGCTTCTCTGCAGCACACCTTTGCGCACAGGCTCAAACAAGACTCCTCACTCTAGCACAGCATGAAGACTGACCAAACACGCCACTGGGTACCGAGCCTTGTTCTGCGCTTCTTGCTGGAGGGATGCAGTGGTGGCTTGCCTTTCCTGCGGAGCCCAAGCCAACTTGACTGTCGCAGACGCCGACTCTATAGAGGCAGCAGAAACATCCGGACCGCCATACACGTCGCAAGCATCTACAAACCATACTCCACTCCATCATGGCCCTCACTGCAAAGCTTCGTGACTTCGAAGTGGATGTCATACTGCCGACGTTCAGAAGCGTTGTCGCTAGCGTCGCTGCTGTCTCTGTTGCTGCGGCGATTGCTGCTGCTGCTGCTGCTGCTGCTGCTTTTGATGTTGCTGCTGGTACTGCTGCTATGGTTATTGTTCTAGTTCTCGCTATTATCTTCTGCTGTTGTTGCTGCAGCCAGAGTGCTAAAGTAAGGGGTTGCGTGAGGACGCTGTCGCCAGCCTGCTCCATCTGTACAGTCATTTATGGATTGACTCGTTTCCTATTTCAGCAGGGGGCATCCTCCCAGTGCAATCGGATGCCCGACGAAGAGGGTTGCACTTGGGACAGAGATCAATCCCACGCGGCATTGACGTACCTGCTTGAAGAGTTCGTGCCTTTGCTGTTTAAGCTGCTGTACATCACCATTGCTGGCAATACATTTAGTGTGTACTCGTGTGAGGGCTCATGCTGGACAGACTGCAGCATTCGAGTACAACTTTCAGAGCGCAGCTTCGGATTGCACCCAACCTGTTGTGGGCGCAGCAGCTTAAATGCTCATCTGCTCCGGCCTCAGAACTCCTTTGATCTTCGTTCTGAGGACGTATCACTTCCGAGAGCAGTGCTTCCATACCAGCCGATCAGAGTGATCAGATCAACCCCAACTGTCGCAGATTGCTCTCGACAGGCGGAGCCAGCCTCGGCATCCCAATCCTGCGTCTCGTCTTCGCAAGCCCTGAGTTGCAAAGCCAGTGAGTACAGGACATTGACAATACGGACACTAAGTCACTTTGTCAACACTGTCTGCTTTGTAGCAGAGCTGCGCGTTGCCGCCAACACACCCCTCGAAGGTTGCATGCATGCGATCCTTCGACTTGCGCCTGGCATCTGGGCAGGCTGTGCAGCCACAGATTGCTGAGGAGACTTTGCCCCCAAGCCCAACCCGCTAAGCCGAGCCAGTCACGACTCCAACTCCATTTCGGCTTGCTCGCGTCGAGAGCGCTCTGCTGCTACCTGTCCCTTGAGTGCTTCCGCCCTGGCGGCAGGATACCACAGTGATGCAAGACCGATGACATCTGGCGATTGCAGCAGGGTGGCTCTTCTTGCCAGCACTTCCAAAGATGTGCGGTGTGAAGATTCGTGGTCTCACGCCTTGGTTCTGTACCAAATTGCACCGCAACCCTGGAGCCCAAACCCGGGCAACGAGGCTTCAAGATCACAGTGATCAGCCAAGCAACACCTGCTCCGCTGCCCAAAGGCACTGCGACATGAAGATCATCCATTGCCCAGCTTCGCCACTCAAAGCTTGGATGCGGCTCTCTGCCTCTTGACGCCTGGGGATCATTCTCCGAAGCGCTTCGGTGCACACCATTCCCAATGGAGATCTGCTCTCAGAGGCGCGCACCGTGCTGTCTCACAGGCCAGAGCACTGTAGGCCTGCTGCAATGTGCCCTTTAGGCATTGGTTCCTGGCACAACAGCAGTTGGACTTTCCGTAAAGTGCACAGGATGTTCTTTCCTTACTGCATGCAGTTCAGCCACTCCAGGCTCATCAAACGCAGAATCCTAAGCTCCATCTCCATGTCTCACCATGCTCTTGACGAGATGGTCACTGTGTGTCGGCGCTGCGGTCTGCACCCAACTTCAATTGACACGGTGCGGCGGTTCGGAAAGGATGTAGTGCTGTTACAGCTTATCACGCCCCATCAGTTTTCAAACACGCAAATGTGGCCGACAGGACCCGAGTACCGCCATCTGCAGGACAACTGAGAACTCAAAGCCTAAGTGCACGGCCCCTGGAGCGTCTCAAGACTGGCGCTCGGTGATGCCTGCCACCAAGTGTGCAATCTTCGGACATACCTCATAGGAGACCCTCCTGTGCATGTGGCCTCCCGTGAAGCCGAGGATCCTGAAGCAGTCGTGCTTGCGTTGCTGTCATTCCCACGGCTGCGTCTGGGCCTCGCGAATGCGTGTACACCCAATGCTCGAAAGAAGCATGGACTAAAGAAGGACTCATTACTTGTTGTAATCTTTTGGAGTAAAGGCGCTCTTGTTTGGAGCCATGGCCAGGGTGAGGGCCAGCTACTGTCGTGTGGCGAATCTGCCCATGGCACAGCATGGGCATTGTGTGCACACAATTGTGAAGTATACTGCTACTGGGTGACACTGCTCCATCACCATGCCCACGTTTATCAGGGGCATGAGCATGAAGTTCTCGAATGGTTTCCGTGCATTGTTTCAAGGGATTGCTTATGCTCGCGTTTCGAATCCCACCGCTGCGGTGTCAGTACAAGCATGCACACTTGACTGCACAGAACATCAAAAGCTGACCAAGCACAGCGTAGAAATCTTGATGGGTGAGGGAAAGTTTGCATATGCCAGATGCAGAGCCTTTTCTCAGCGCACTCTTCCAGCACGCGATGCGTCTTCCGTCTTCCGGCAGACTGAGAAGGCTCCTGAGATTCAAAAAAGGTGTCTTGTGGAAGCCAGACTCTCATTATTTTGTGATTGGAATCCTTCGCAAGCAAGAAGCCAGGGAACTGACGGGGATGCACATCAAACAGTGCAGCTCCAGTGCACCAGGTGAGTAGCTGGGTAATGTGTGCGTGATACTTTGTGCGGGAACAAAAAGGCCACGGCGTCGCAGTATCTGTATACTTATAAAATTTTGTCGAGCCCCTTAACCCCCAGCGCCCACCCGCCTTCGACGAATGACTCATTCCAGCCATAGGATAGGATCCATTTGGGGCAGGCCATAGGCTTCCAGTGTTTAGATAGGATTTAGATATTTAATTCGAGGTGCGATTGCTTTAGGGGTTTCGCTGCTGCTGAGTCTGTCTGTTTGATGGCCGAAATCTCAGCGTGCCCGCGGCACAGCATCAAACCCTGATCATCCCATCCTTTCTTGTCTCCCGTCCATCGCTTTCGATCGCCTGATGCTTCGGGCTGCCGCATCCCGCTGGACTCTTCCACTCTCTATTAATGCATTCAGTCAGCAAGCTTAAGTCACATCTGATGCCCGTGGCTGCCACGTTGCTCTAGCCCACACTCGTGGTAGCAAGACATTCTTTGCGTGGTGTCGCTGCTGCGAAAAAAACTCCGATCACGATTGCTGCAAAAGGTAGACGAGTTTCCAGTCGACACGGTGAGAAGTGATCACTATTGCTCCCGCTCTGCCCGTTGATGCTGCTACTGGTACTGCTATTGCCAAAGCCCCTCAATGCGACTTCACCTTGCCCTGAAGCTGCAAACTGAACGGGAATCGACATCGAAGCCATTGTCAACTGTCTCCCCGACGACGACGCCGACGACGACTGCCGCTGTTGCCGTTTAGCTCTTACATCTCTTGTATTTGTGTGCAATTTCAACCCCGCCCCCCCCCCCCCCCCCCCCCCAGCACTCCGAGAAGGGCGCAGAGGGCCCAGAAAGATAGTGCAAACACCTAGTGTGCGGCCCGAAAGTGACATTGTGGGCCCGAAAGAACCTGCAAGCATCAGAGCAGACACCACCGCCACCTCCAGGGCCCGAAGGAGCTCGGAGCCCGCAGGAGCTCGGCCTGCGCCAGGACCCGACCTGCCGGGCAGAAGGCAAGCTTTTGGCTTCAATCTGACAGAGTCGGGGGAGGTTTCCATCTTCGATGTTACTGAGGGGTCCGGGACAAATTTGAGTGCATTGCGCCGGGCTTTTGCGCACTTGAAAGCCGTCGGCGCTCACTTAGCTTTGGACTTGCTTGCCAGCACGTCCCTCCAGGAGAACATAACACGCGTCCCATCCTCGGATTTCATATATGTGGCGTCCACATCGTCCGGGATGTCCGCGTTCTGAATCTTCTCGTTGATGACATCCTCGTCCATGAGGATCTTTGGGGCGATGACCGCCTTCTTGGGGTACCGGGCCAGGGCGGACCTCTGCAAAATGTACAGCTTCCACCCCTCTGTAGTCAAGAGCTGCTCTCGGCCGTTCGCGAGCTTTGCTCGGAAGACCTCGATGGGCTGCTCGTGGCCGATGTACACCATCTTGCCGTCGTCCAGCACTTTGGCGGACTGCCAGACACGGCTGAGGGGCTGCTTGGCAGCCCTGCCGTCGGGCTGATGGTCCGGGATGCTCGTACATGCATAGCCCACGTCGAAGGGGTCGACGCGCCCAGTACCGCACATTTGGGAGTGGATGTCACTCTCTTTTGGGCACGCCGCCCAAGTCTCTCTCGGAGCCGGGGCCACGGTTGCAGTCTCGGAGGGCTCCGAGGGCTCTGGCCCGACTCGGCGCTGTGGGATCGTAGCAGACCGCAAAGCCCGGGCGAAGAGCCGACCTGCAACAATGCCCAATTGCGATCACAGTACACACTAGCCACGACGCAACGTCAACGCCGGCTACTGCACTGCGCTCCTGCGGCTTTGCTTTGCAGCTGCTGGTCCAAACCTTGCACAACACGCATGGCTCACAGCAACGCTGGGTACGACACCTGCGACACGGCGAATCACCAAAAGCCTCGCAGCCCCGACACGCTAACTACATGCCGTGGATGTTCCTAAGACTACTGGGCACCTCGCCTTCGTCTTGCTTCTGCGGCAGCTTCGTTTTGAAGCCTCGCGTAACGCGACTCACACACTAAGGAACCCTCTAGGACATGAAGGGCCTTCGTCCTCAGACCACTGGCGCCAACTTTCACTCCAGCCTGCGCAGGACAAAGTGGGGTGCACCCTGAAATCACGCAGCCACTCTCAGTCCGCATAAGCGGCCTTCTTCTTGAACGCCGCCTGTCGTCCAAGATTCTTCATGCCACATGCTTTGGCTTGGACCATTTAGTTTCGGTCTTCTTCGCAAAAGGAGATCTGTCATCTTCTCAGGTCGAACTCATTGCTTTCGAAACGTTCGACATGTTGCAAGACCCCAGAGTATGCGGCCTCCAAGGCCGTGTGGTCACAAGCAAAACCCACAACACAGAACAGACAGTGAACACTCAAGTGAAACTCACACACGCGGACACTCAAAAACAAAACAAAAGACTTCCCATCAGATCGTGTAGTTGATTGGTGCTACGTCACGTTATACTGCATGTTTGTCCACTGTAGTATGATAGTATTTGAAACACGAACTTACAGCAGGTCAATATTGTATCAGCCAAGAAGCCTAACGCCCGGAAGTCCAGAAGCCAGAGCCCGGAAGCCCAGGAGCCAAAAGCCAAGAAGCCAAAGACCAAGAAGTCCAAAGATAAAGAATAATTCGAAGCAATGTTCGTAACCAACAATCAACAGACCTTAGGAAAGGTAGACTTCTCTAATTTGCTTCTGAGCCAGCCTGAATCACGCCTGCTGTCATTGCTCCACCATCCCCAACCTGCTTGCACACGGCACGCCACTGCGAATCATCACAGGCAGAGGCGACGCAGCCTTCGCACCAACTGGACTACCTGCCGTGAAGTTTCCCATGAGCGCCTGGCCTTCATCCCCTTCGCCAGGGAGCTGCGCAGCCGCACTACCTCATGCAACACGGCTCAGTTCACAGGGCGACGCGCTTTCGCAGGACATGCTCCGCCTTTATCCTGCGGCCAGCTGCGCCAAGGATGACTCCAGCCTGCGCAGAATAAATTGGGATGCCTGAAATCAGAATCACTCGCTCTCAGTCCGCACAAGCTGTCGTCAAGGATTGCTCATGCTGCATGCTTTGGCTTGGACCATTTAGTTTCGGTCTTCTTCGCAAAAGAGATCTGTCATCTTCTCAGGTCGAACTCATTGCTCTCGAAACGTTCGACATATTGCAAGACCCCAGAGTATGCGGCCTCCAAGGCCGTGTGGTCACAAGCAAAACCCACAACACAGAACAGACAGTGAACACTCAAGTGAAACTCACACACGCGGACACTCAAACACAAAACAAAAGACTTCCCATCAGATCGTGTAGTTGATTGGTGCTACGTCACGTTATACTGCATGTTTGTCCACTGTAGTACTATAGTATTTGAAACACGAACTTACAGCAGGTCAATATTGTATCAGCCAAGAAGCCTAACGCCCGGAAGTCCAGAAGCCAGAGCCCGGAAGCCCAGGAGCCAAAAGCCAAGAAGCCAAAGACCAAGAAGTCCAAAGATAAAGAATAATTCGAAGCAATGTTCGTAACCAACAATCAACAGACCTTAGGAAAGGTAGACTTCTCTAATTTGCTTCTGAGCCAGCCTGAATCACGCCTGCTGTCATTGCTCCACCATCCCCAACCTGCTTGCACACGGCACGCCACTGCGAATCATCACAGGCAGAGGCGACGCCTTCGCAAAAACTGCACTACCTGCCGCGCACTTTCTCATGAGTGCCTGGCCTTCATCCCCGTCACCATCGAGCTGCGTAGCACCACTACCTCATGCAACACGGCACGGTTGACAGGGCGACTCGCTTTCGCAGGACATGCTCCGCCTTTATCCTGCGGCCAGCTGCGCCAAGAATGACTCCAGCCTGTGCAGACGAAATGAAGAGGCATGCGCTTTGAAACCGTTCAGACGCAGTCTATCTACGCACAAGGCCTTCGTCTTGAAGGCCGCCTGTCGCCAAGGAGTGCTCCATATTGCTCGCTGAAGTGCTTTTCTATGCTACCTGCTCTCAATCGAGCCAGCCTGAATCATGTCTCGTGCGACAACTCCAGCCTGCTGCACAGGACGACGACACGGCCTCTGCACCAACCTGGCCTGAAGTTTCCGGTAAGTCTGATGCGGACCGGGCCTTCCTTCACCTCGTGCTCGGTGCCTCGCGCAGCGCCGCAGCACATCTCATATCGGCAGGCGACTGTTTGCAGAGGGCACCGGGCCTTTGGCATCACGAGGCCAACGACCATGATGTTGCTGCTTCCAGCCGTCATTCCAGCCTGCTGCACAGGCTATTGCGTGGGGCAAGGCTAGGCGCATCGAATCGTCATGAGGCGGCACGGCCTCCACGCCAACCCTGCCGATGATTTGGCATTGCTAGACTATGAGCTGGAACTTCCGGCTACAATTTGAGCCTGGCGGCATTCCGGCACCTTGAGATGCGAAGAGATCACGCATCGGCAGAGCTCGAACGTGCTATTGTCATTGGGAGAGAAAGAGAGAGAGAGAGAGAGAGAGAGAGAGACAGTATTTGTGTGTGTGGCCGTGTAAATAACAATACGCAAGTCCATCGCAAACCAAATCTGCGTCACGACAAGCCGAGCGCGGCAGAACTTCAAACAACTCACGAGAGCAGCCAGCCTTCGATCTTCGAAGGATACGGTGGAACGCCAAAGTAGTGCGACTTCCCACCTTCTCAGACAGAAGCAAGGTGCTGAGGTTGAGGTGCCGAAAGGATGGGCTGTGCAATGCAAGATTCAGCAGGTACCATGTGCTGAAGACTTGTCTTCCTGTTTGGATTTCTCAGCCCCTGTACCAAACACCCAACCGGCCCCGACGGGCTTTTCGTTCGTCGAATCTGTTCTCGAATCTTGCAGGTCCAGCATGGTCCAGCTGCCGGCAGGGGCTGGCCGCGTGCGTTTGCCAGGTTGCCACCGGTGTCCCAGCCATCACATAATGGCCCGTGGACTGACTGCCAAAATGCATGCAGACCAAGAGTCGTGATGCCTAGTGTCTTGCGTGGCTCGTGCTTCTGTTTCGCCGCTGCCACATGCTCTCACTGGTCATGTCTGCACACCGCGGCTGACTTCGCAAGAGTGTCTTTCCTGAAGCCGAGGATGATACTGAACCACAGGCTAGGTGAACAGCGCGGCACTTTTCATCGTTCCCCGCTGACCCTGCTGAAACAAAAGGGCGGCGTTGCCAGGGCATCGCGCGGAACATTGCCACGAGATGCCACCATGCTTGGCTGTTGGTGCTCCGGAGAGATGCAGGCAGTGGCCGGAAGTTACTGCCCTCATAATTTCGCACCCCAGCACACCATTGGCCGATCCTTCAAGGTGCAGTCATGTTCTGGCACGAGATTCGCCACGGCTGTCGTTCAAGTTCTTCAGCTCCACCTTTGTGGTGCAGTGCATGAATCCGGTGTCACAGAGATCCGCTGTGCTCGAGCCTTGCTCAAGGGCTCGACATCTTTAGCAAAGCCGACGGCGAAACAACGTCAATGTCGGCCAGGTTCGGCTGCCTCTTGACCACAGCACATGCATCGAAAGTGATTCGGAGGTGGCCCACGATGCGTTGCTGGGACATTTACAGCTCGGCATGCGTGGACTTCACCACGGCTTCTTCCTGATGTCAAGATGCGGTTTGCTGTGCAACCCCTGACGGAAATCTGTATATACAGAGAACTTGACGACACGGAATTGCTCAAGCAGGCATGCTGCGATGGTGGCATTCCAAGACGGCCTATTATGTCGTTTCCGGGTTCCTGACGTGCGCAAAGCTCGCGAGCGGTCGCGAGCAGCTGCTTACCACGGAAGGGTGGAAGCTAAGACTGCAGGTCCCGTCCTCGGATTTCATGAAATCCGATAAGATCAAGAACGCCGACATCCCGGACGACGTGGATGCCACATATATGAATTCATATATGTGGCATCCACGTCGTCCGGGATGTCCGCGTTCTGAATTTTCTCGTTGATGTCGTCCTCGTCCATGAGGATCTTCGGCGCGATGACCGCCTTCTTTGGGTACCGCGCAAGGGCGGAGCGCTGCAAAATGTACAGCTTCCACCCTTCCGTGGTCAGCAGCTGCTCGCGGCCGTTCGCGAGCTTTGCTCGGAAGACCTCGATGGGCTGCTCGTGCCCGCGCAACCCTGCCGATGATTTGGCACTGCTAGACTAGAGCTGGAACTTCGGGCTACAGTTTGAGCCTGGCGGCATTCCGGCACCTTGAGATGCGCAGAGATCACGCATCGGCAAAGCTCGAACGTATTATTGTCAGCATGCAATAGCATGCAAACTCGCGCATGCAGCGCACATTCAGCATGATATGTAGCATCTCAGCTCTGCGTAACAGCTTTCAGCAACTTGTTGCAGACCTTGAAACCCTATTGTACTCTCCTTACACAGTCTCTACGCTTCGCGGCTGAAACCCCCCGGGCCAAGGAACCCAACACATGTAAACACTACCTGTGTCTTAAAGGGAACTGGCGTGTGAGGACTGCTGGCCTGAAGCGATAGAAAGATGCTCCACGCCTGACCTAGGGCAAGCTGCTGCATTTCGCATCCGCAGAGTAACGACTTAGAATGCCAGCCAAGGCTCGTGCCCAGCTGCCGGAAGCCCTGCAAACCCACAGACACCACCCTACTGCACTGCTAACTGACAGCCCCAGCCTGCTGTACTCTTCCGCTCTCTAGTGACTCTAGTGCATTCAGTCACCAAGCCTAAGTCACTTCTGATGCCCGCGGCTGCCACGTTGCTCTAGCCCACGCTCGTGATAGCAAGCCATTCTTTGCGTGGTGTCGCTGCTGCTAAAACTACTCCGATCACGATTGCTGCAATCAGTAGACGAGGCTTGTTTCCAGTCGATACGGCGAGAAGTGATCACTATTGCTGCCGCTCTGCCCGTTGATGCTGCTACTGCCATTGCCAAAGCCCCTCAATGCGACTTCACCGCAACCTGAAGCTGCAAACTGAACGGGAATCGACATCGAAGCCATTGTCAACTGTCTCCTCGACGACGACGCCGACGACTACTGCCGCTGTCGCCGTTTAGCTCTTACAAATACTGTTGCTGTTGACAGTTCCACTTCTCTTGTATTTCTGTGCAATTTCAATTTCAACCGTGCCCCCCCCCCTCCAGCACTCCGACAAGGGCCCCGAGGGCCCAGAGAGATGCTGCAGATACCTCTAATGTGAAGCCCTAGAGGCCTGAAAGAACCTACAAGTATCAGAGCAGACACCACCGCCACCTCCAGGGCCCGGAGAAGCTCGGAGCCCGCAGGAGCTCGGCCTGCGCCAGGACCCGACCTGCCGAGCAGAAGGCAAGCTTTTGGCTTCAATCTGACAGAGTCGGGGGAGGTTTCCATCTTCGATGTTACTGAGGGGTCCGGGACAAATTTGAGTGCATTGCGCCGGGCTTTTGCGCACTTGAAAGCCGTCGGCGCTCACTTAGCTTTGGACTTGCTTGCCAGCACGTCCCTCCAGGAGAAAAGACTGCAGGTCCCGTCCTCGGACGTCATACACGTGGCGTCCACATCGTCCGGGATGTCCGCGTTCTGAATCTTCTCGTTGATGACATCCTCGTCCATGAGGATCTTTGGGGCGATGACCGCCTTCTTGGGGTACCGGGCCAGGGCGGACCTCTGCAAAATGTACAGCTTCCACCCCTCTGTAGTCAAGAGCTGCTCTCGGCCGTTCGCGAGCTTTGCTCGGAAGACCTCGATGGGCTGCTCGTGGCCGATGTACACCATCTTGCCGTCGTCCAGCACTTTGGCGGACTGCCAGACACGGCTGAGGGGCTGCTTGGCAGCCCTGCCGTCGGGCTGATGGTCCGGGATGCTCGTACATGCATAGCCCACGTCGAAGGGGTCGACGCGCCCAGTACCGCACATTTGGGAGTGGATGTCACTCTCTTTTGGGCACGCCGCCCAAGTCTCTCTCGGAGCCGGGGCCACGGTTGCAGTCTCGGAGGGCTCCGAGGGCTCTGGCCCGACTCGGCGCTGTGGGATCGTAGCAGACCGCAAAGCCCGGGCGAAGAGCCGACCTGCAACAATGCCCAATTGCGATCACAGTACACACTAGCCACGACGCAACGTCAACGCCGGCTACTGCACTGCGCTCCTGCGGCTTTGCTTTGCAGCTGCTGGTCCAAACCTTGCACAACACGCATGGCTCACAGCAACGCTGGGTACGACACCTGCGACACGGCGAATCACCAAAAGCCTCGCAAAGACTACTGGGCACCTCGCCTTCGTCTTGCTTCTGCGGCAGCTTCGTTTTGAAGCCTCGCGTAACGCGACTCACACACTAAGGAACCCTCTAGGACATGAAGGGCCTTCGTCCTCAGACCACTGGCGCCAACTTTCACTCCAGCCTGCGCAGGACAAAGTGGGATGCACCCTGAAATCACGCAGCCACTCTCAGTCCGCATAAGCGGCCTTCTTCTTGAACGCCGCCTGTCGTCCAAGATTCTTCATGCCACATGCTTTGGCTTGGACCATTTAGTTTCGGTCTTCTTCGCAAAAGGAGATCTGTCATCTTCTCAGGTCGAACTCATTGCTTTCGAAACGTTCGACATGTTGCAAGACCCCAGAGTATGCGGCCTCCAAGGCCGTGTGGTCACAAGCAAAACCCACAACACAGAACAGACAGTGAACACTCAAGTGAAACTCACACACGCGGAGACTCAAAAACAAAACAAAAGACTTCCCATCAGATCGTGTAGCTGATTGGTGCTACGTCACGTTATACTGCATCTTTGTCCACTGGAGAATGATGTTTGAAGCAGGAACTTACAGCATGTCTATATTCTACCAGCCAGGAAGCCAAAGGCCAGGAAGTCCAGAAGCCAGAGCCCGGAAGCCCAGGAGCCAAAAGCTAGGAAGCCAAAGACCAAGAAGTCCAAAGATAAAGAAGAACTCGAAGAATTGTTCGTAACCAACAATCAACAAACCTTAGGAAAGGTAGACTTCTCTCATTTGCTTCTGAGCCAGCCTGAGTCACGCCTGCTGTCATTGCTCCACCATCCCCAACCTGCTTGCACACGGCACGCCACTGCGAATCATCACAGGCAGAGGCGACGCAGCCTTCGCACCAACTGGACTACCTGCCGTGAAGTTTCCCATGAGCGCCTGGCCTTCATCCCCTTCGCCAGGGAGCTGCGCAGCCGCACTACCTCATGCAACACGGCTCAGTTCACAGGGCGACGCGCTTTCGCAGGACATGCTCCGCCTTTATCCTGCGGCCAGCTGCGCCAAGGATGACTCCAGCCTGCGCAGAATAAATTGGGATGCCTGAAATCAGAATCTCTCTCTCTCAGTCCGCACAAGCTGTCGTCAAGGATTGCTCATGCTGCATGCTTTGGCTTGGACCATTTAGTTTCGGTCTTCTTCGCAAAAGAGATCTGTCATCTTCTCAGGTCGAACTCATTGCTCTCGAAACGTTCGACATGTTGCAAGACCCCAGAGTATGCGGCCTCCAAGGCCGTGTGGTCACAAGCAAAACCCACAACACAGAACAGACAGTGAACACTCAAGTGAAACTCACACACGCGGACACTCAAACACAAAACAAAAGACTTCCCATCAGATCGTGTAGCTGATTGGTGCTACGTCACGTTATACTGCATCTTTGTCCACTGGAGAATGATGTTTGAAGCAGGAACTTACAGCATGTCTATTTTCTACCAGCCAGGAAGCCAAAGGCCAGGAAGTCCAGAAGCCAGAGCCCGGAAGCCCAGGAGCCAAAAGCTAGGAAGCCAAAGACCAAGAAGTCCAAAGATAAAGAAGAACTCGAAGAAATGTTCGTGACCAACAATCAACAAACCTTAGGAAAGGTAGACTTCTCTAATTTGCTTCTGAGCCAGCCTGAGTCACGCCTGCTGTCATTGCTCCACCATCCCCAACCTGCTTGCACACGGCACGCCACTGCGAATCATCACAGGCAGAGGCGACGCCTTCGCAAAAACTGCACTACCTGCCGCGCAGTTTCTCATGAGTGCCTGGCCTTCATCCCCGTCACCATCGAGCTGCGTAGCACCACTACCTCATGCAACACGGCTCGGTTGACAGGGCGACTCGCTTTCGCAGGACATGCTCCGCCTTTATCCTGCGGCCAGCTGCGCCAAGAATGACTCCAGCCTGTGCAGACGAAATGAAGAGGCATGCGCTTTGAAACCGTTCAGACGCAGTCTATCTACGCACAAGGCCTTCGTCTTGAAGGCCGCCTGTCGCCAAGGAGTGCTCCATATTGCTCGCTGAAGTGCTTTTCTATGCTACCTGCTCTCAATCGAGCCAGCCTGAATCATGTCTCGTGCGACAACTCCAGCCTGCTGCACAGGACGACGACACGGCCTCTGCACCAACCTGGCCTGAAGTTTCCGGTAAGTCTGATGCGGACCGGGCCTTCCTTCACCTCGTGCTCGGTGCCTCGCGCAGCGCCGCAGCACATCTCATATCGGCGGGCGACTGTTCGCAGAGGGCACCAGGCCTTTGGCATCACGAGGCCAACGACCATGATGTTGCTGCTTCCAGCCGTCATGCCAGCCTGCTGCACAGGCTATTGCGTGGGGCAAGGCTAGGCGCATCGAATCGTCATCAGGCGGCACGGCCTCCACGCCAACCCTGCCGATGATTTGGCATTGCTACACTATGAGCTGGAACTTCCGGCTACAATTTGAGCCTGGCGGCATTCCGGCACCTTGAGATGCGAAGAGATCACGCATCGGCAGAGCTCGAACGTGCTATTGTCAGTGGGAGAGAAAGAGAAAGAGAAAGAGAAAGAGAGAGAGACAGTATTTGTGTGTGTGGCCGTGTAAATAACAATACGCAAGTCAACTTCAAACAACTCACGAGAGCAGCCAGCCTTCGATCTTCGAAGGATACGGTGGAGCGCCAAAGTAGTGCGACTTCCCACCTTCTCAGACAGAAGCAAGGTGCTGAGGTTGAGGTGCCGAAAGGATGGGCTGTGCAATGCAAGATTCAGCAGGTACCATGTGCTGAAGACTTGTCTTCCTGTTTGGATTTCTCAGCCCCTGTACCAAACACCCAACCGGCCCCGACGGGCTTTTCGTTCGTCGAATCTGTTCTCGAATCTTGCAGGTCCAGCATGGTCCAGCTGCCGGCAGGGGCTGGCCGCGTGCGTTTGCCAGGTTGCCACCGGTGTCCCAGCCATCACACAATGGCCCGTGGACTGACTGCCAAAATGCATGCAGACCAAGAGTCGTGATGCCCAGTGTCTTGCGTGGCTCGTGCTTCTGTTTCGCCGCTGCCACACGCTCTCACTGGTCATGTCTGCACACCGCGGCTGACTTCGCAAGAGTGTCTTTCCTGAAGCCGAGGATGATACTGAACCACAGGCTAGGTGAACAGCGCGGCACTTTTCATCGTTCCCCGCTGACCCTGCTGAAACAAAAGGGCGGCGTTGCCAGGGCATCGCGCGGAACATTGCCACGAGATGCCACCATGCTTGGCTGTTGGTGCTCCGGAGAGATGCAGGCAGTGGCCGGAAGTTACTGCCCTCATGATTTCGCACCCCAGCACACCATTGGCCGATCCTTCAAGGTGCAGTCATGTTCTGGCACGAGATTCGCCACGGCTGTCGTTCAAGTTCTTCAGCTCCACCTTTGTGGTGCAGTGCATGAATCCGGTGTCACAAAGATCCGCTGTGCTCGAGCCTTGCTCCAGGGCTCGACATCTTTAGCAAAGCCGACGGCGAAACAACGTCAATGTCGGCCAGGTTCGGCTGCCTCTTGACCACAGCACATGTATCGAATGTGATTCGGAGGTGGCCCACGATGCGTTGCTGGGACATTTACAGCTCGGCATGCGTGGACTTCACCATAGCTTCTTCCTGATGTCAAGATGCGGTTTGCTGTGCAACCCCTGACGGAAATCTGTATATCCAGAGAACTTGACGACACGGAATTGCTCAAGCAGGCATGCTGCGATGGTGGCATTCCAAGACGGCCTATTATGCCCTTCCGTGGTCAGCAGCTGCTCGCGGCCGTTCGCGAGCTTTGCTCGGAAGACCTCGATGGGCTGCTCGTGTCCGCGCCAACCCTGCCGATGATTTGGCACTGCTAGACTAGAGCTGGAACTTCGGGCTACAGTTTGAGCCTGGCGGCATTCCGGCACCTTGAGATGCGCAGAGATCACGCATCGGCAAAGCTCGAACGTATTATTGTCAGCATGCAATAGCATGCAAACTCGCGCATGCAGCGCACATTCAGCATGATATGTAGCATCTCAGCTCTGCGTAACAGCTTTCAGCAACTTGTTGCAGACCTTGAAACCCTATTGTACTCTCCTTACACAGTCTCTACGCTTCGCGGCTGAAACCCCCCGGGCCAAGGAACCCAACACATGTAAACACTACCTGTGTCTTAAAGGGAACTGGCGTGTGAGGACTGCTGGCCTGAAGCGATAGAAAGATGCTCCACGCCTGACCTAGGGCAAGCTGCTGCATTTCGCATCCGCAGAGTAACGACTTAGAATGCCAGCCAAGGCTCGTGCCCAGCTGCCGGAAGCCCTGCAAACCCACAGACACCACCCTACTGCACTGCTAACTGACAGCCCCAGCCTGCTGTACTCTTCCGCTCTCTAGTGACTCTAGTGCATTCAGTCACCAAGCCTAAGTCACTTCTGATGCCCGCGGCTGCCACGTTGCTCTAGCCCACGCTCGTGATAGCAAGCCATTCTTTGCGTGGTGTCGCTGCTGCTAAAACTACTCCGATCACGATTGCTGCAATCAGTAGACGAGGCTTGTTTCCAGTCGATACGGCGAGAAGTGATCACTATTGCTGCCGCTCTGCCCGTTGATGCTGCTACTGCCATTAATTGCCAAAGCCCCTCAATGCGACTTCACCGCAACCTGAAGCTGCAAACTGAACGGGAATCGACATCGAAGCCATTGTCAACTGTCTCCTCGACGACGACGCCGACGACTACTGCCGCTGTCGCCGTTTAGCTCTTACAAATACTGTTGCTGTTGACAGTTCCACTTCTCTTGTATTTCTGTGCAATTTCAATTTCAACCGTGCCCCCCCCCCTCCAGCACTCCGACAAGGGCCCCGAGGGCCCAGAGAGATGCTGCAGATACCTCTAATGTGAAGCCCTAGAGGCCTGAAAGAACCTACAAGTATCAGAGCAGACACCACCGCCACCTCCAGGGCCCGGAGAAGCTCGGAGCCCGCAGGAGCTCGGCCTGCGCCAGGACCCGACCTGCCGAGCAGAAGGCAAGCTTTTGGCTTCAATCTGACAGAGTCGGGGGAGGTTTCCATCTTCGATGTTACTGAGGGGTCCGGGACAAATTTGAGTGCATTGCGCCGGGCTTTTGCGCACTTGAAAGCCGTCGGCGCTCACTTAGCTTTGGACTTGCTTGCCAGCACGTCCCTCCAGGAGAAAAGACTGCAGGTCCCGTCCTCGGACGTCATACACGTGGCGTCCACATCGTCCGGGATGTCCGCGTTCTGAACCTTCTCGTTGATGACATCCTCGTCCATGAGGATCTTCGGCGCGATGACCGCCTTCTTGGGGTACCGGGCCAGGGCGGACCGCTGCAAAATGTACAGCTTCCACCCCTCTGTAGTCAAGAGCTGCTCTCGGCCGTTCGCGAGCTTTGCTCGGAAGACCTCGATGGGCTGCTCGTGGCCGATGTACACCATCTTGCCGTCGTCCAGCACTTTGGCGGACTGCCAGACACGGCTCAGGGGCTGCTTGGCAGCCCTGCCGTCGGGCTGATGGTCCGGGATGCTCGTACATGCATAGCCCACGTCGAAGGGGTCGACGCGCCCAGTACCGCACATTTGGGAGTGGATGTCACTCTCTTTTGGGCACGCCGCCCAAGTCTCTCTCGGCGCCGGGGCGACGGTTGCAGTCTCGGAGGGCTCCGAGGGCTCTGGCTCCGCTCGGCGCTGCGGGATCGTAGCAGACCGCAAAGCCCGGGCGAAGAGCCGACCTGCAACAATGCCCAATTGCGATCACAGTACACACTAGCCACGACGCAACGTCAATGCCGGCTACTGCACTGCGCTCCTGCGGCTTTGCGTTGCAGCTGCTGGTCCAAACCTTGCACAACACGCATGGCTCACAGCAACGCTGGGTACGACACCTGCGACACGGCGAATCACCAAAAGCCTCGCAGCCCCGACACGCTAACTACATGCCGTGGATGTTCCTAAGACTACTGGGCACCTCGCCTTCGTCTTGCTTCTGCGGCAGCTTCGTTTTGAAGCCTCGCGTAACGCGACTCACACACTAAGGAACCCTCTAGGACATGAAGGGCCTTCGTCCTCAGACCACTGGCGCCAACTTTCACTCCAGCCTGCGCAGGACAAAGTGGGATGCACCCTGAAATCACGCAGCCACTCTCAGTCCGCATAAGCGGCCTTCTTCTTGAACGCCGCCTGTCGTCCAAGATTCTTCATGCCACATGCTTTGGCTTGGACCATTTAGTTTCGGTCTTCTTCGCAAAAGGAGATCTGTCATCTTCTCAGGTCGAACTCATTGCTTTCGAAACGTTCGACATGTTGCAGCCTCCAAGGCCGTGTGGTCACAAGCAAAACCCACAACACAGAACAGACAGTGAACACTCAAGTGAAACTCACACACGCGGACACTCAAAAACAAAACAAAAGACTTCCCATCAGATCGTGTAGCTGATTGGTGCTACGTCACGTTATACTGCATCTTTGTCCACTGGAGAATGATGTTTGAAGCAGGAACTTACAGCATGTCTATATTCTACCAGCCAGGAAGCCAAAGGCCAGGAAGTCCAGAAGCCAGAGCCCGGAAGCCCAGGAGCCAAAAGCTAGGAAGCCAAAGACCAAGAAGTCCAAAGATAAAGAAGAACTCGAAGAAATGTTCGTGACCAACAATCAACAAACCTTAGGAAAGGTAGACTTCTCTAATTTGCTTCTGAGCCAGCCTGAGTCACGCCTGCTGTCATTGCTCCACCATCCCCAACCTGCTTGCACACGGCACGCCACTGCGAATCATCACAGGCAGAGGCGACGCAGCCTTCGCACCAACTGGACTACCTGCCGTGAAGTTTCCCATGAGCGCCTGGCCTTCATCCCCTTCGCCAGGGAGCTGCGCAGCCGCACTACCTTATGCAACACGGCTCAGTTCACAGGGCGACGCGCTTTCGCAGGACATGCTCCGCCTTTATCCTGCGGCCAGCTGCGCCAAGGATGACTCCAGCCTGCGCAGAATAAATTGGGATGCCTGAAATCAGAATCACTCGCTCTCAGTCCGCACAAGCTGTCGTCAAGGATTGCTCATGCTGCATGCTTTGGCTTGGACCATTTAGTTTCGGTCTTCTTCGCAAAAGAGATCTGTCATCTTCTCAGGTCGAACTCATTGCTCTCGAAACGTTCGACATATTGCAAGACCCCAGAGTATGCGGCCTCCAAGGCCGTGTGGTCACAAGCAAAACCCACAACACAGAACAGACAGTGAACACTCAAGTGAAACTCACACACGCGGACACTCAAACACAAAACAAAAGACTTCCCATCAGATCGTGTAGTTGATTGGTGCTACGTCACGTTATACTGCATCTTTGTCCACTGGAGAATGATGTTTGAAGCAGGAACTTACAGCATGTCTATATTCTACCAGCCAGGAAGCCAAAGGCCAGGAAGTCCAGAAGCCAGAGCCCGGAAGCCCAGGAGCCAAAAGCTAGGAAGCCAAAGACCAAGAAGTCCAAAGATAAAGAAGAACTCGAAGAAATGTTCGTGACCAACAATCAACAAACCTTAGGAAAGGTAGACTTCTCTAATTTGCTTCTGAGCCAGCCTGAGTCACGCCTGCTGTCATTGCTCCACCATCCCCAACCTGCTTGCACACGGCACGCCACTGCGAATCATCACAGGCAGAGGCGACGCCTTCGCAAAAACTGCACTACCTGCCGCGCAGTTTCTCATGAGCGCCTGGCCTTCATCCCCGTCACCATCGAGCTGCGTAGCACCACTACCTCATGCAACACGGCTCGGTTGACAGGGCGACTCGCTTTCGCAGGACATGCTCCGCCTTTATCCTGCGGCCAGCTGCGCCAAGAATGACTCCAGCCTGTGCAGACGAAATGAAGAGGCATGCGCTTTGAAACCGTTCAGACGCAGTCTATCTACGCACAAGGCCTTCGTCTTGAAGGCCGCCTGTCGCCAAGGAGTGCTCCATATTGCTCGCTGAAGTGCTTTTCTATGCTACCTGCTCTCAATCGAGCCAGCCTGAATCATGTCTCGTGCGACAACTCCAGCCTGCTGCACAGGACGACGACACGGCCTCTGCACCAACCTGGCCTGAAGTTTCCGGTAAGTCTGATGCGGACCGGGCCTTCCTTCACCTCGTGCTCGGTGCCTCGCGCAGCGCCGCAGCACATCTCATATCGGCGGGCGACTGTTTGCAGAGGGCACCGGGCCTTTGGCATCACGAGGCCAACGACCATGATGTTGCTGCTTCCAGCCGTCATTCCAGCCTGCTGCACAGGCTATTGCGTGGGGCAAGGCTAGGCGCATCGAATCGTCATCAGGCGGCACGGCCTCCACGCCAACCCTGCCGATGATTTGGCATTGCTACACTATGAGCTGGAACTTCCGGCTACAATTTGAGCCTGGCGGCATTCCGGCACCTTGAGATGCGAAGAGATCACGCATCGGCAGAGCTCGAACGTGCTATTGTCAGTGGGAGAGAAAGAGAAAGAGAAAGAGAGAGAGAGGGAGAGACAGTATTTGTGTGTGTGGCCGTGTAAATAACAATACGCAAGTCAACTTCAAACAACTCACGAGAGCAGCCAGCCTTCGATCTTCGAAGGATACGGTGGAGCGCCAAAGTAGTGCGACTTCCCACCTTCTCAGACAGAAGCAAGGTGCTGAGGTTGAGGTGCCGAAAGGATGGGCTGTGCAATGCAAGATTCAGCAGGTACCATGTGCTGAAGACTTGTCTTCCTGTTTGGATTTCCCAGCCCCTGTACCAAACACCCAACCGGCCCCGACGGGCTTTTCGTTCGTCGAATCTGTTCTCGAATCTTGCAGGTCCAGCATGGTCCAGCTGCCGGCAGGGGCTGGCCGCGTGCGTTTGCCAGGTTGCCACCGGTGTCCCAGCCATCACACAATGGCCCGTGGACTGACTGCCAAAATGCATGCAGACCAAGAGTCGTGATGCCCAGTGTCTTGCGTGGCTCGTGCTTCTGTTTCGCCGCTGCCACACGCTCTCACTGGTCATGTCTGCACACCGCGGCTGACTTCGCAAGAGTGTCTTTCCTGAAGCCGAGGATGATACTGAACCACAGGCTAGGTGAACAGCGCGGCACTTTTCATCGTTCCCCGCTGACCCTGCTGAAACAAAAGGGCGGCGTTGCCAGGGCATCGCGCGGAACATTGCCACGAGATGCCACCATGCTTGGCTGTTGGTGCTCCGGAGAGATGCAGGCAGTGGCCGGAAGTTACTGCCCTCATGATTTCGCACCCCAGCACACCATTGGCCGATCCTTCAAGGTGCAGTCATGTTCTGGCACGAGATTCGCCACGGCTGTCGTTCAAGTTCTTCAGCTCCACCTTTGTGGTGCAGTGCATGAATCCGGTGTCACAGAGATCCGCTGTGCTCGAGCCTTGCTCCAGGGCTCGACATCTTTAGCAAAGCCGACGGCGAAACAACGTCAATGTCGGCCAGGTTCGGCTGCCTCTTGACCACAGCACATGTATCGAATGTGATTCGGAGGTGGCCCACGATGCGTTGCTGGGACATTTACAGCTCGGCATGCGTGGACTTCACCACAGCTTCTTCCTGATGTCAAGATGCGGCTTGCTGTGCAACCCCTGACGGAAATCTGTATATCCAGAGAACTTGACGACACGGAATTGCTCAAGCAGGCATGCTGCGATGGTGGCATTCCAAGACGGCCTATTATGTCGTTTCCGGGTTCCTGAGGTGCGCAAAGCTCGCGAGCGGTCGCGAGCAGCTGCTTACCACGGAAGGGTGGAAGCTATACATACAGCTTCCACCCTTCCGTGGTCAGCAGCTGCTCGCGGCCGTTCGCGACCTTTGCTCGGAAGACCTCGATGGGCTGCTCGTGTCCGCGCCAACCCTGCCGATGATTTGGCACTGCTAGACTAGAGCTGGAACTTCGGGCTACAGTTTGAGCCTGGCGGCATTCCGGCACCTTGAGATGCGCAGAGATCACGCATCGGCAAAGCTCGAACGTATTATTGTCAGCATGCAATAGCATGCAAACTCGCGCATGCAGCGCACATTCAGCATGATATGTAGCATCTCAGCTCTGCGTAACAGCTTTCAGCAACTTGTTGCAGACCTTGAAACCCTATTGTACTCTCCTTACACAGTCTCTACGCTTCGCGGCTGAAACCCCCCGGGCCAAGGAACCCAACACATGTAAACACTACCTGTGTCTTAAAGGGAACTGGCGTGTGAGGACTGCTGGCCTGAAGCGATAGAAAGATGCTCCACGCCTGACCTAGGGCAAGCTGCTGCATTTCGCATCCGCAGAGTAACGACTTAGAATGCCAGCCAAGGCTCGTGCCCAGCTGCCGGAAGCCCTGCAAACCCACAGACACCACCCTACTGCACTGCTAACTGACAGCCCCAGCCTGCTGTACTCTTCCGCTCTCTAGTGACTCTAGTGCATTCAGTCACCAAGCCTAAGTCACTTCTGATGCCCGCGGCTGCCACGTTGCTCTAGCCCACGCTCGTGATAGCAAGCCATTCTTTGCGTGGTGTCGCTGCTGCTAAAACTACTCCGATCACGATTGCTGCAATCAGTAGACGAGGCTTGTTTCCAGTCGATACGGCGAGAAGTGATCACTATTGCTGCCGCTCTGCCCGTTGATGCTGCTACTGCCATTGCCAAAGCCCCTCAATGCGACTTCACCGCAACCTGAAGCTGCAAACTGAACGGGAATCGACATCGAAGCCATTGTCAACTGTCTCCTCGACGACGACGCCGACGACTACTGCCGCTGTCGCCGTTTAGCTCTTACAAATACTGTTGCTGTTGACAGTTCCACTTCTCTTGTATTTCTGTGCAATTTCAATTTCAACCGTGCCCCCCCCCCCTCCAGCACTCCGACAAGGGCCCCGAGGGCCCAGAGAGATGCTGCAGATACCTCTAATGTGAAGCCCTAGAGGCCTGAAAGAACCTACAAGTATCAGAGCAGACACCACCGCCACCTCCAGGGCCCGGAGAAGCTCGGAGCCCGCAGGAGCTCGGCCTGCGCCAGGACCCGACCTGCCGGGCAGAAGGCAAGCTTTTGGCTTCAATCTGACAGAGTCGGGGGAGGTTTCCATCTTCGATGTTACTGAGGGGTCCGGGACAAATTTGAGTGCATTGCGCCGGGCTTTTGCGCACTTGAAAGCCGTCGGCGCTCACTTAGCTTTGGACTTGCTTGCCAGCACGTCCCTCCAGGAGAAAAGACTGCAGGTCCCGTCCTCGGACGTCATACACGTGGCGTCCACATCGTCCGGGATGTCCGCGTTCTGAATTTTATCGTTGATGACATCCTCGTCCATGAGGATCTTCGGCGCGATCACCGCCTTCTTGGGGTACCGCGCAAGGGCGGACCGCTGCAAAATGTACAGCTTCCACCCCTCAGTTGTCAGTAGCTGCTCTCGGCCGTTCGCGAGCTTTGCTCGGAAGACCTCGATGGGCTGCTCGTGGCCGATGTACACCATCTTGCCATCGTCCAGCACTTTGGCGGACTGCCAGACACGGCTCAGGGGCTGCTTGGCAGCCCTGCCGTCGGGCTGATGGTCCGGGATGCTCGTACATGCATAGCCCACGTCGAAGGGGTCGACGCGCCCAGTACCGCACATTTGGGAGTGGATGTCACACTCTTTTGGGCACGCCGCCCAAGTCTCTCTCGGCGCCGGGGCGACGGTTGCAGTCTCGGAGGGCTCCGAGGGCTCTGGCTCCGCTCGGCGCTGCGGGATCGTAGCAGACCGCAAAGCCCGGGCGAAGAGCCGACCTGCAACAATGCCCAATTGCGATCACAGTACACACTAGCCACGACGCAACGTCAATGCCGGCTACTGCACTGCGCTCCTGCGGCTTTGCGTTGCAGCTGCTGGTCCAAACCTCGCACGTCATGCACGGCTCACAGCTACGCTGGGTACGACACCTACGACATGGCGAATCACCACAGGCGACGCAGCCTCCACACCAACACTTAATTTACCTACCGTGGATTTTCCTGGTGTGGGCACCTGGCCTGCACCATCATTTTGGGGCAGCTTCGTTTTGAAGCCTCGAGCAAAACACGGCTCAAGTCGCTGAGCGACTCTTTAGGAAAGTGGGTGCGGGGCCTTCAACACCTTCGTCCGGAGACCACTGACGCCAGGTTTGATTCCAGCCTGCGCAGAATAAACAGGGATGCAGCCGCCATCAGCCACCCGGTGGAGTCACTCAGCCACTCTCAGTCTGCGCACGCGGCCTTGTTCTTGAGCGCTGCCCGTTGCCAAGGATTGTTGCTTTGGCTATGGCAATTTAGCTTCCGTCCTCGTCACCAAAAGGACCTTTTGACTTCTCAGGTCGAACTTACTAGCCTTAATTATGCTTGATTTCGAAACGTTCGACATACTGCAAATCCTGGAATCCTATATTATGCGGTGTTATTGTGGTTATGAAGTTTAAGCCAGCAATAATTGCAATGAACATGTGGAACAGAATATAATACGAAAGGCCGAGAAGCCAAAGCCCGTAAACCGAGGAGCCAGAAGCTAAGAAGCCAAAGACCAACGGGTCCAAAGATAAAGAAGAATTCGAAGCAATATCTAATATCCGAAACCAGCAATCAACAAACCCTAGGAAAGGTAGACTTCTCTAATTTGCTTCTGAGCCAGCCTGAGTCACGCCAGCTGTCATTGCTCCACCAACTCCAACCTGCTTGCACACGGCACGCCACTGCGAATCATCACAGGCAGAGGCGACGCAGCCTTCGCACCAACTGGACTACCTGCCGTGAAGTTTCTCATGAGCGCCTGGCCTCCATCCCCTTCGCCTTGGAGCTGCGTCGCACCACTACCTCGTGCAACACGGCTCAGTTGACAGGGCGACTCGCTTTCGCAGGACATGCTCCGCCTTTGTCCTGAGGCCAGCTGCGCCAAGAATGATTCCAGCCTGCACAGAATAAATTGGGATGCACCCTGAAATCACTCAGCCACTCTCAGTCCGCATAAGCGGCCTTCTTATTGAACGCCGCCTGTCGTCCAAGATTCTTCATGCCACATGCTTTGGCTTGGACCATTTAGTTTCGGTCTTCTTCGCAAAGGAGATCTGTCATCTTCTCAGGTCGAACTCACTGCTTTCGAAACGTTCGACATATTGCAAGACCCTAGAGTATGTGGCCTCTAAGCCCGTGTGGTCACAAGCCAAAGAGTCAACATCCAAAAAAACACAACACAAAACAGACAGTGAACACGCAAGTGAAACTCACAGACGTGAACACTCAAAAACAAAAAGAAAAGACCTGCCACCAGATCGTGCTGTGCATCTCGGCCCACTGTAGTATGATATGGAACACGAACTTACAGCATGTCTGTATAATATCAGCCAAGAAGCCAAAGGCCGGGAAGTTCAGAAGCCAGAGCCCAGGAGCCAAAAGCTAGGAAGCCAAAGACCAAGAAGCCCAAAGATAAAAAAGAATTCGAAGCAATGATCGTAACCAACAATCAACAAACCCTAGGAAAGGTAAACGTCTCTAATTTGCTTCTCAGCCAGCCTGGGTCACGCCTGCTGTCATTCTACCTGCCGTGAAGTTTCTCATGAGCGCCTGGCCTCCATCCCCTTCGCCTTGGAGCTGCGTCGCACCACTACCTCGTGCAACACGGCTCATTTGACAGGGCGACTCGCTTTCGCAGGACATGCTCCGCCTTTGTCCCAAGCCCAGCTTCGCCAAGAATGATTCCAGCCTGCGAAGAAGAAATCAGGAGGCATGCGCTCTGAAACCGCTCGGCCGCAGTCAATCTACGCACACGGCCTTCGTCTTGAAGGCTGCCTGTCGCCAAGGATTGCTCCATGTGAAGTGCTTTTCCATGCTTTGCTTCGTGCGCGGATCATTCAAGCAGCTCTCCATCCATCGAGCCAGCCTGAATCACTTCTCGTGCGACAACTCCAACCTGCACATGCAGGGCATTCAGAGGCAACAGAGCATCAACTACCTGCCGTGAAGTTTCTGGTACTTCTGATGAGGACCGGGCCTTCCTCGTCTTGGTGCTTGACCTCGTGCTGGGTGCCTCGCACAGCGCCGCAGCACATCTCATATCGGCAGGCGACTTTTTGCACAGGACACGGGGCCTTTGGCATCACGAGACCAACGACCATGATGTTGCTGCTTCCAGCCGTCATTCCAGCCTGCTGCACAGGCTACTGTGTGGGGCAAGGCTAGGCGCATCGAATCACCATCAGGCGGCACGGCCTCCACGCCAACCCTGCCGATGATTTGGCATTGCTAGACTAGAGCTGGAACTTGCGGCTACAATTTGAGCCTGGCGGCATTCCGGCACCTTGAGATGCGAAGAGATCATGCATCGGCAGAGCTTGAACGCATTGTCAGTGGAGAGAGAGAGAGAGAGAGAGAGAGAGAGAGAGAGAGAGAGAGAGAGAGAGAGAGAGAGAGACGAGACGAGACGAGAGACGAGAGACGAGAGACAGTATTCCACATGTGTGTGTGGCCGTGTAAATGACAATACGCAAGTCTTCGCAATCCAAATCTGCGTCATGACAAGCCGAGCGCGGCAGAACTTCAAACAACTCACGAGAGCAGCCGGCCTTCGATCTTCGAAGGATACGGTGGAACGCCACAGTAGCCGCCGAGACTTCCCACCTTCTCAGACAGAACAAAGGTGCAGAGGTTGAGGTGCCCCAATTGAGGATGGGCTGCGCAATGTACGCTTCAGCAGGTACCATGTGCTGCAGACTTGCCTTCCTGTTTGGATTTCTCAGCGCCTGTACCAAACACCCAACCGGCCCCGACGGGCTTTTCGTTCGTCGAATCTGTTCTCGAATCTTGCAGGTCCAGCATGGTCCAGCTGCCGGCAGGGGCTGGCCGCGTGCGTTTGCCAGGTTGCCACCGGTGTCCCAGCCATCACAGAATGGCCCGTGGACTGACTGCACGCCGCTGCCACATGCTCTCACTGGTCATGTCTGCACACCGCGGCTGACTTCGCAAGAGTGTCTTTCCTGAAGCCGAGGATGATCTGGGCTCAGGCTCGCAAGCCTAGTACTGAACCGCAGGCTAGGTGAACACCGTGGCACTTTTCATCGTTCCCCGCTGACCCTGCTGAAACAAAAGGGCGGCGTTGCCAGGGCATCGCGCGGAACATTGCCACGAGATGCCACCATGCTTGGCTGTTGGTGCTCTCCGGAGATGCAGGCAGTGGCCGGAAGTTACTGCCCTCATGATTTCGCACCCCAGCACACCATTGGCCGATCCTTCAAGCTGCAGTCATGTTCTGGCACGAGATTCGCCACGGCTGTCGTTCAAGTTCTTCAGCTCCACCTTTGTGGTGCAGTGCATGAATCCCGTGTCACAGAGATCCGCTGTGCTCGAGCCTGTCTCCAGGGCTCGACATCTTTAGCAAAGCCGATGGCGAAACAACGTCAATGTCGGCCAGATTCGGCTGCCTCTTGACCACAGCACATGTATGGAAAGTGATTCGGAGGTGGCCCACGATGCGTTGCTGGGACATTTACAGCTCGGCATGCTTGGACTTCACCACGGCTTCTTCCTGATGTCAAGATGCGGTCTGCTGTGCAACCCCTGACGGAAATCTGTATATCCAGAGAACTTGAGGACACGGAATTGCTCAAGCAGGCATGCTGCGATGGTGGCATTCCAAGACGGCCTATTATGTCGTTTCCTGGTTTCTGAGGCGCCGCCTCCATGTCTGATTGGGTTGAAACATCCGGCAATCTAGCTTTGCTGCACATTTAGATCGTGATGTCGCAAGGCCCATCCCACGAGGCAACAGGAACACGTGGAAACGGCTCATGATTATTTGTCTCGCAGTCCGTTCCTGCGCGTTCCGCAACCCGTGCCCTGGGAACCCGGCTGGGAGAGTGCGCCATCAAATCTGTCAGCCGAGTGTCTGTGAAGTAGTACCGCCACATTGATCCAGCCCGTCGCAGGCGTGCTCGCGCATGGTGCAGGAAGGTCTGAGTGCAGCTTTTGGGTCGAATTTGCCAACACCATTTGCTTTGACTCCGTGATGCTCGCCACTACTGCGCATTTCTGCTTTTCACTTGCGTACTGGCTTGCTACGCTAACGGCTCATGTCAAGTTTGAGGGAAGCTGTTGGGCCGCCGTTCGACCCGCCTCCAGCTTTTGGATGGTGTCCTTCTCATCCTTAGCATAGGCAGCAGATTGCAGTAGAGAGGTTGCCAGGACATCTCGTTGTCTTTGTGGCTCCAAGCTGCTCGTCGCAGTGTGACCGCCATCCGCAGATTTGGCAGCAACGAGTTGTCTGACAAAAGCTGCTCCTTCAGGGCATGCGCAGTATCAATACTCTAATACAGCTCCGCGCCCCCCCATGCTTCGACCACGCCGGTGCCCTTGCTCTTTACAGGTAGGCCAAACCCCGAAGCCGACGCAACCGAAGTCACAGCCCATCCTTTGCAACTGTCAGTTCGAATCAACAGCTGCAGGACGATCGGCCGGCGCTGGCCAATCAGTGAACTAGAAAGTCCAAAGCCAGGCGCCAACAAAAACACCCGAGTTCTACATTCTTCACACCTCCCAGGAATGTGTCCTCCTCCTCCAAAGATCCGCCAGCGAGACGCTGCCTGTCAGACGGACGTGTTCAACTGGGGATTATGCGGCTTCACAGGTTATGACCTGGACATTGACAGGATGTGGACGTGGACACGTGACGATACGAGTAGGCAGTCTGTGCGCTAGTATAGTCATGCCAGTCCCGTCCCGTGTCGTGTTGGGGAGGCCTGGCCATTGCCAGGGCGCCTTCGACAAGGTCCAAAGCCTGCTCCAGCTTCCAACTCGACTCGCAGCCACGGCTTATCGAGGTTTCCACACATTTCCCCACTGCACGCATCCACACCACACCAATCTAGGCGACGGGCATTGCATCGGGGTTTTCAAACGCTAGTCATACGATTGATTGAAAGACTCCCATCGCCCATCGGCTGGTTGCAGTAAGCCTTGTGCTCGGCGCTGGCGGTGTGGAGGAAACATGCAATGTCCAACTTCCACTCCTGACCCAAACGCATCAACATCAAACCTATCAGCTGGCAGGCGGCATCATTGTATTCAGTGGAAAGGACTTTTCTCCGTCTTTCCTGGGGCTGTCAATGTGGCCTCAACCAGATGCAACTACGGGAAACATGAAATCTCCAAGGACAGTGCCCAGTTTGATCCCTTCATGCCAGAAAGGCACGGCAGGCTCAGGGCAGTGGTCTTGTCACAGAATCAGGCTTCCAGAAGCCGTCAACTCGCAGCCAACATTCGGTGGGGCTGCTATGGGACGCTCAAAGCATGGACCGTCAAAGGGTGACGCGTTTGCAGCCTTCAAATCGCTCGCGGGACCACCCTCGTCACCAAGTGCATGCAAAGAGCCGCATGTGCAGCCAGCTAGAACGGGCCCGCATCCTTTCAAGCGCCAGGCAGGGCTGGGAAGTATGCACAACAGATGCAGCTATACGATGTTAGCATACTGGAAGAAACCTTCGGCACCCCAGACCTGGCCCCGTATGTTTCGATTACATCACTTCACAGCAGACCGCAGATTCTGCAGCCGCCTTCTCGCGAAAGCCAACGAGTTTGGCCGCCAAGTCCTTAAGCTGAGTTCCCTGACTGGTGCTACTTATCCATTCGTCTGGAATCGCGACTTCCGTACCGATGGATCCATAGCATGCACCTGCAAGTGTAGCTCGGCTGGCAGTGCAACCTCCAGTTTGGATGCTGACCTCCACGGCCTGTTTGTAGTCAGGTTCCAGTGCGCAGTGCAAGGGCAAAACCATTGATTGAGGCAAAGATCAGGCAAGACCAGCGAAGGGGAATCCAGCAGATTCAGGCTTCAGCTTCATGCCTACCTCTGAGTGCGGCATGCCGGAAAATTCGCCCACCACTCGGGCAAGGTTTGCTGCCACTTCGTCATCAAGGTTGGTCTTGAAGGCGCGGTCTGGATTTGCGAGATCTGCCTGGGCTGCTGAGATTGCCTCACTGACAGTCGGAGTTCCAAGAACCAACTTCTCGAGGACGCGTGCAAATCCACAGGCGAACGCCGAAGCTTTGTCGGTGTTCTGCGTGACTCGGACGGCGGTGTCCACACAAGGCAGCAGGGCCGGCTCACCGGCCAAGAGCGCGACAAGAGGGGCAACCTTGCAACAGCCATCCACCTGGCCAAAACATGGAAAAGTAGTTTCAGCTTTTCAAGCTACTTAAAACGCTTATAAAGTTGGGGGGAGTTGGGAGAATCCGTATACGTCCAAGTTGGGGCCGGTCCTCTCAGAGGATGCGCTTCCGGGGACCGTTTGGGATGGCTCGGGGCTCGTGCTTATGTCTTGCCGCTCTTGCCCGAGTGCCTGTTCATCGCTGGAACCGCAATCTGGGGATTTCTTCTTTTCGACGACGTAGTTCTTGAGGAAGCCTTTGACTGAGCCGTGGCGCCACGGCCCGGGCAGCGGCATGCTCCACTTCCTTTCAGCCTCGATCACATTGCCATCTGCATCTGTTGGGTTCTTTTTGAGCTCTGGCCAGTTCTCTGGATCCACAGCCTCCACCTCGTAGGCGCTACCTTTGCCAAACTTGCCTTCCAGGCGAGAGCAGTAGTCTTCCACGTCCAACTTCCCCTCGCAAGCAACCAGGGACTCAAGGAGCGCCATGGTCTGATCTCCGTAGCAACTGAAGCCACCAGGTGGGGGTGTGTAGAAGACATTGCCTGGGGGATCGCAGAAGGCCGGACCGCGCTTTGCCGCTTTGAGGTGCTCTGCGAGCTTGGTGGGGTCATAACACCAATGGCATGGGACGGCGGCTGCATCGGCAACCAAGCACCCGACCACGGCCCCCCTGGCCCTTGAGGCCAGGCTAGCTGTAGCCATGGGAAGATGTCTCCGAAGGGATTTTGCAGGTCCTCTGTACCTTGCTCGCAGTCTTGAACCGTCGAGCAAGCAAAGCTTGGCCCTATGCATCTTAAACTCCAAGCAATCCGGACTAGAGCTGCAGCCATTCCCAACACATACCGGGTCCTTCCAGGACGCCTGCGGCGATGTGGTCAGGGTTTCGTCTCAAACGTGGATTTGTATTGCATGCCTATTCGTGCTTGGGTCGTCGGAGCGACATCTGATACTTGCACGAATAAAGGGGGCAGCAGGCATGAAGAAGGAAGGCACGCACTCGCGCACTCTCTCATGGAACCTTGCTTGTAGCCCCCAAGAAAGAGCGCCAAACCGTGCAACACGTTCCTTGCGGGCTCAACTCTCCCGGTGTGGCTGACCTGGTTCAAGTCGAGGCCGCAGCGCTTGAGAGATGCAGGACCTGCAAAGATGGTACTTGATATGTTATGTCTCATGGGTTCGGATGCTGCTGCTAATCCTCATCAGAGGAGGATGACTTGCCCCACGGGGCATTGCGAGAATTATGAGCAGGCTGCTGTGGCGCCGTTGAGACTGGAAGGAGATTGGTAAACGAAGACATTTGGCAAACAAGTTGGCCACCGCAAAACGTGCCCGACAGCTACTCAACCGAGATCTCCCCAAATTTCATAAACCCGGCACGGAACCCGAGACCCCTCCGCTGAACCTCTAAACCTCTGAACCCTAAACCCTCGACACTGGATCCCTAAACCGCTTGCGCTTAAACTCCTGGAGACTGGAGCCTTGCTCACTGGACCAAAGGCGCGCAAAGGCCAAGGCGTCGGAGAGGCCAGGGCCAGGAACTGTGCGACAGGGCTGGGCCCGTCACTTTCTATTTAATGTTACTATCGGGTGGTCGCGAAATCAAAGCACTGTACTGATGGTGGTGGAAACAATGAGCAAGATGGTGATGATGAAACACGACGGGTGGTAGTGGTGGCAGTGGTGGTAGTGCTGGTAGTGGTGGTGGTCGCAGTAGCAGTAGGAGTAGAAGTACAAGTAGAAAGTAGAAGTAGTAGTAGCAGCAGCAGCAGGAGTAGGCAGTCGCAGTCGCAGTCGCCGTGGTAGCAGTAGTAGTAGCACCAGCAGGAGTAGGAGGAGTGGCAGTAGCAGCAGTAGTGGTAGCTAGCAGTAGGAGCAGCAGTAGTAGCAGTAGTTTCAGCAGTAGTAGATGTAGTAGCAGCAGCAGCTGGAGTGGGAGTGGGAGTAGGAGCAGGAGTAGGAGGAGTTGTAGTAGTAGTAGTAGTAGTAGCCGCAGCAGCAGTAGTAGTAGTAGCAGTAGTAGTAGAAATAGTGGTAGGAGTAGTAGTAGTTGTAGTAGCAGCAGCAGGAGTAGTAGTGGTAGCAGTAGTAGTGGTAGTCGTAGTAGCGGTGGTAGTACTAGTACTAGTACTAGTACTAGTACTAGTACTAGTACTAGTACTAGTACTCGTACTCGTACTCGTACTCGTACTGGTACTGGTACGGGTACGGGTACGGGTACGGGCACGGGCACGGGTACGGGCACGGGCACGGGCGGTGGTGGCGGTGGTGGTGGTGGTGGTGGTGGTGGTGGTGGCGGTGTGGTAGTAGTAGCAGCAGCAGTGGTAGCAGTGGTAGTAGTAGTGATATTAACATATATTAACCGTATTCGTTAGAGCATAGTGCCAGTGGTCTACAGTGCTGCAAAACTCATCTAAAAAAACAGCACCCCTGGTTTCTCGTTTTTTTTAAACACTTGCTCAGTTTACTTCCATCTGGGTATGGGGTTGAATAACTAAGGCCCACACTACTCAAACGTAGGCCTTGCGTGTCTCGAATATGCCGAACTCGGCCGCATTGACTGAACTTCGGGATGATATAAATCTCACAACTCAAAAACCACGGTGACCATTAGAGCAGCCCAACACGCAGCAAACAACAATCTGCGTGTGCCTGCACATGCTTCCACGTTAAAGGACACCGCATTTCCGGCGACTTTGCGCAGTAGCTTCTTCCAGCCTGTGGCGGTTGAGAACACAAACCCCAAACAGTCACGCGAGATGAAAGCCTCGCTCCGCCACATGCTGTGTTTCCAGGCCAATCCCTTAATAATGCGAAGAGGAGCGGGACTTCTCGCCGCGGGGCAACCAGTCCACTGCCAGCTCCAATCGAACCTTCCTGGGATCAACACGGTTCGTTACAGTCCCGGGACCAGGCCATGTGGGTCCAGCTGTTGACCGAGGAGTTTTCTGTATCCGGCCGGGATCGGCGGGGCCTACACTGCAACACATGGCTTCTATCAAACCTCAGCAAACAACCCTTGATGAGTCAAGCTTCGTTAGACAAGTCCATCTATGCATCCAAGGAGTGACAAAGCCATACCGCAGCAACGCGTAGTAGTTTGGATGGAAGCCTCAACGCAGCAAGCCGCGAAGGCAGAAAAAACAGAGACCCGGAGACGATTCGTTCTGTTCAGAAAATGCGGCAACAGCCAATAAATGCCCAAGCCACCGTATGCCACAGTGACTTCCTGCCTGCACAAGGAAAGCCAGCAACAGAACGCAAGTCTACTAGCTAATCGCCGAACCCAAACGGTGTGCTGGCGTCTTTGGCGGGAGGGATTTGCAGGGCGGGGGCCTTGAGAATGCAATAGTGCCATGCATACACTGTAAGCATAACGACCATATCTCCCAACTGCTGCAAATTCTGGTCCAGCCATGTCGAGTTTCCCCCCTCCTGGCGAGGAATGCACGCTGCGAGAACAGGTGGGCAGTGAAGCCATCAGCCTGGTGCTTCACCTCGGCGGAAATCGGGGTTGCGGCGTAACTCAACATACTGGCCACGGCCACCAACCCGAAGAGGGTTGCGAAGCTGTCATTGAGGGTTTTCAGCTGCGCCTCGACGCGGGCAGCTGCTGCTTCGCGGAGATGCTCTTCAAACTCCTGCGAGGATAGCCCGACAGCCGCCCATCACTCAATAACCACAACTTTAGCTGGATGAAACACTGTGGCAAACTGGGGCCAACAACCGTGATCCCGCTTCCATAGCAAAATGACGCAACACTCAACTTTTTTGCCTACTATGCTCACGTAGCCGCCCGAGCATCCAGAGCGTCAAAGCATGCTGGAATTGAGAGCCACGGAAGGAAAGACCAATCAGGAATGGCTGAGGAAGTAGCTTTCTTTCGAGAGTACTGGGAGCAACTTTGTCACCGAGACGTAGCACAAAACACCAAATGGCACGAGGATGCATGAATCGCCGCAGGCAAGTTAAAGCAGAGTTGCACACTCAACAACTTCAAGACGAGCACCTCCGAATTGAGAGTGGCGTTGGGCTCCAAAATTTCGTGGTTGGCCATATCGATGAAAGGATACAGCCTTCAGCCAGACAAGGGCGATCTTCGGGGGGACATAATTCAATAAGCACAGCCGCTGGGTTCGCTTGACGTCATGTCCACCCTGTCTCCACCCGAACTGGGTGCCCAGCAACAACCAGTCTAACGCAAATCAACGCATCCCGTCCTTCCCAAAGACTTATCTGAAGGCCTTCAGACCAACGCATCTGCTATCGCTCACAGATGCTTACACATGACAAAAGGCATCCGAACTCCTTTCCACGAAGATGTGCGGCTGCATGCTGCCGTGCAACACAGCATCCTCGCCAGCCTCTGGCGGCAGTGTGAACGACCGCGCTGCCACGAAGGAGTAGGCAGCCTGCGGCGGTAGAAACGGAGGCCTACATGGGAGGTTCCAGGCGTGCCCGTCCCGACTGCTGAAAGGCTACAGCAAGCCTTCCTGACAACCGCAACGAGCTGTTCCCGAAGTTGTGGTCCTGATACTCCGCCAGTGGATGGCTGGCAGCAAGGTTCGGGGCAGCTGCTGATAGAACATCGTACCTTCGGCCAGAAAAAACAATAAGTCAGGTTTCTAGGCACGCGACCACAGGACTTCAAAACAAGTTCTGGAGGTTCATCGGAGCTGCAACAGATTCTGAATTCGTGCTGCTGCGCTGCTCTATGCGCATGGCCCTTCGCATCCTCGGCAGCTCGTGCTCAGCCATTGTGCCTGGAATCCAGGAGCCCCGATGAAACGGCAGATGTCCGAATTTCATGTTCATGCGGCATTATTACGAGTACAACGAATCGGCCTGCCAGCTGTGCAACAAACTAGCTAAGGGTGATTCTCTGGCTTCGGATGCCTACTGTAGTTGGGTCCACCCGTACGAGAGTTCAGCCTGAAAGTGCCCTTACTTTAAAGACCCCCGATACTTCATTACAGATTTTTCATGAGCGCATCACGTCTTCAAGAGCACAGCTTCAGGGAATAACAAGGGGAAAAACCGACCAGTTGTGCTGCTATGCTTGGGTGAGGCTACATTGAGAAGCTCGAAGCATCCGGGCCTTGCAGCTCTGCTTGGTCTTCGGCTGGCCAGAAAAGTGGCAGCCTCTGACGTGTCCACAGTCGGTGCACGCATGAGTTGCGAGCTTCGACGCGACCGACCAGTCCGGTCAGTGATGTATCACGATGTCAAGCACCGCTGTGGCAAGTCTGCGCATTAACCGCCTGCAGAAAGATGCTGGTCCTACCACTGCTGAGTAGCCACCGGACCAACGACTGGCCTCGGCAGCATCGTCTGCGCAGATTTTCGCAAATCCTAAGTGGTGTCTTTCGCGTCTACAGACTTTGCGGTTCTCACCGCACAAGAACTTTTGGAATGATGACTTCTCTGGCTTTCGCTTTCCGGCGCGAGCGGCGATGATGATTCTGATGATGATGACGATGCGGATTTCTCTGGAAGCTGCTCAACACACCTGCCACCCAAATTGTCCCAAAGACAGGTGTGACGGGGAAAGTTGCCTCAAAACCACCACGTCTAGGAAGGCTAAGCGGTTAAGCTCAGACTCTCGGAGGTAAGGTGCAAACCGCTTTGACGGAGAGCGGTGCTGAAGCTGCTCAAGGATGAATGCCTCGAGGGAGTGGCAGCCAAGCCCCGTACATCCACCCGGCTAGAAGGATTGCAGTATTCAAATCGCAGGATGCCGCGCCGTGTCCACGACTGCTCAGGGCAAGCTACAACCGCAGCAAGCCCAAACTGACATGACGTTCCAGCAACATGTGTGGGATCTTTTGCAAGGCTGAGGCTGACGTCGCCCAGGTACCGAGAGCAAGAACTTGTTGGACACCATGTCCTTCCAAGGAACGACAAGACATCAGTCAGAGCCTTCAGGTTGTTTTTCGCACTTGGGAACTCGTGGGACAAGACCCGCAACTCTGGTTCACCATGCGGTCGCGGCGACTGTGCGACCTATGAGTTCATTTTACGAAGGCCGGTTGAACCACAAAGGGTGGAGAGACAGAGGGACCAAATTTGTGAGCAAATGGCAGAGACTTTGCTTAATCAAGATACTTATTCTGCAAAGAAGTGCCGTCATGTTGGGTAATTCCAATAACCCGGGAAAACAACATGATAGGCAACTTACGGAACTCCGGTCCCTGTCGAGTTCCCTTCCTGGCCTGGGCTGTTGCGTTGGCCTGGAGGTAGGAGACGAGTCTTTGCATCTCCACCGTTTCGTCTTTGACATGGCCTGTGACTCCCAAGATCACAAGCAATGCTCACTGCACTTTACCACCAGAAGCCCTTAAACCTGAGCCCGTTGACTCGTCGTGTCTGCTTGACTCGTCACTGTTTGTGCTGCTGCCAAGGCACGCTCATACAGCACACACTGGGATGGCACAGAGATCAGCCGCCGGTTTGGCACCTGACATGCATCTTCTTAAGCGTCATTGGCCATGTCTTGTATCCAGCGCCCTTCGCTAGCGAATTCGCTTCTGCTACCTCTGCTGACCAATAACAAGACCTCATGCCCCCTTCCGCCCAAATACTTCCCAGATTTCAAGAAGCCCGACCCGAATTGAAGTCGCGGCCCCAGGCGCCAGCTTCGTTGCGGCGAGGAGACCGCGGCCACGGCCCGGGACGTCGGCCACGGCAAGGCCGCCGACAGAGCCACCCCGATCCTGGACAACACGAAGCTCAAAGCACTGCAACCTTTCACGCACAGCCAACCTTGCCAGCCAAACGTAGAGGTGTTTACTGTGCCGAGTTAGCAAAATTGAAACCACTCACTGCGAGACAAGTCGTGCCAGCAAATATCATGTGGAGGCGCCTGCGACTTTCCAACCGTAAGTTGGAACTGAAAGTGACAGCTTCACTGCTCTCCTCCTTGCCTCCAACCATTGGGCAAGGTCACCGATGGTGTCTCTGCCAGCGGCCTCTCCAACTCGCACCGCGTTGAATACTGCAGCCTTAATTTCCAGGGTCTCACTTTTCAGGTTTCTGGCGCTGAAAGGCCGCGACTGATGAGACATGACAGCTGAGAAGCGAAGAGCATCCACATCGAAGAAGGGCTCCAAGAGAGCACCGTGCCACGAAGCCGCACCATGCTGCGGGAAGCTTCTGCATCCGACTGGCGCAATAGGCAAAGCCATCTCTAGAAAAAACATCAACCGGTGTGACGAAGATGCAGCAAGCGAGAAGTGTGGGGAATGAGAATTCTCAGCTCGGGAGGAAATCTGAGAAAAGCTGCTGTCAAGATCCACTCTCTAAAGCTTCTTAATATTGACCAAGAGAGTCATGAGCCGTTTGATCTTTGCAAAATGGCGGTCGGCCCCTAGCAAGCCGGCTCTTGCAATCACTCGCACCTCACGGCTCCACAGGCCCGGTTTTTTTCAGCTGCAGGCATCGCAGAGGGACCGTAAATCCCACTCCGCAGGAGCCAATCTGCAACCTTGGCGCTTTACCCGACGTACTCTTGTGACTACTGTGCTTGAACAGCCTTTGCGGTGCATACAGTCGATACGCAGTGCATCTCTGTAGCATCGGGATGAAGGAGGCGATCAAGGCCTTGACCTTGTTTGCTGGTGCTTTATAGCCGATGGCAGTGGGCCTGCCAACCCAAAAGCAACTCATTACACACTGAACGGAAGATCCTCTATGCAAACGAAGCAAACGGCTTCCGACGTCTGCTGGTGGCTCGTCGCGAGACTGTGGGCATCCACCCTCAGCATCAGCCGAGTTACGATCCCCTTTCCGAAGGAGGTCTCGGACAAGGGTCGAACTCACGTCCGACACCTTCAACAAGCTTGGTTGGTTCGGCACAACCAGTGCAGGGCTCGGCACTCCGTCACGACGACCGGCCTCCGATCCCCCAGGGACCAGGATGAAGAAACCTCTCAGAAGCTCTCATCTCAGCTCATGGCGAACTCTCAGCGTCATGACTATATCGTCTTGCTTCTGGCACGCGCATTGGGATGGAAGCTCGGAGCTCTGGTGCCAAGCATCCCTAGGCCAGCATTGAGGCGGGCCACCTTGATCCAGGGCCACGCCGTCACGACGAGCTCCATGCTCGACCTTCACCGGAGCACAAAGAACAAGATGATAATAAGATCGTTGCTTTCATCCCAGGCTACAGCGTAGTACTGCACCCCTTCGCTCTCTCCATCCGTCCACCCATCCATTTGTATAGTTACTAACATGTATGCAAACAGAAACAGTGGAGCCGAGCAAGTCAGTGACTGTCTTAGTCTTGCCATCCTCGTCTCCTCCGCTCGCCTTCTCCGTGAAGCCCGGGCGGCCGATGGTGATGTACCGCTTTTCGGGGCTCGCCATCTGCCACCTCGAAACGGCAGAAGAACTTGGACTTGGAGGGTTGGTGAGTCGATGAAACTGGACTCTCTGATGACACTGAACTCCACGAGATGCTACTAGTATAGTCTAGATCTCCATGTCAACCATCGAGCCACTTCTGGTACTTGACGACATCGTCGGCGCCGTTTAAGAGAAACCTGCTCCAAGTCAGCCCAAGGTGATGCAAGACACGCTGCAGCAGCAGCATCGGAAGAGGCTCCAGACTTGACAATGCTACTAGGCCCGCTTCCTGACCTTGCACGAACAACCTAACAAAGCGAATCCCGTCCCTGACTGTGTTTGCGGCGGCCTCACAAACTGCAGGTGGGGCCAAACGGCTTGGAGGCGTCCAATGACCTGTCAGTGGCTAGTGCAATGTGCAACACATCTGCCCTGTAGCCGCGGATCCATGCATGAACTACTCATGCCACTACGGCGACACGGATCGGTTAACGACCCGGGCCCGAGCCTCTCTTCTAGACGCTCGAAGTTCACAGGTACTCTCTTCTCCGAGCGGCATGAGCCTCTCTGCCGGGATTGAAATCCATCCAGGGCACGTCGGCGGATGCCTGACTGAAGCAATCCAAGTGGAAAAGCGATCCAAGTGGAAAGGTCTACAACATGGAACTTCTGTTGACCTCGTAATCTGGGGTCTGCTATAATCTTGTATGATCTGCAGCGGGCGCTTGGAAAGTCTGAAAGCAGCTGCCATCCTGCAGCAAAGTTGCAAGCCTGACGAGATCTGCACGATCCGCGTAGGAAACGGACTTCTCGTTTTGGCGCAACATCTTTTCGCCCACGTGCCTGTCGCTGTTCCTTGCGAGCGGCAAACTCAGCATCATGCATCTCGCTGCGCAGTGCCAGCACCACGCATAAGGGGAAAAGTAGTGCACGTGCAGTGTTCTCAGGTAATTAAATCTCCTGCGTTGCCATTGCTTCTATGCATTTCTATGCCGGACGGAAACAACTTCGAATCAAGCTGGGAGTAGTCATTGATCATCAGAAAGCGGGCTTTTATACACATACTGACAGGGTCTGCGAAGTCTGCTTAGGACACCGTGTCGCAAGCCTCAAGCATCACTGTGCGATGGTTGTCGCTGGTACAGGCTTGTCTTGCATCAGTGACACAACTGATGCAGCTGCCCACGCAAACTCACACTGTGTCCCAACATGCCGCCAAGCACAAGCCAGTTTCGACCCTCACGCCTGGATCCAGGAGCCGTGCACAAGAATTAATGCTCTGAGGAAACTGCAACAGTAAAGTTCGTAAGACCAGATGTGCCGGCAAACGCAAGATGAGATTTGCGTCAGAAGAACACAAAGGGATGTTGTGCTCTTGTGCACACCCGGTCACCCATCCCACGATCGCAAGCAGCTCCAAAAACGAATGGCGAAGAGCGAACACATCTTTAGAAAGAAGAATCTCGGTGGCACTCCAGGAAATCTCTGCGAAGAACATAGATGCTGCCGTGAATCAGTGACAGCAATGCCAGTACCTCGCTGAACTTCTCCAGCTTCGGCTGCTCTGGATAGCCCTGACATGCCCACATGGCTCTGGTGCTTTGTACAGGATCCTGCCTTCAGGTACAGCGGTGGACAGGAACTTGGAGATCCTGGTGTGCGTCACGAAGTGTTTGGCAGGAGTTCGTGGCGGCGAACGACTTTAAGCAGGCCTGCAAACGAGTTCACACTGATGTCGCCTGAGACGTGCTTCGGGTAGCCACTGGACTCATGTGGGGCAAGTGTCGCGGGTGACCCACCTCCCCAGGCGGCGCCTCCACACACAGAAGGGAACTCCGGGCAGTGTCGAACCTCGCGAAATTGCAACACCCACGCTGTGACAGAACTCGTTTCTTCTTGTTTCAAGGGTCATCACGCTCAAACTGGTCTGACTTCTATGGCTCTTGTTCGATCGCTGGCAGACTTTCACCGTTCAAGGGGTTGTCAACACTTTCCGAGATGCTGAATTGACAGGACAGTCCACAAGGGAACATTGCGGTACCGCCACTGCTGTACCTGATCTGCAGCCAAGGCGACGCATTGCAGTGGGCGGTCGTGATGGGACAGCAGGAGCCAGTCATGGTAACAACGGCAACCATGGCATCTTCCTGCGAAGCCACACATCTTAAAGTTCTTCAGTGAAAGCATGTACGGCAAGAAGTCGTGGATCACCTGGCAAGCGTGTCCAGTACGTTCATGTTCACAGCACTTCATGCCTCCACAGGACATGTCGCCCGGACATTTGACATGGACCCTAACAGCTGATGAAAAACTGCGCACAACACAGCAAAGAAGCATGAGGAAGCCCAAGAACTCAGTGACCCATTGGGAGAGTAGCCCTTCGTCCGGGCTTTCTGTCCTATTAGCACCCCTTCCATGGCGTCCTGCAGCTTGTCCAGTATCGGCGCAAACTTTGTGACATATCCAGGAAGAGCTGCTTCCATGGGCTGTCAGCCGGCACGTCAACACATCTTTCTGGATGTTTGGCGCTGACGGGCACAATCGCTTTAATGACTCAAAGCAGGCAGTCTGGCTGGACGTGATGCTCCGAAATGCTCGGCGGCAATGGAAGTCTAGATCAGCGAAACTCACCCAAGCCTCGAAAGACAAACTCTTAATTGATCTACGCTCAGGGGCCTCTTATTCATGCAATGCTGAATCTCGAGCAAGAAGCTTGGCCAGCGATTCTCGCATCAACGCTCCGGACCACGACGTACGAGCAAGTCAGGGTCGGTACATGTATTGGACCTTGGACTGAATCTCGAGGTTTCTCTATAAAACTTAGCACATCTATGGGTGCGCCAGGACTGACCGCAGGAAGCATGCAGCGCCGGCCTCCCGCGGCAAACGCAGGACCTCGACGCCTTTGAGGTCTGCCTCATGAGAAACTTGTCAAGGAAGACCTCTTAGGCAGGTCGCTCAATTGAATTAGAGCTTGGGGGACGAAGCAACAATACGGCTGCAGCTCCCTTGCATCGCCTCATGGGCAACGACAGAACACAAGAATAAGAACCCACATTTGCATGATGAAAACCGCATCCCGTCCCGGATTGCCATACTGTCATATCAAGTCATGCGGTGGGCAGGTCGATGAGCTGAAGTAGTGCGAAGCAACACAACGGCTGCAGCTGTATCCACGTGGGCAACGGAGTGACGACCGCGCTCTTTGCGGACACGTCTTTGGCGGGAAAGAAACCATTGCACGAAAAAGACGGTGCAAATTACACCACACTTGCCGGTTCGTTGCGGTTTAGCAGCAATTGGCCTGTCGTTGCCGCGGAAACGTTGTTGCCTGTTGCTGCCGTTGTTGCCGACAGCAAGCATATCGAACTGGCAAGTACGGGTGCAGCCGGCCTTCACTGTCGCTACGATGGGATTTCCAATTGCGAGCGTCAGATAAGCCTGGGTGCCTGTAATGAGCTGGAGCCCTGGACCCCGAACTTTCCTTCGAGCATCAAGCCCGGCCTTCCCTACAGTCTTTATGCATGATGAACTCCAAGAATCCTAACAACCCTCGAACCTTCCGAACATTTCCGAACGACCGAAGATGACCGATAGCATTATGATGTCTGAAAAGGTGCCTGTTCTACATTTTACATATCTCACTGTTCAGAGCCCAAAGCTTTCCCGGCCTCAGCTCCCTGAGGGAAGCGGCGGCCATCCCGAAACGGGTTCCGGACGAGAAGACGAGGCTCTTGGCTCATATGGCTTGCTGTCCCTGAATGATACTTGTGCAAGAGAGGAGAGCAAGCCACGTCCTCTAAACCAACATCCTTCAGTCACTGTTCCGCAGCAGACCGAAACACAAATCAAACTCCTCAAATGAGAGCTCTCCCTGCCGTCCCTAATTGCGAATTGCGCATCCAACGCTGAGGCTCCCAGGGCAAACGCATGTTGAGTCTGGGAGCTGCCGCATGGCCAAATAAAATGACTGCCACCTCATGCCTGCCATCTCGCATGTGGACCAAGGAAGGACTCTTTTGCGAGGCGCGTTACCACGATGCAAACTGACTGCGAGACCTCCGGAGCCATCAAAGCAAAAACACATATCCGAAAGGGCATGCCATGGTCGCATGCTACGCAAGGTGAAACAGTTGTGCAAGCGCCATAATGGATGCTGCGCATCGTGTGAAGCAGAAGTCCTGCTGCTATGATACCATGCCTCGCTGCGACCTCTGCAACCAGCCGGAGCTCCCACCTGCAACAACTGCTCCAGCGACTCCGCTCCTGTGACCATCGTGTAGGGATGAAATCTTCGCCAAGCGTTTCGCAGATTGTTCCTTGACCTGTCCCACAACTCAGAAACCTTGCAGTCGTCTGACTTCATGCACGTGACGCCCATGTTGTGCAGGCTCACGGCGTGCTTGCATTGGGGCCTCGTCCATCAAGATCTTAATTGGGCGTAAGTATGCAGTGTTTGGGTGCCTTACCAGGGTGGACTTCGACAGAATCCACGACATCTCCGAAGCACTCGGTCGTCAAAAGTTGTACTCTCCCTTTTGGCAGTTTCGCTATCAGGACTTCGAGAGGCTGCATGTGGCAGTCGGCCACGGTGGGGAACTACGTAGATAAGGTAGTGCGGCCTGCTATACCACCAGGTATACAGGGGACGGCACCTCGGTCTCCGCACCAACCCTGCCGCTGCTGTAAAACTGCTGGGCCCCATTTCGAAACTGGGCGTAGATCTTGGGCACGGCGCTTCTCTGCCACTCGGCAGCGCAGGGAAAATGCTGGGAAGACCTCAGGGTCGAGCCCTTCGAAAGGGGCCATGCCTGCCAGCTCCCGTTCAGGTTGCGGGTTTCGATCATACCCTCTTCCATGAGGATCTTCGGCGCTTCTTCAATGCTGTGGATCGTGCGGAAGTCGGCCCGCATGTGGCACCCCAAGAAGCTCTTCGGGTGCCGGGCGAGCGCAGACCTCCGCAATCCGTGGTCAGCTGCTCGCAGTCGCGGCAGTTCGTGAGCTTTTGCTCGAAAGACCTCGATGTCCGAGTGAGATCTGGGCGGCGTGCCCAAAGGAGAGTGACATCCACTCCTATGTGCAGTACCGGGCGCGTCGACCCCTTCGACGTGGGCTACGCTTGTGTGAGCATCCCGGACCATCAGCCCGACGGCAGGGCTGCAAAGCAGCCCCTGAGCCGTGTCTGGCAGTCCGCCAAAGTAGCACTTTGGCTGACTGCCACGCACGGCTCAGGGGCTGCTTGGCAGCCCTGCAGTCGGGCTGGTGATCGGGGATGCTCATACAGGCGTAGCCCACCTCATCCCACCTCAAAGTCGGTGTCTGCGAATGGATGTCGCTGTCTTTGGGGCACGCCGCCCAAGTCTCACTTGGAGCCGGGGCCACGGTTGCAGTCTCGGAGGGCTCTGGCTCCGCTCGGTGCTGTGGGATCGTATTCGTAGCCGTAGCCGACCGCAAAGCCTGTGCAAAAAGCCGGCCTGCAACAACACAATTGCGATGGCCGTCCAAGTATCACTCGGCCGCGGGTGCTTCCTTGCACAGCTCTGGGGCTGCTCTGCGTCCTGGCGGTCTCTACTCCCGCCTGCAATGCTCGCGTGAAGAACCGCCAGGACCCACAAAGCCACGCACATTTGCGATGCCAGTACACGCCACGGTCCAACATGTTGGCTGCACTGCGCTTCTCAAATCTTGGACTTCCTCCAAACCTGCGCAACATGCACTGCTGTCCAGGAAAGATGCATTGTCGGCCAAGCAATCTTCAGCAGGCTTGAGACCACGTCGAAGCCTGCACGGAGACAAGCACATGGGTTCGGAGGATATGCCTCGCAGACGGGCCAGAAGAACTGCTGCAGGCAGCGAGAGTAGACAGCTTCCTGCTGCCACTGCACACGATGTCCAGACATGTCCAGACCCAGTCTCGCATTCTTTGTTCATCTCTTTTCGCGCCGCGAGTCCACAGGCGCGGGCCGGCAGGGCTTTGCCCGGAACCGGTGCAAACTATGGAGGTTGGGTCTGAGTTGCTGGGAACAGCGAGGACTGCCTAAGCAGCCTTGTAGAGTCCCTTTGTTAGAGGATGGGCTGGTTGTGGAGCTGAGTGAGACCCTGTGATCTGGAACGCCATCCACCTGTCGCCTTAAAGCCTTAGCTTCTATGCTTTGGCCGGCTGTGGCTATGGCGACCCTTCACGGCATTCCGTCTCGCAGGAACCAATTTCTTGCTGTGGCTTGTGCACAAATCCGGCAGCTTCTGTAAGGCGGTGTGATCGATACGGTTTACAATCAACCTACATGTTACCAGGTTTGGCAGTCCAATGCCACCAAGCGAGGTAAGACTTGATGGCCTGTAGTTGAATTAATTCAACGTGAGTGGGACATAACTTGCCGATAGGTGAGGCACGAAGGCCAGGAGTTGCTCCAGTTCTCGAAAGTCTTCACAGGACTTCAGACGTTCCGCGTCAACTCGTGCCGGTGATCCAACTGCTTTTGCTCCCGAAGCTGCAATGCTGGCTCTACACTGACGTCACTTTCTGATTCGCACCACCTCAGTCGCGAGGGAAATCCCGAGGGCTTCAACGGAGCGGGCGTACTACCAACTTGCCCTGAGGATCACACCGTCGAGCGCCGCCAGGCCTTATTTATGGTCTCCAGTGACCACACCAGCTCACACAGACCTCTACGCTGCCCCAACCGAGACCCGAATGTCAATTTGCTCCGGCAGAGCAGCATTCGCTCATGCGAGCCTCATGAAGCAAAAGGCCTCCAGGCATCGAATCGGCTGAGTTCGGGGCCGGTATCTTCCGCATCGGTTGACATGCCTGGTCCAGAGATGCCCAGAGGAATGGGAGTGCAGCACACAAGCAGAACACCGTGAGCAAACAAGTTACCAACCCTTTTGTTGCCGACTCCCTCCGATGCTCTTCCCGAACTGATCAATTGAGGGCAGCGGGACTGCGGCCGGGTAGTGCCCCTTCCCTTGCACACGCTCCTATGCTGGCATCGGAGATATTCTTCCCCTGGTACAGCATCAGGACGTGCAGCTGATACCTGTAGCGTCTGTCGAAAGTTCCCACATTCCCGCACACACACACACACACACACACACACACATACAGACACAGAGAGAGAGAGAGAGACAGACAGACAGACAGACAGACAGACAGACAGACAGACAGACAGACACCCACACACGCACGCACGAAAAAAACATGGCGTTGCTATGCGTTGCTCAGCTCGTGACGAGTTCGTCATCTTGCGCAGTTCCGCATTCTCGCGAAGCAGGTCGTAACCTGAAGCCATCAGCCACTGGCGTCTGTGCCGCAAGTGCAACTGCAGTCGGTGCTGCACATTCCTGAACACATCTCGAACTCACGACAGGGAATTGCCGTAGATTTTGGACCTATTGAGACTAAGGACCGGGTAAGTAGTTTGCGTCCTCGTTTGCCACTCTCAAAGTAAGCAAGTATCAGGGTGGACCGTTCCCGAAATGAGGACACCAACACGCAAAGATTTCTTCGGGAAGGCTCTCGTCGCCATGGACCAGGCTGAGATTACTTCAGCCGATACACGTGCAATTTTTCCACACAGCCGTCGCAGCTGGTCCAGTCCAACTTCGGTCAGAGCTCATTGAGTGAGGCTGCCAAGCTGGGGTAGCTGGGCTGATGCTATGATAAAATTTAGGGCCTCCAATGTTCAATCTGGTTTGGAGTAGACTTTCGGGTTTATGCTTCTCCTGCTGCCGCACCGCAGCTTGACAAAGCCCGAGATCTTGAAGAAACCTCGGCCGTTCTGACCCGAGACGAGCTTGGGCAAGTTGAGATCTCGGGATTGAATGCCTAGCACAAGTCTAGCGGCTGGCGGTCTGGTGCTTGTAGCAAGTCTGAGACTCCTGCCGCCTGCCTCACGCTTCGCGACCAAGCCCTCCTCGCCGAGTCCTAGTCTCGGCGCGCAGTCCGATCCTGACGTTCGTTGTCACGATCATGTCGCCCGCCATCTCTGCGGTCCTCACGCAGGTCGTCCTGGTCGTTGGCACGGCGATCGTCACGATCATCTCTGCGATCGCCATACCTTCGATCATCACGTCGATCGTCTCTGGAACGGCTACTAGTTCGTCTTCGGGAATCCCTTCGATCGTGCCTATCACGATCATCGTATCTTCTGTCATCCCTGCGGTCATCCTGCCGGCCATAGCTACGATCATCTCGGCGATCACGATCATCCCGGTAGTCACGGTCATCTCGTCTATCGCGATCGTCCCTGCGGTCACGATCATCTCTTCGATCACGGTCGTCTCGACGATCGCGATCGTCTCGGCGATCTCGGTCATCCCGGCGATCTCGTTCGTACCGTCGGTCATCGCGGTAGCCTCGGTCGTCCCTTCGGTCGTCTCGGCGGTCGCCCCGCCGGTCTTCGCGTCGCTCGTCCCTTCTCTCTTCCCGTCTGTCACTTCGCCTGGCGAGCAAACCGGTACAAGACGCGACAATGTCCGAGCAATCAGTTGGCTCTTGCATGGCCTGTCGTCCCTGCGACCACTGCGACTTCGAGCGGAACGGTTGTTGCTGAGAAAGCTGCGAGAGTCCTCTAGTGTCAGCTCATCGGGTTGGACTTAACTTCCACGATTTTTCGAGCAAACAAAAGATCAACATCGAAACACCTCCCTCTGAACCCTTCCGTCTCTGGACTTGCCATGGCACGCCGGATTTAGGCATGTTTGGCCGAGTCTCATCCACAGTCTCGGGCTGCCACTTGACGAAGCTGGAGCCTGGCGCTTGCTCTTTGCACAAATGGGGTTTTGGGGCCCATTATGTTATAATTGTCATAAGGAACCCCCTTCCACAGCATAGTTCCTCTCAGTCTATGTATTGTTCTGTGCGGCACAATACAGCAAAGGCTCTGATACAGAATGTACTCGCTTGGGGGGTGGCTTTTTGGCTACCTAAAGGATCTGCTACCACTGCCTGAGGCAACAAGTAGGCTTGGCCTGCTTCAGGACTGGCTTCTGTCACCCGGAAGTAGAAGCTGACTCTCTTCTACCCTTTGCTGGAATGAATGTCATCATGCAACTGAGCTGCATTGCCCTTTTCAAAAGGCGAACTAGTCATCGTGCTCTCATCCCGCACTGTTGAACAAGGACCAATTTTGGACGTGCCCCATCACCTCAAACTGCATGTCTCGCACCCGAATTCACAAGCCCTGAACCCTGATTCTAATTGCCGCCCGACAGCCTGGCTTGCTTCCGCCTCTGCCTCCCTCTCCAGGCTTCCAATCCTTGGGTGGCGATAAATTAACCAAATGGATGCTTGCAGGGCTTCTTCCAAAATCGCGCTTGGCAGCTTGCGCAAGCCATTTATCTATGATTTCTAGTCGTCTGGGTGAGGTCCTTATGCTGCCATAACAGCGAAATGAAGTGCCCTCGGCTTGTTATGATGCAAGCACGTGGCGCCTGTGATCTTCAGCGTGATCCCTTGCCTGGGCATTTCAAACAAGGAAAGCACAGGCACGAACATAGAGTTCCCGCTTGTTCCGCAACAAATAGTGTGTGTGTGTGTGTGTGTGTGTCCCTGTACCGAAGGGCTAGTGTAAACAGTGATTCATGGCATCATCACGCAGGGGGCCAGGCACCTTTTCTCCTAGCCATGCTGATAAAGCTATGGAGTTTGAGTCGATGGAGTCACTGACGAGTAATTCTGTACCTGCAGAGTTGCACCTGGATCCGATGATTGGATAGCTGGTGAACTCAACCATGTTTTACACAGTGCTTTGCTTCGCATCTTCGTCATGACTGCAAGTGAGTGTGCAAGGGTCTGCTTGCAGTGAATGTTCTTCATGTTCTTTTATGGGAAGTCGTGACACTAGATAAGCCTTGAGATCTACAGTCTAGCCAATGGCACACAGCAGAGCCGTAAATAAGTAACAAAAGAAAAGATAAAAGATAAAACCTTAGAAAAGAGCCACATTCCCGACTCACATCAGACCAAGAGGTCTGCGGCAAGTTTTTGTGACTGTGTTTGTTTGCTTGTTTGTCGACTCGCAAGAACTACACGCGCGTAGTGGATAGACTTGTTGTCATGATCATGAAGAAGAAGATGATGATGACGAAGAGGGGGGGTGACCCCGGAGAACGGAGGGGTCGGCTGCGACAACTTGAACATGCTGCAGTAGGTGCTCTGAAGAGTCATCGCTAAGCCGTGTTGCCAAGTGGTGCTCAATGTGAGGCCCTGTCGCAGAGCCTCCACTGCCTTGTCTGCGTCCTCAGTCAGGGAGTTTTGAAAGATGGCAGTCCGGAATCTGGATATTATGGCCGGTTTCAGATTTGAGATCAAGTAGAAGTATTCTAAACCTAAGCCCTTGGGTTTCGGGACTGCCAAAACTTTCCATTCCGGGTTCAAGTCAATCGCTGCTGCCAGACTACACCTTGATATCGTTTCGCCAGAGCCTTGATGTGTTTTGTTCCTTTGTCAAAATAACTTCTGGATTGGAAGGGTTCGTCTGGCTCTGCCTTCGCGAGACTCCTCAACCCGCGGAGGCTCTTTCTTTTTGATGGGGGTTTCGGCTGTTGCGGAGGCCGGCACACCTCCCAGGAGCTATGAGCGGAAACCATAGATTCCATAGATGTTGCACCCATGTATAGAGGTATACGTGTACATACTCAGCAGCACAAGCCTTTACACCCACCAAAACCATACAATCAGCTAGACTAGTCTCGACCTTGACAAAAAACAACGAAGAAACCCTCAAGTTGATTGGTCCTGATGACACAAACGAAGTTCGCAGTTTCGATCAAAGCACTTTACATCTTACAAGCTTGATTCAAAGCGACTTTGCATCTCTTCATCTTTACTTGTTTGCATGCTGCCCTCTGGCGCCTCTTGGCTTTGAAACTGGACGAAGGCAACATCCGTTTCCGGATCGCCTGCGCAGCAGAGACTCCAAGATGGTTGTTGGCACAAAGCCCGCTTGGCATACGAGAGCTTTCCGATATCGTTTGCAAGGAACAAATTGCATATCAGCCTGGCCTGTTGTGGGTGGCTTCTTGCAGTGTGCCACTTTTCCGAACTCTTTCTCCATGGACTGCCTCAAGCAGCTCTGCCGAATGCAAGCTCCAAGCACCCCGCGGTGACTACAGCAGACTAGTGACTGACTACTGCAGCATTATCTTCGTCCCGCACGCAGTCACTCTTCGAGCTCCCCACATGAGCCAAATCCGCGTGCACAGCGCCAAACCTTTGGCTCTTGGCGAACGGGGAAGCATTCCACTTTCTCAGCCAGCGACTGCGACCGTAGCATGTGTACATATTTGGTCATATCTGTTCTACAGTACAATCAATCCTTCCAAACAGCAGTGGCCCAGCAAATGCGTCGTCGCGGAAACCATGGCAGCTGATTGCTGATCGAACACAAGCAGAAATGTGCGAACCGATGTCATGGAAAAGTAATGAAGTATGAATCAAGTTGGGAAGCCTTGAGGGTGGTCACCCTTCACTTGGATCATGCGGGCCATGGTACCTCGAATTGGTGCATCCCTAAGGCATATCAAGAGCTGCACTCTGCAGATTCTTGGTAGGGGCGCAGCTCGCAAGGGAGATGAGGCTGTCACTCAGCAGCCGCAGAACGGAAGCGGTAGGGGCTTGTGCCCCTGACAAGCAAATGCTGGCATGGAGCGGCAAATCATTGAGCTGGAAATCACCACCTTCATGCCTTCTGTAATCCTGACCTGCTTCGGGAGTGCTTCTGCTACGTACCGCCGTGAACCGATGAAATTTCAATCGTCCCAAGTGCTGCGTGTTGCGAGTACGAATACGCTTGATAAGCCGACGAATCGCAACGACTTCTACTGACTTCTCGCTTCTCATATTTTATCATGAGCTCATGTCAGTACATGGCTTTGAGCCTGCAAAACAAGCAGAAGCATAAGCTGGGAAGAACCTTTTCAAGAGGTTTGTCTTCTCAGGAGCGCGACAGAGCCCAGGCACCATGGAGTCGTGGGAGATGATCCGGTCCTGCTCTGTCTCAGGACTGCAGCGTGGGAGGAATGCGACCAATAGACTCGCAGGAGTGTCCTTGTCGATCTGCAATATTTGATCTATCTGAGCCTGCGAGCTTTGAGTGGTTGTGAGCTCTTCTCAGGTAACACTCATCTCGACACTGCAGCTAATGCATCTAATGCATCCACAACACCACAGTCTCTGACTCACAAGGAAACAGCTGGCTCTGCGTGACGGTCCCCGGCAAGCTTGGGCAAGAGCGTTCGAGGCACGAACCAGATAGGCTAAGTGCTCGTCATCGCTGTTACCTCTGACTGAACTCTCCGGGCCCTTTCGATAGAAACCATCAAGACTAGATATGCATCAAGCTAGCTTCAAAGATCGGGTGTTTGGTTTCGCATCGACGAGCTACCACAAGGCCAGCGAAGCACGGAGCGTGTCGGATGATCGCCGCTATCAACCAGCCTCCCTCAAAACCCGGCCGTGTCGCACCTACCCCAAAGCCGTCTGAGGACTGCGCCGAAGTCAAGCTGCCTTTGCTCGCCTTTGCTGCCAAACTCTCCAACGTAGCAGGCGACTGGGACTTCGACTGTGCTTTTGTTCCAATGCATTCGAGCCTGTGGTCCTCTTCAAGATCTGAACTATCTATAGGACTATCTAAGATACAAGCGGCATCGAGGCACAGTATCCTTTGAGCCGTCTCGGCACGATATTTACCGACGCCCATCTTTCGAGCTCCGAGTGGCACTCCAAGTAGAGCGCGTAGAGCGAAAAGTGCTTCAGCGAATCCCAGCGATCCTGCACGCAAAACACTATCACGTCGTCGACTACTCAGCTACCAGCATCTTCGGCTGCTTGAGTTAAAGCTTAGCATTGCTACCTTTCCGGCCCATCCGGTTCACACGCCGACATTCTGCCTGCACAAGAACCCCGTGCCTTGATGATTCTGAGCGCGGGCAACATCGGATCAGAAAGCTTTCCCTCTGTGGCCTGACGAATCGGAGGAAGCTCAGGCACCCGGCACTCTGCTGCAACTCGCGCTCCCTGGATTCTCATTTTTGCGTCTCGGCAACCGTCCCTGTTCATCTTGCCCAAGCACTTCTACCCCTTCCAGTATGTCAGGATGTCAGTATGTCACTTCTGAGATCTGAACACCGGACACAGCGAACGCGGTAACCCACCCGCTGCTGCAAGATGAAGGGGACTCGCTGGAGAAGAAGCCCATAACCAGACCTTCGACCCTGGCAGGAAACGATCAAAAGGGCGCGAAGTACTCTGTGCACTCTGTAGGCTGTCTGTAGGCGGCTGCGCGAGCGGGTACTGAATCACATTCGACCCAGCCGTTTGCCAGTCGGCTGTATTCATCCTTCGGCGACTCAGATCCGGGGATGGGTCCTCTTGCATCGCGACTATGATGAAACAGGAATATTGGGAAGCGTGGGATCCGAGCTGCCGATGATTGCAAAAGCAACACAACAAAGTGCCCTCACCCTGTGCAAGGCGCATTCGCCAAGGCCAGGCCAAGGCAACGAAGATCGGCCCACGTGCTACCGCATCTCCATATGGACGTCCCAACACTCATCGCTCGTCCTGACTTTCAGGCGTTTCTGGCAAAGCCACTCGTTTCGAATCCAGTCTCGGGAACGTCCTCTCACGGCCAACGCAGTTCCCGCCAAGGACTTTGCGCCAAGAACTCACTTTGGAAAACAAATGCGGTCCTGCGGCTCTCGTGTTTGACAATAAGACAGGGATAGGCCTTCCCAGCAGTCTTTGGCCCACACTACGCAGTCGTGTCACGCTCTTCAAGGTGTTCTGTTCCGCTCGGTCGGGGCCCGCAGTCGACGCCGTTCCACACAACAAGTGCCCCTGGCCAAGCTAAGCTTCTCAAAGGCCACAGTTGGCTTCGGAGGCAAGGCTATAGGCCTGGGCAGTCGTGTCCGAAATGCCGCCCTCCTGTCGAGTTTCCGCGGCTGCGGTGTCCAGCGATTGGCGGCGTCATGTCAATGTAAGCCGTGGTCTGCAAACGGATCACGAGTCAAACTCAACGGCACCTGTACCAAGCGTCCAAGGCCAGGTAAACTGGAGCCAAGAACATCTTGAAGCAAGGAATGGTATGCAGGACCCAGCGGGACATCACCATGTCGGGGCCATAGGGGTTGGTCAGTTGCCTCAGGACGAGAAGATTTCACAAGCACGCTGGAGAAACATCAGAGCTGGCCGGAACTACTTCTTCGTCATCTGCATCATAACAAGGAATTTCTCAACCTCAGCAATCGCGACATGCATCCGAGCGTCTTGTCAAGTCTCGCAGCAACCTGTCAAACCGTTTCCGCGCACTGGGAACTAGCAGAATATAACGAGCAAAGCTTTGCCATGCCTCACTCGGAACACGATTCGGATAGATCTGCGGGAAGCAGGGCGTCATCCCATCGCTGATGCCTGGAACCACGTGGGGGATTCCGGCAAGGCTACAAGCATCAGACTAGAGCCCCATTCTAGCAAGCTTGTGCTGGGGATCGACGTGGCCAACGGGAATGATATGGAATGATGCACAACGGCCTTGAGTCGCAGAACTCTGCCAGTTCAGGTTATGGTGGCACTCGCCGCTGCTTTGATCGTAGCCTAGGCTCCAACACTGCAGGTGGGCAGCGGGCGACTAACGACAACAGTCGAGATACATGCAGCACCTGCCATACAGAAAACATCGAAGAGCATGGAGCCAGGCAGTCCTGAGTGGACCGGAAAGTTGCAGAGTTGCTTCGGTTTCGGACAAGTCATGCCCGCAGGATTTCGATGGGTTTCGGTCCTACAAGGGTCCGGGCATGCGGAAAGATGGTGGAATGTTGCAGTCCCGCAGCTCGACCCAGTCCTGCCGAGAATTCGGCATATCCTTTGCCGGAAGTTTTAGCTACGCTAGTCTTGAGCCTGACGGCATTCTGGCACCCTGGCATGCGCAAAGAAACATCCGCCTGCGGATGTCCGCAGCTAGACCAAAGATAAGCCATGTGTTGCCAGGCTTGCATCCGAGTCTCGATATCTCTCTGGATCCGCTTGAGAGGGTACCGGCTCCTGCAACAAGCTTGCGAAGTTGTCTGGAGTTGTTATGCCACCTTCCACAACAATGTCTCGATGTTCCCTTCGCCTATGCATGTCTCGCCTGGCGCACCCAGCGAGTCAGCAGCTCTGGATCGTAAAGGCTTCCCAGATAACCCGTGCGCTCACCTTGGGCACGGGTGATGCGACGCGTTTCGAACTGAGGATGTTCACTACTGAAGCGGTCAAGGAAGTTGCCACACAACATCTGGGGACCGATTGTCCGAGCAGGTCAAGCGGTCAAGCTTTCAAGCCAATACCAACAGCAAATGCCATAAGAATTTAATCAAAATCGCAGCTCCACCTGTGCAAGGAGCTGTTCTGCTTCTTGCAGAATTAGGCGGAAGGTTGGTGCAGCCGCGAACGGACAGAAATGCATTACCAAGCTAAGGGGTAAGAAACTTTCCAGAAGCCTGAACACCTACACTAAGTCCTTCAACAGCTGAAAATGTCCTTAAACCCCAATACTAAAACCCCAAGCACCTACACTGACCTACACACCAAAAACCACAACAGCCCGACGCTGAAATCGAAAAGTCTGACGCCCTAGAAACTTCACCATCGAAACGCCAGTTCCCAAAGTCTGTTTGTAAATTGTAACAATCCTTTCCTCACCCTCAAAGGCCCCCCCTGCGCCTTGGTAGATTGTTTGTGTCTTGTGCGCGACTAGCGGGCTGTACCTCACAGCATCTCACAGCTAAGCTGCTAGTAGCTTAAGGGATTGAAGGCTCTACAGGCAAGTAGGGGCATGGGGCTTTCGGGACTAGGGTTTTTTTATGTGCAATGAGGGTTTAAGGGCTTGGAATTTCGGGCTTGTGGCTAAGGGTCCTGTCGCATGTTTTGGCTTCTTGCCCAGCCGAAGCGGCCTTGCGGCTGGTGCAAGATCTGTTGCCAAAACACAGCGGAGAGTACGGGCTCGACGCAATGTCTAATGCAATCCAGTCGTAGAGTGTGCCCAATTGCAAATGCAGCATGCAGCCAGTACTGTACAATGCGACAAGACTGAGACCGTCCATGCAAGTTCCATCTAACCTGAAGAACCGGATCAGACTGTTGACCGCGGTTTCTTCAACGGAACCTTCAAGCCCACTAGTTGCCGGAATCTCGCGAGTACTCACACCCACGACACGGTCACACACGGCTCTGGACATTTCGTGGGGCAGGCTGCGGCTTGATGGCTTCGCTTTCTGTCATCTGACATGCACGGCGCAGTGCAAGCCCGGTTGCAGCACCATGTCTCCGAGTGAAAGATCTGGTGTCTCTGACATGGCCTTTTGGAAGCAGCAAAAGGGGTTCCTAATTCCTAATGCTTGTTGACGCAGAGCTACGCGCGGCAGCGTACAAGTTCAGGAAACCGGAACAGACTTGGCAATGGTGCCCTTAAGCCCTCAGCGCAGGCGACAGGTAACAGTCATTCAAACACGTTGCTAAATTAAATCTTAACTCCATTTTTGTCTCGCCTCGGCTGCCACAGCACACTCAGCGCCAATAACCAGGCGACGTTCACGGTCAACGAAGCCTCGCACTGCAGTCTCTGCAAGCTCTCGACTTGTCAGATCTCGCGCATGACCATTGAAGACGAGAAGCAACTTTTGTAGCTGCGCCGCAGGTGTCTCACTGCCTCAACTTCGTCTTAGCACCCGCCAACAGCTCCGTAACAGGTCACTAGTCCACCTTCCCACCTACTGAACTTACTGTATGGATTTTAGCACGTGCAGCCTCGAAAGCGCAGCCAAGCGGTTGTGACAGCAGGTGTAACCAATGCAACCCCTTCTTCTGACACATCTTGTCATACCACGTCGCCCCCGGTACAACACCAACGTGCGCAATGATGGGCAGTGCTTCAAGGACGAAATTTGCAATAGTTGCTGTCCTGTCAAAGCTAAAACTCACTTCCACTCGACCGTCTTCGGCCTCGATGGACAGCAGCTGCAGCGACCCACCAGTCGAATTCGCAGACAAGTCCTTTTTGCAACTGCATCGGGACTCTTGTAAATACAGAAGCCCTCACAATATAAAGTGCACATCTCCAATCCACGCATCGCACATGGGATGCACCGGGGCCTGCAAAATCGCGACGTTCTGTATGCTTCTCCTTGCCTGCCTCTGGCTTTGATGAAGCGTCTTCTCTCAGTCGTCAGCTATTGCGGCCAGAAGCTGACCCTCAAACCACATCAAGCACTGCCCCAGGTCCTGCGGCCCCAGAGGCAGGAAGAAACGGAGCAAAGGCAGGCCTGCTTCATGATCGTGTCTCTCAACGTTCTGCAGGACTTCGAGTGCCAGGCTGCTAGTGTTCAGTACTACGACTGCGATACTGTCCAGCAATGAAAGTTCGAATTTCGAGCAATCTACGGCCTGCATCGAATCATGAGAACGGATGCCGTGACCGGGCGACGAAATCATCATCACCATCACCATCCTCGTCGTCATCATCATCATTGACAACACCAACACCGTCACCACCACCACCAGCACAACAACAATAACGACCCACCACCACCAACAACAACAACAACCACAACAACAACTGCAAATCCAGCAGCAAGAGCAAGAGCAAGAGCAAGAGCAAGAGCAACAACAACAACAACAACAACAACAACAACAACAACAACATCATCATCAACATCATCAACAGCATCAACAGCAGCGACAGCGACAGCGACTCCGGTGCCCGTAGGCCAAGCATCAAACCTTCCATGCAGTGCAAGACAAACTGTTGCCTGCGCATTCCGCGCATCACAAAGTGGACTTTACTCGCACCTCGCGGGGATTGCTCAAGCCGGAGGTTGCCTGATGGGCGGAGGAATGATCACGGCTCGACATGCGCTTGGCGATTGGCCAGGCTTGGCTGGGTGGAGGGAACTTCTGGATTCGAGAGGCTTGCTCCAAATGAAGATGAGTGGGAGCTTCTGGTGGTTTCCCCTCCTGCAGTTGAGCTGCTCTGGACGTCGAAATGCCACGTCTTGGCTCCGGTCTGGCCCGGACGAATCATATTCACGGCCTCTGCGAGGACTTGCTGACTAGGCAAGAACCATGATCTGCACTGTAGGATGGTGTGCCTCGCTGCCGTAGCGGACCGTGCTGGCTCCGAGGAGCTGCGCTGCCAGGCATCCCAAAGGATTCTGAGCCTCAGAGGTCCGAGTCTGGCTTCTGCCGGGCGCAGTTGCAAAGAGAAAGCATTGCGGCCAGAAGCGCATGGAGCACGAAGCTCGCGAATGCTTCCGAATCCATCCACACATTGCGGGCTGAGACTGCCTGGCCAACAGAGAACAAGAGTCCTGTCGTGACACATGAAGGGGTCATTTGCCGCTGCTGACCCTACTGTAGCTGTAGTGGTCTCATTCCGGGCGAGTGCAACTTGCTGCGACCAAGGCGCCCATTGGTGTCGGTCGGATAACACACGTGGCTGCAGAAAGCCTCAGGAACAGGACCCTTGTCTCTGTATGACTCTATGGGCATCCGCAGCACAAGAAAGACGGAACCGCTCATGTCCATTGCTATGCTACATAGACATCCTGCACACACTGTTATCATGAAGAACCTGTCCTGAATCTCCTAGCAACCCACACAATCCAGCCCTGAACCAGCTTTGCAACGGCAGTCGACCCTGATGCACTGCCACGAAGCACTGAATCTCTCGGAAGAGTCGATGCACGGCTTCAAGTGGAATGGCCTGAAGTTGTGAAGGGTGCCAAGATGACTTCTCACGAACATTTTCCAGTTTCTGCATTTCCCAAATCCGCGCCTGCCGCAGAATCAGGAAGCCCTGGCGCTCGAAGTCAGCTAGACTTGTCTTTGGCAGAGACACGCATGGCAGGTCGAGATCTGCCAGGCGAATGTCTGGACATGAAAGTTCCTTGCGCACGTAGTCATAGTCGGCAGCTTCGAAGCCAGGTCGGTAAAACCATTCTGGCCTTTGGAGTACGGTGCCAAGGAATAGCGCCAAGGTGCCCCCGACTCCGAAAAAAGAGCGGGCAGCAGGCATCTGTTGCGCAGCTTGGGAGGGCGGAATCGATGGCGTGCTGAACCGTGCACATACAGCTGTGCGTCGAAACACAGCACGAGAACATCTAGTTGTTGCAGCTTCACCGGGGTAGCGTGGTTTGCACATGGTTCGGCTGCTATGCTGATTGTTGCTCACTGATCTGCCCTGTCAAGCGGACGAGTCCTTTGAGCAACATTGAGTAGGTCGCTGGACAAGCCTCTACCAACTGTGTGTCAATCGGCCCGCTTCATACATGTCCAAGGCCAGCTTTTAATGACAATTGTGCTCATCTACCAGAGGAGGAAGCTATGAATTTTTGAGGGTGAGAACGACACAATGGCATCCGTTGGCACATCAGGTTCAATATGAAGGTTAATGAAGTGTCACTGCGCCTTCAGGAGCTCAACCTGGTTGTCGTGGAGCTGCAGCTTGCACTCTAGGCATTCCACGAGTGTCGCCTCCGTTGAGCGTGGAACTTCAAAAGAGCCGAAAGCACAGAGCAAACGCCGCAGGAGCTTTGCAAGGTGCCTTCAGCTCTTGACTCGGCACATCCACCGGCTGAATTGTCTTCACCGCGTCCAGCATCTGCTGAAGGTCCTAACCAAACAGGCGGAGAAGCTTTAGGCATCGTTCACAGAACCAGTCCCCAACAGTCACATTACTACGCATGGATCACCGGAGCAGTCTTCCCCATGGCTGCGAGTTCAGCCAGCGCGCCTTTGTCACGGCGATGATTTTTCTTATGCTTTCGTTCGCATTGGAACTGAAGTCCTTCACGGAATACCTGCACGGACACAAGCGCAAAAAACGTATAATATGGAAACCCCACTGTCCTACTTACCTCTCGCTTCCCTGTGTCACGCCCCGGACATGCTTTAAATGAACCACGACAGCGCGGCGACCGTGGCAAGTAGCCTTTTTAATCCTTTGAAAGGTGCGACCTCGCAGCACCACTGTCTCACTGATGGAAGACGCTTTACTGAAGTATGCTGTGTTTGTGTGCTGCACCACGATGATTCGGACAATTACCACCTCTTGCAGAGGGTAGCAGGACTCGAAACCTGCGACACGCGACGCACTGCCCCGTTTCATAATTACATGCCGGCTTCTAGAATTTCAGAATCAGTAGCCCCTTCTTTGCATCTCCTCGGCAGCGACGCACTGCCCCGTTTCATAATTACATGCCGGCTTCTAGAATTTCAGAATCAGTAGCTCCGTCTTTGCATCTCCTCGGCAGAAGCGGAACATAGCGGAACTGCGACAGGTACGGACGGCCTGGTGGGGACCGGACGCTCTAGTCCGGATTTGTATCCACAGCCGGGCTCAGGACTTGTCCAAGAACTCCATTCGAGAAGTTGGACAAGTCGGAGGCCCTCGCAGAGGCGCTTCGCGAGCTTCTCGTCCAGGAACCGGACTCGTTCCGGGCTTCGGATGCTTCGGCTTGGGTCCGGCTGGCTGCGCAGGTAATCCCGACTTCAGCATGTTGAGGTGTGTTCGCTCCCTCTCGGCGAGGTCCTGCGCCGCCCGTGAAGCTGACTCGACAATTCACCTTGAAAGGCTGCCTGGTGGCCGCTGCTGCTTGCAGGACGGCATCGCTGCCTCTCTTAGAGCGAAATGTCAATCGGCTTGATTTTGAGCCTGATGTCTTAAGCTATCAGTGTGAAGGCAGCTGCTTCCGAGACCACTGGGGTTGGACAACTGCTGAACCCCGTGGCCAGGGCACGCCACAATCTCTTTGGATTTCGCTTTGGCGTCCTTCAGCTGGCGCGCTGCAATCGTGCGCTGCACCTGTGCACATTGGTGGCGGCGCAACAATGCCGATCATTATTTTACCACTACTGGCGGGCATGCACCACGATCACGAAACGGCCAAAGCCGACAAGCGTGTAAGAGAGCACTGACTTATTACTCTCGGACACAAAATCACCCAACATCACGCGAGACTACTGACAGTGTCTGCTGCCGCATTTCGCCCTTGCAACGTGCAGGAATCCAACGATTTATCGGCAAGCCTCTGTTACCATTGCAAGGTCTGAGCACCGAAACTCTGCCACTGCAGGCCTTCTCTCTTCTCAGGCGGCATTCGTCAATGAACATGCAAAGGATGAAGCGTACATTCCTGGCAGAGATCAGTGGCCACAATGCTCATCAAGTTGCCGCTCAATTACGTCGGCACTTCCTAGGCAACCTTCACCTCTGCACCCCATGCACCCTGCGAAGGTCCCTGCATCTGCACAGCGCACTGACTGACTTGTAACCTGGTACAACCGTCCTCGTCCCTGGCATCTGCTGCGTCCGTTTGAGTTCCGTCACCGCCGCCGTGACTAAGGCATCTAAATGCCTTCCGAAGGGAACAAGGCATGCTCTGCTCCAAATGACTTGCAAATCAACCATGATGAAAGGTGTGTCTTTAACAACTCCGGCAAAAGGTCTATTGTCCATGGAAAGAAACCCATCACATAGCTAGGTGCCCAACCTTTCTGCGCGGTGGAGACGCTCAGGCTCAACCTGGCAGGGACAAGCTGACAAAAGCTGACAAGCCTGTGCTGGAGCATCCTGTTCTGCCGCAGCAGGCACCAGCGTACTTCTATCACCCTGTTCTCTTCTGCCGTGTTCTGGTTCTTCAGTGGCACTCCATAATGCAATACGCAGCAGAATGTAACGTCATAAAGCCATCGACAGCATCTACGAGCTGAGGATAACAAACCGCGCGTGGCCTCGAGATCCTTGGCAACCAACATGGAGCGGTTTCGGGTCAGGCTTTTGGGTGTACGGTTGAAGGTGCTATCGGGCTTACGTTTGAAGGCTTCGTGTCCAACTGGGTTGATGAGATTTGGAGGTGTACTGCTGCTTACGCCAAACGCTGCATCTCTCAAATGCTCATCCATTTTTCCGTGAGCATCAGATCTCTTACTTTCTGTCGATCCCAGGCGATACTTCGAGGGCTCCTCCTTGTTGAGTTTACAGTGAGCCATGCTCAGGTCAGGGACGTCAGGGTCAGTGGCGGATCCTGCCAGAAACAAGGGCTTGAGGTTCCAGGGTCGAGGCTTGCCGTCAGAACAGCCGGACTCGAGGAGTCGGACTTCAAATCCCGCGGACAAAGCGACACGAAAGACTGAGCTCCGATCATTTCGAAACGAGCAACCTTCTGAGGCAAGGAGGCCCCAGGCCACGTCCTGCTTCCTGGGTACCCGGCATCGTGGATGGTCGCCCCCGGCTTGTCAGGATGCTTGTCGTTATTCTGGCCGACATGAAGACATAAGAAGCAAAAGTAGCTCATGAGTATGCATAGCACTGGTAGTAGTAGTAATGGTAGCAGCGTAATATTGCCATTACCAGGCGACCGGGTCCTATTTGTCGTGAGCAAAACTACTGGAATTCGGCGGGCCGGCCACATTGATGTGAGAATCCTGCGGGAGGTCGTAGGGCTGACCATGCTTGATGTTAAGCAAGTGATTCCACCACTCCTGGCATTCAAATGTGGCTTGCGGGTAGCTTTCGAGGCTCGCTCGCGCAACAGGCATCAAAAAGATAACAACGAGGTCCGTTAGTCATGCACTCTGCAGAAAGTGCGATGATGTACAGCAAAGCAGCATGTACCAACCCGTCACGAAATGCCACCCTTCCACCACTGCAACAGCACAGCGACACCAGCTAGGGACTTCACCAGCCGGTTCTTTTGCGTTTTGCAAGAGTGAAGCTGCTCTTGCCGTGATCCATGTTAATGTGTTGTACATCCATCATTAAGGAGGTAATGCCCCATGGGTTAAACTCTTCCCCCGCATGTACTTGGGGGTCCACGGCGGCCTGAGTCTTTTCCATGATCTTCCGCATTTCATCAATGCCCTTGAAGATCTCGATCTCCTCTTCTTCCTCCTTGCCCGGTGCCGCAACTCTCTCCACAGATCTCCCTAGGGGTACAAACGGAGAGTGTGGAAGTGTGACTATGAAGACAAACCTGATGCGCGCTAGTCTCTGCAGAAACCTTTGGAGTCGCGAGAGAAACTCCAGTCTCTCCTGACCACCGTCTTCTTGCATCGTCTCAAAGCGGCCAAACGTTGTCTCGCTGTCCTGGCCCTGAGCATGCGACGCTTCTGCCAGTTGATTCGTGTCAAGTCCGCTGAGCACTCAAGTGCTGTACAGTAGAGCATGATTTTTTGCAGACCTTGCAAAGCACGCCATGCGTGCCTGCACTCATAGATCTCATAGGTCCGAGCCCGTGGACATGCGAAGCCTGGGGCATGGACGCGAATGTGGGCGATGATGGTCTTGCCATCGAAAACCTCGAGCTTTCGTACCTCCAACTGTTGACGTTGAACCATCCAAGACTGGTACAAAGCTCAGACGTGCTAGCAAAGGGACGAAAGTGTCTGGAACTTACGAACACTTTGCCCTGAAGGGCATGGAGACCTGTGTGCACGCTGCCATTACTGTACTTAAAGCCTTGTGAAACTTTGTACCAACTGCTTTTCGCTCCAAGGCGCCCGATTCTCTTGTAGCAGAGTCAGCTTCAAGGGCCATTCCGCGATCTTAGCGCGAGTGGCATGTCGGCAGAGGCTGTGGCTTCTTTCTACTCAACCGCGACATGGCTCAGGCCAGCACATGAGCAAATACATGCACCAGTCGCACACATCCCGGTCCCGCATTCAGTCCAGCGGCCTGCTTTTTCGCAGTCTCGTCCTCGAAACCAAGGATGTTGTCCTGGCTCGCTTTGACATGATGGGAGCAGCACGCATCTCGGAGACACGTGCCCTCAACGTGGAGTCGTGTGGAATGTCCGAACTCCGAGAGCAAGTGAGCGGATTTGACAAAGCCATTGGTAACGCCGGACAACATCACCACCGGTAATGCAACAAGCACGGGACACGCACGCTCTAAGTTGGGCAATTACTCATCCTGGTTGCTACTTGGGGTAGCCGTGCTTTCGCTGCACGTCCGCGGCTGCAGTCCTTGTTCTCACCCCAGCCAAAGACTGTGCCATTGGTGGACAGTGCGAAGGTGGAGTTCCTAGACACAGGGAGCAAGTGGCTCAAGGGCCAGGGATGTCTGCCGCTGCTGAGAATCAGGCTTCACCACCACGATTTGCACGATCTGTTCGTTGGCCAGGGCATCTACCTGTGGAGGTAACGACACCCCAGCGAAATATTTCGTGCATCTTTGTACTTTGTACCAGGTGCAAGCCTCTGCGCAGTGGTCATTGAGCATTGAACGGGACTTCTCAAGATTATTCAGGATCCTCTCACAAGTGCACCTGCCCAGCCTTGCAAGGGATGTATGATGTGTTTTGGTTGCCGTTGCCAAGCTGGCCCTTCTGCCCGTTGCCCCAGCAGAAGACCTGGGCAAATAGTCTCGCGCACGCAGAGACAGCATTATCACATCTTTCCGCGGCGAGCCTTACAAGTTCCGCGCCTCGCCCCCTGTAGTCAGTGCCACAACATGCTCCGTGCCCATCTGGACGTCCATAACCTTAGAGAGATCGACGGGCGAGCAAGGCAGAGGTACACACCGTCCCCAGTGTCCCCAACAACATTCTGGCAAACTCATCCGGAAGGGTGAACGGCCGTCATGGACAGCACGAGACAAGAAAAATGCAGGTGCCAGCCAGGACTTTTTCTCCACGTTTGAATTTTGCTAAGTCGGCGACCTCCTTGAGCGAGGAAATCTGCGGTCAGGGTGCACAACTTCAACGATCAAAGTGGCTTTCGCTGCAAATTAGTCTGCGTGCAACAAGCGTGAGTCATTCGGCTTCGCCGCCCTTCGAAAAGCGTGTCACGGCCAACTATAGCTGTAGCACCAAGGGAGCTTCGTCAAGCGTGAATGGAACGGAACTGCGGGGAGGATCATCCCGTGTTTTTTCCCTGGTATTCCCCCCACGCTTCGAAGGGCTCGGCTCCGGCTCTCCCCACTCGGTTGGGCCTCTTGAGGCACGTCTTGGTTCATCACCGGGGCACCGGTGTCCTCTGAGAAACCTGAAAATGGGGCAAGGACTCGGACATCTTATCTTCGTCGCTACCGCTACCTACCTGCCTGCTGTGTAGTTCGTGTTCTTATGGCTGTGCTCCGGACCCAAGCCCAAACATCCGCTCTTCAGATCCTTGCCCCAGGAGACAACCTGGCAAGAAGCTCCCCAGAACGCAGCGCGGGTAAAAACCTCAGTCGCTATGCCGTCACACCTTGCCATTCTCGGTGAGGCCGATGACGAAGCTCTCTCCCAGGACCTGCACAGGATGGACGCCTCCACGGCTGCGACAGAGAGACTTGATGGCCGAATTGGTCTAAACGGGCTCCAGAGCTTTTTGAGCTGCGGACGACTTTCTTGAGCTGCTGCGCCACCTCTAAGAGGGCGGTTCGGACTGACAGTCTCACGGAACCGCACACCAGGTCGTTTCAAGGGTCCGACCTTCTTGGTGAGGAAGGGCTTCGAGATCACCCTGTCAGGTACGAAGGTTCTGACCATGGCCTACATCATGTCGCCGAATCTGACGCCTCGCCTGTTCTTCCATGTGCCCCAAAGGAAGAAATTGTTTTGAGCCGCTGCCATGATTCCTGGGAGCGCCCCTGTTTGATATTCGCGGAACTTGCAGCTTCGAGTTTGAAACCCAAACAATTACAAGGTTCAGACGGGGTTCAGGAGGTTTACAGCAAAAGAACAATGGTGGCGCAACCGGGTGCGCTGGGCGTAACGACTTCTACGCGGCGAACCTGCTACGAAAAAAAAGCCCAGTTCAATACGCCTTTCAAGAACCAACTCAAAGCTGAGTCTTCGAAAGCTACGAAGCTGCACTCGTGTCCTACTGTCTCCTTCGAAACTTTCGTTGTTGACGTGCTGCCCAAGAAGCCCGCGGCTTGTTCGGAGCAAGCGCGAAGGATGTGATGTCCGTGCTGGAACGCAGTGAGAAATGTGTGTTTGCAAAGATCACTCGCTCGTTCCTCAAGGGCCATTAGTGGGTCCGGTCTGGTTCGGAAGATCTTCGTGATTTTCAGCTGCTTACAAGCTGGCAAAGCCAAAGGCCAGTTGCGAATGGCAACATGAGCTAAGCGAGCAAGCCCAGGGTCCCTGAAAGCACTGGTGGAAGAGCTCTGTCCTGCAGGCTTCCCTGATTAACAACCTCTTCAAATGTCGAAACAATAAACCCGACCGGAGGTCAAAGTCGGGTCCTAGGACCTTGTGCGGTTTGGGGAGTCAGCATGTACTAGCAGGATATTCGGACAGCTGAAGCCTCCATCCGTCTCGACCTGCCCTTGCGAAACTGCAGCCTTTACTCTGTTCCAAACTCGCGGACCGACACTTCTTTTGCTGTCCCCAGGCAAGTATGCAACGCGCTGACTTCTCCGCCTTTGCCAGTGAGAAGGCAGAGCCAATGAGGCTGGCTACATGTGTGCACATACATACGTACGTACATTACATTACATTACATACATACATACATACATACATACATACAATTACATACAGACAGACAGACAGACAGACAGACAGACAGACAGACAACACAACAAAAAGCTAAAGTCTAAAAGTGGACCTATGGGCGGACAAGAATCAGAGACAGACGGACCGACAGGCAAACATACTGACTGACTGGCTGACAGCCTAACTGACAAGCATGCGAAAACATGCAGATGCAAATACATGCGCATAAACAGCAGCACATGCAAATCGATGCATTGCATCGATGAGTGTCTGTGTCCGTCCGATCTTGGATGGAAATGTGAGTCACCTGTTGTCTATATACTGCAAGTATCTCACGTGCCTGCGACATGCTTCTTCGCATGTATATCCAGTGATTGCAGATGAAAACATACCGTTGTCCATCTCGCCTTTAATTTGTTCCGCGCCCACCAAGAACAATGTATGTAGGTGCAGCGTCGAAATGTGGAACACATTCCGACTTTACCGCGACCGCGCAATCCCTTGCCGTAGAGCGCGTCTATAGTACAGAAGATTTTGTTCAATCAGACCATGCTATGGGATACGAGAACAGCGAGATTGGGAGAACGGTGCTGACCTCCTCAGCACTCTGAGGCGAGAACTGCAGCGCCTGACGCCTCAGTGACAAGCACGACGTGAAACTTTCTCCTAAGCGTCGGTGCTGAAGGCCTTTGCCACACGGCCTTGTAACTCACAATTTCATGGCGATCTATCACCCAACAGAAAACCTCGGGACCCCGTCTGCGACCGCTGTCCCGAGTTCCGCGGCTGCTCAAAGGCACGCATCTCCAGGCCAAGCTCCGTCTGCTGAGCCTTTCAAAAGGTACTCGTATTGAAGTCGCTCGATAAAGTCAAGTGTGTGCGTCGAGTCATGCCTCGCAGGCTGATGGGTTTACCAGCTTACCAACACACACAGCTTGCTCCTGCCTCTCCCAAGAGGCGCCGCAAGTGAGCCTCGTGCGCCTCCACTTCGAAATGTACAGCTCGGCATGGCATGGTTATACCAAAGACCCCAGTCGACACCGCATTTCGTCTGTCTTAGGATGAACACTCCCAACCTCGTCGCGGGCTCTCTGCGCCGTTGCCTGCAGCTTCACCTTCTGACTCTTCTGACACGCAGCGTTCAGAAGGTGGGAGTCGACCCAAATCAAGGAGGAATCTTCTCAAGTGTCAACTGCCAACCCTCCTAATTAATCCAGAGGTGCCCCGCCCTATGCAAAGCAGTGCCTCGGTCTCCACTTCAAGATCGCGAGCCCTTTCGCGCAGACGAAGTGTTTCAGCCCGCCTTTGCTGCCAGCTCGTGGTCCAACAAAAACCACAAAAATGCTTCGCGTCGCTTCGAGGCTTCGACATGAGTTGACAACAAGTGTCACAGGGGCGTGCTGCCATGTAAGACTTCAAAATGCAGACAACTCTTCTTATGTAACTCTGCACCTTCAGGTGAAGTCCAAAGCACTTGGCACTGTAAAAAGTTCTGCTGCCATTCTCCTCTTGTGCTTTGGAGGAGAAGCGACGGCTGTCCGTCAGGCAGTGAAACTGCCAGGCGGTGTATGCGGTTGCGCACACGCCAGTTCATTGACCCGTCCCGATGGCATCGGGCATCATGAGATGGACATCAACTGATCTGAGCTGTAGCAATACAAGCGCAGGCCTGAAATCAAGCCTTCCTCAAGAAAGTTCTCAGTGTGTCCAGGAGGCAGTGTGTCTCTTACATTTCCACCTCTGCTTCGCAGATGGCTTGTGAATTCTTACTAATGAGCCGCAACGTCGCTGTCACTTCTTGAAGTGGGAAGTTCTTCGAACACACGTCGCGGTTCAAGGACTATTATCAAGGCTTTCCGGGGAGGCATCCCGAGAGCATGAACAAATTCACACAAAGGAGGCATTGCCGCGAATTCCAACGGACCACCAGCAGTCCCAGCTCTTGGCCGCTCTTGCCATTCCCAGTCTTCTTCTTCATTCTCACAAAACTACAGCTGTCTACTGTGGGAAGCTGGGACGCCGGTGGCTGCAACCGCAGCCTGGCTGCGGCTTGGCTGAAGCGCCGACGGCGGCTCGAAGCTCTCAAAGCTCGCAGTTCAGCGCCCCGAGAGGGCAGGAAATCGAGCAAGCTCAGCCAGGAGGCCTGAGCATTGAGTAGAGTTTTGACATTGACGACTGTTCCCACGTGATCTTTGGGGGACGCTTTGGAAGGGAATGACACCTCATTCCAACTCTTGCTTGTCTCTGCCCGTTTGGCAATCCTTCAGCTGTGTGCATGCAGGTACTAGCTCAAGGTGAGTGTGCGCAGCTGGCATTTCAAGCCACTGGTGAAGGGTGATGGCCAGGCTGTGCGGTCCGAGCGGCATTTGCGCAAGTCGACGAGATCTTTGACCTCGGGCAAGCTCATTTCTCTTGGCCACTGGCTTCTGCTCCCACTAAGCATGACATTCTCCCATGATTCTCCAAACATATGCAAGGATGTAATGTATGACGAAAGTTTCCATGCGACCGAACTCGCAAGACCATGCTACTGAAGATTGAAAATGAAGCCTCGATTCAGCGACGAGCTCCAAGAATGTGTCCGTTCAGTGCGTTGGACTCATGTGCACTCAGTGCCGAGGCTTTGACGGTTGCCAAATTGTTCCCCCTCAGTGACAGCACGACCTGCACGCATCAGCTGTATGGAGCAAGAACATATGATCAGGGAGGACGGACTCTCACACCTGCATCAGCGCTGGGAAAGTGATGGTTGCATGAGTGTTTGGGAAGATCACACCGACGAAGTCGAAGAGGCCCACCTTTCCAGCTGACGGGGCTTTCTGCAGGCTGATCGCTCTTTTGTGCCAGGGCACTGCATCCACGCCAACATCCTGGTTGTGCAAATCAGCTGCTTGTGACAAAGCCAGCTTGCAGCGTTTCTGAGTCCTGAAGGATCCGCGCCGCTTCGGGCTGCTGGATGAGCTGAAGAAACTCCTGAAAGTCGTGTCGAAAATTTGTCTTGGACAAAACATGAAGGAGGAGCACCCTGCACACAGAAAACGTCGGCATGCATCTTCTGTGGTTCGATGCAGCGTCTGCCGGAGAAGCCATGTGCAGCATCATCGTGCAGCCTAGCCACCCACCGTGTCAGCCGATTGTCCGGAGACCTGGGCCATTTAGCCGCCCAGGTCTAGGTTTGCACAGTATGCACGGAGACCTCGCAAAAACACCTGCGCTAGCACCGGCTTCTACACACGCACCTGGGCTCCTGGCAGGCCAACTATATCCATCACCTCTTAGAAACGGCCAGGGCCAAGGAAGTTGCAAGCTGTTCCTTCTTATGGGGACGATGTACCCGTGGCTGCCTCTTCCAGCTTCCCTTGGACCTTCTGGACCATCAGCTGCTCCTGTGAAAACTTTGTGCAGGGAGGTTTTGTCTGGAACACGTCACCCCTGGGCGCAAAATACCGTGGCCTTTTCCACCGATGCAATGACATTAATAACCTCCACGAGGATGCCGACCTCCAGCCCACCAGGCCGCAAGGCATTTGGCTCAGAGCATGCGGGAAGCTCGGGCTGCTGCCAGCATATTCATCACGGTCAGCGTGGCGACCAGCACGAACCTGCTTGAGCAAACTTTAAACCACGCGCGCCTCAGACGGTCCCTTTAAAATGCGCTCTTCTTGTTGAAGGAGCTTCCAAACTGATCACAGATCGCAAGGTTTACGGCCGGGCGACGCCATGAAAAGCGCGCTGAAAAGCAGGTTATCGCGACCGATGTCCCGCACGACGTTTCCAACATTGTCCTGCAGCTAAAGAGGCGAAGGGCGAGAGAGTCTTGCAAGTTGTGCGCCACCCCCCAGATGCGCCCAAGACACCAGGAAGATTCCATTCAAGAGCAACGTGGACATCGAGTCCGGAACCGTCGCGAAGTAGGTCTGCGAGGAGAGCGCGTTACTTTCCACTGTGGTCAAGGTCCCTGCGAAATACGGTGGCCCAGCTCGGCTCATGTGACGACTCCACAAGTCGGCCGTGCATGAGGTTCGTTCCTGAACCATTTTCGAAGTCTTATTCTCTGCCCGCCTCTGCTCGAACGGCATCACGTGCCAACTGGGTGAAGACAATGCCGAAAACGTAGAGCCTTGTTCGGCAGGTCTCCAAAGTCAACTGCGACGGACCCCACTCACCCAGTATACGGCATCGAAGCCCTCTGAGGCCGCGGCACTAGGACCAAAAGTGTCACTGAGAAGAAAACGGCTCGCATTGCGACAACCTTCCAATACTTTCTGGATTATCATGTTCCCATCTCCCAGATGAAAAGGCTGAGAAGGCTGCCACACAGTCAACTGAAAAGCTGCCCGTTTGCCGAGGCTGTGGCCATAGCCTTGACGAGTATCAACAGCTCCGGCACCATGTGGAGCACCCTGTCAGCATGCACTTTCACCCAAGTCTTCAAGGCCTCTACGGTGTAGTGACTACGCTTTTTCAGGCTAACGGAACCTCGGACGCACTTGCGAGAAAACAACTACAGGCGGCTTCATTGATGGAGCGCAAGGCCTGGCGATGCGGGCGATTCGGACAATGCGCATGAGGCGCACGATTCGAATCCTCAGATTGGTGGGAATGTTGTGTGCAGCCGTCGAAGGATGTCGAAGGTCCGTGAGGATAATTCTGAGGATATTGCGGATAAAATTCGCACATGCAGTACTGTAGGAAGGACTACTGTAAGAGGCTAATACGAAGGCTCGCAGGCTTCTACAATCACGTAAGTTTGTGCATTTTACTATAGTAGCATATTGTGTGTTTCATGTTTACTGCTGCCGTGTTATGCATTTCTCGCATGGCCGCAATCTTCTCTGTGTCTGCTGCACCCTTCGAAAGTGTCTTGGTATGGCTGTATACAGTCCACATGCGCGCATGCATTCTTCAAGGGTGCCTGGCAAGTTGACAGATCCCGACTGATGCTACAGGCACACAGCAATACAGTGCAATACAGATCCATGCATCTGAGATGGTGAGATTGGACTGATTGCACGGAACATCGCAATGTGACATGGAACTCAACTTAATCTGCCGCAGTTCACAAACAAATATCTAGTTACATATCAACTCTACTGTGCGGCTGATTTGCTGCTCCTTCATTTGGCAGTACATAAAACAATGCCAGGCTGCATGTTGCTGCTTTCTGGCCTGCACCAAGCGCACAAGACCGTGATTGCTGGATAGTACTGCAGAAAGAACTGACACGACCATCAAACCGGCGCACTCACTTGATGTGTCCGCTACATACCAGCCAAACATGGCGTGCAACCCATGATGGACAACACGTGAACCAACATGTCTTGTTGAACCGAATTCGCCGGCCATGGTCAACAGGAGAGAGGGCATCATCAAACCTGAAAGTCATCACAGCACATGGACTCAACGGTATGTGTGTCGATGCAAACATACGAGCAATACTTATGGCGCAGCCAGAGAGACATGACAGAAAGTCACCACGGCAAACACTGACTACTGCAACCTGCCTTCCTTCGTGGACGCCGGCCTCAGACGGAGAGCATCTGACAGTCAAGAAAAGACGCAAAATAAAGCGCGAGACGAAAAGGGCTAAGCAACACAAGTCATGCATACTGGCTAGCAAGCTAGTGTTCCTGAGCCTCCAGCAGCCCAAAAAACGAACTGCATGAGCCATGTCCTCGGTAAGCAAAGATTTCCAAAGGGGCAACAACGAGGCCAGCGGAGATTAAGGCCCAAGCTCGGTGACTGTGGCTGCCATCAAAAAGCCATCGAAGACTAGCCAAAAGTCCTTGATGCAATCGCCTTGGTTTACTTGTCACTGTTATTCTTGCACCAGACTGAGCCTTACCAAGATCGGACTGCACGGATATGCTCCTGCTCTCCTGCTACATGCCCAAACGAAAAATGGGTTTCGCCGCGCGGCGGGTTCTGCGAAAAGCCGCAAACCGCAGCGACCACCTGAGTGGGATCCGCAGCCGCGTGTACGGATTTTCGTTCGCCATATCATATTCAGAATATTCCAGACCGTCTGAAGTTTCGCAGAGTGCCGTGACAGGCGAAGGTTTGCACAGAGGACTCTCCTGGATAAGGGATTTCTCTCGCTTCCTTACAGTAGTAACTACTATCCGGGATTCGTAGATGCAAAAGCTGATCTCATGCAACTTCAGGTTCATCGGAGGCACTCGCAGAAAAAGAAGGCGCAAAAGAAGTGCTCCATCACCACGAAGACCTGGACGCACGACTTCTCGCAACCGGCTCTGTCGACCTAACAGACCTAACGTTGTAATGAACTAATTAACATCGCGT